ACTGGTTTATAGGACAGCCAGATCGACAAAAGTGTTCATAGATTTCAGATTATAAATGTTTTGTTTTCTCCGTCATCAGAACAAAGGAAAGTCGGGTTTACATGTGTAAGTACATAATATGGACTATTGAAGTCTGTGACAGTTCGAATTAGGCACTATTCGAATCTATGACTAACAGACGTGCTCACTCATAAGATCAACTTACCCAACTCACCATATTTAGGATTAACTTACAAAAACCCAAAATTATATAACTATGTATTTTTCAAAAATAATAATACACATAGACACTGGAATATATGTGCAAAAAATTGAACTTAGCGCCCTCAAACTATTTACGTTTTGTATGATTGGTTTCGTAGAAGCCCACAGAAAGAAGGCCCAACACTATATCCTAGGCTTAGTATATAATATATATTATATATATATATATATATATATATATATATATATATATATATATATATATATATATATATATATATATATATATGCGGAAAATCCACAGAGAAATATGAAAGGAAGTGAACGTTTCGGTCTGTCAAAGCCTTTGTCAACACAAGACTGACTATATATATATATATATATATATATATATATATATATATATATATATATATATATACAGTATATTGTGTGTGTACGTATTAGCGACGTAAATAGTTTTAAACAGGAGATACATGTCATCCCTTACGTCATCAGTAAGTTTAACAAAGGTAACGTATCAGTCACGGAGCGCATTTGTACCTGCAAGAGGTCAAGGCCCCTCCCCTTGATCCGTGTGGAGGTTGACTGCTCCAGGATGCCTCCAAGGCCCTTCCTCATCATTTCTGGGAATGGGGGTAGGGGCGGTGATGTAGGTAATTAACCTCGACTAACTCCCATTTTAGCTAATTCCACTTGCTTACTTCTCTTACACTGAAACGGTGCCTTCTTATATCTCCATAGCTCAATACCTGTAATAATTATCTAGCGTGAGTTGACCAAATCTGTGAATAGTCTTTAAGCTTTGCTGTGTAATACTGTAGGAGTCCAGGAGTCCAGGAGACTATAGTCTTTTAATGGGCTAAAACAGGCAGGTGTACAACGTCCCGAAGGTTTCCATGGACAGACTACTGATGTGTGTCTTCGCCTAATTGTGACTTAAGAACCAATGTATAATCATGGGGCCCCGACTTATAAGCCGTTGGTAGATTTCTAAAGATCTACATTTAAACTTATGAATGGTCGAAACCTCAACTATCTCTTTCTTTAGTTTGCTTACCATTCCTTTCTTTAGTTTGCAAGCCATTCCAGTCGTAATGGCTTGGCGCTTTCTCCTGATAAATTTATTACTCTTGCTCACGTCTCTCAGGCTTCCTGTATGACATACTTCCCTTGCCCTTTCCATGACTCAGCAAGCTCTTCGAAATTGAAAAAGTAGCCTCCTATATGGCATACTGTCAAGGACTTTTCTGACAATCTAGAAAGAGTCAGCTCACTTTTATTTTTCCTCCTTGACCGCTGTTACCTTACAGAAATATTTAACATACATACATTATATAAATATATATTATATATATATTTCATTCCGACACAGGAAATACCACAGCGAGGGTTTCCCAAGAGGTGCACAATGACTTGCAGGAGGTATCAGAGGCTACGGACGAACAGCCACAAGGTTCCCGCGCACAGCTCTGACATCACCCTCCTCCACCCACACAACAGCGCCCAGTGATCACAATCTCTACCGGAAGGCTCACTATTATGACTATTAAAGCATAAGGCAGTACTTGGCAACAATCCAGTGGGGAAACAGAAATGAGGGAAAAGATGGTGCAGAAATTATGGAATACATAAAACCAATATGGTAAGTCGGAAAAGAGAAACAATACCCAACACATGAACAAGATATAAATGCATGGAGGACAACCTTAGGAGGACGGGCTGCAAAAACCACCGTAAATGCAACGGGGGTACGAAAACATATATGAGCCGAAAAGAGAAACTAGTCTGTGAAGATAATAAAGAGAGGCAGAGAAACAATGATAGCACGACGTACGCAGCCTCGCGAACTAATACGGTAGCCCCACAGTGTCTTGACGCTAGGAAATCTTAGGAGGACGGGCTGCAAAAACCATCGTAAATGATCAGAGGCAAGACTTGTCATGCCAGGTGGAGGGTGACAACATGTTATGGCAAGTATGACAGGGTTTTAATGAAAAGTTTCAAGAGGTCTTTGAAGAAGAGTCGGAGATCTAAAATCAGAGGAAAGCACGAAGGTTTACTAAAGGGATTATCCCACGACTACGCTCAGGTGACAAACTGAGGGAGTTGAATTTGTCACTTGTAAAAAGAAGTTAGACGAGACATGATTTATTCATACAAAATACTTCGTGAAATAGATAAGGTGACCAAAGATACTGTGTTAGATCAATAGTTCCCAACTAGTGGATCGCGGAACCTAAATTTTGAGTACTTGTATATCTGAATCATTGAGAATTAGCAAGTATCTTGATTAGGCATTTTTTACTTATGAAAGTCAAACAAGGGGTCGCAGGTCTTTTGAGAATTAGAAAATGCAAGAGAAACAAATTGACGTTAGATAGGTAGAGGAGCCACTAAGACGTGAGGAAGTATTTCTTTAGTGTCAGAGCATCGAGTAGAATGATTTAGGAGGGGAAAAGAACAGATGATTCGTCCAGTCAACCTATTAAAAACAGATATGCCAAGGGAGGAAGTGGTAAGGAGTCACTGCATTAATCGACAGTTTGAAAAAACATAGGCGTGAACGTGAAGCCTAGCCCGGCGCGCTCCTCTGAGTAGCACCACTACTTCCTCGTAGCTCTCCCTTAATTTCAAGGGTTCATTACGAGAGGAAGAAAAGTGAAATCTTAAGTAATAGCCCGGCAGTGCTCACCTTGTTACTTGACATGTGAAAGTGTTGGCGGTGGCCCTGACAGACACTGTGTATTCACCTAGTTGTGCTTGCGGGGGGTTGAGCTCTGGCTCTTTGGTCCCACCTCTCAACTATCTATCTAACTGATGTACAGGTTCCTGAGCCTACTGGGCTCTATCATATCTACATTTGAAACTGTGTATGGAGTCACAGTTTCCACATCACTTCCTAGTGTATTCCATCTGTTAACCACTGACACTGAAAAAGTTCTTTCTAACGTCTCTGTGGCTCATTTAGGTACTCAGTTTCCACTTGTGTCCCCTTGTTCGCGTATCCCCCGTGTTAAACAGTTTATCCTTTTCAACCCTGTCAATTCCTCAGAGAATTTTGTAGGTTGTGATCATGTCTCCCCTTACTCTTCTGTCTTCCAGTGTCGTGAGGTGCATTTCACGCAGTAATTCATGTCTCTTAGTTCTGGGACTACCCTAGTGTTTACCTCTGAACTTTTTCCAGCTTCGTCTTGTACTTGACAAGATACGGGCTCCATGCGGGGGCCGCATACTCCAGGATTGGTTTATGCGGGGGGCCGCATACAGTATTTTAATCTCTTTAATATGTAACTAATCTTGTGCTTTCAGTGTGGACCAGATCTTGAACTATAATTAACAGATTATTATAGTAAATAATACAATTCAAAATAATTCATTGTGTCGGGGGACAGCCAGTTTATACATATAGTACACAGGCTGATTTACCCGAGAGCCACTAGCCCTAGAGGCCTCGACGAGGACTGGAAGCCGGCGGCTTGTCGAAAGTCCCCCCCCCCCCCCTTTGCCGTTATGAACTTTTCCAGTTATATTTTGAAATTCAGCACAGTTTTGGTAGTTACGGCTTCGGCGGGTAGGCGGTTCCATAGGTTAATAACCCTGAGAGTGAAAAAGCAACTCTGTCACGGCCCTGTCTCCCGTCCTCTGCTGGGTGCACCTGGAGCTGCTATGCACGATAAAAGAAAAACTGAAACTCCATTGAAACTCCGAACGCACGCAACTTTCACTTAAATCGGTGGCACTCGACGCAAATCTCACAAGGTGTCGCTGAACATTATCAAAATCCGCGCCGAGATAAATGTGCTTCGCGATTTATATCCGGCACCCACGCCAACACGTCGTACCAAACACTAATGCCCGGAGACTTGAGGGAGATTATTGTGCAGAAGAGGCTCCGTGCGGCTGATCCATCTTCGGATAAGGTCTGGGCCGTCAGCGCTGCCTACACCAGTTACCTAACTGGCGCCCGGGACATGTGATGGATGGCAGTCGAGGCAGCACAACATCAGCCAAACACTAAAACTTTCTATTACTTCAAAATCATTTAGTTAAAATACTTACCTTTAGCAGTAATAATTTATGAAATTATTTTTAATACAATCGCTATCAGTCATTAGATAATGAAATAAGTCAGAACAGATTCAGGACAATGAATATCAAAATGTAGGTCAAACCAACCAGGCATAAGTTAAAATAAAGAATAAGTAGAAACAAAGAATATATAAAACTACAAAAAGTTTCAGAAGAAAGAAAAAGACAAAAGAATATGCCCAAGCTAAGAACATGTGAAACTAAGATATGTCCTTTGAACAAACGCATAAGCTTCCGCATAGCCATAATTTATTAGACTATTAAAATTAACGTAGAAATTAACGATTTAAATAAAGCTACTAATACACATTGGTTTTAATTTACAAAGCCTTTGTCAAATGTGAACATATTTTATTTATCAATGGTAGCCTAACATACCAATTTTCCTCAGATATGTTGTGGGTTTATTGTTAGGAAAATCTCATGTAGCCTATTCTTTGTGCAAATAATGTTTTATATTATTGCGAAGCATAAAATTACTGAGCACATGACTGCAGAGTGACTAAGTATATAATTGTTTACTGCTGAAAATGATGTTGGGTGCTGTATACTTGAGAGATTAGCAATGAACGTGGCTGAAAATTAAGACACCCACACAAATATGGAAAAAAATTATAAGACGATGTCGTGAACCATTATCATGTCCTACAAGTGTTTAGAGCCATGTTGTTGCCAGGTGTGGATGGTGGCACTAGTGCCCTTACCTGTGATGACCCCAAGAGCAGTCAGTCCCTGCTCTCGTCTCCTGGACACCTCTATCGGAGCAGTCTTGGAGAGTAAGGCGGGCTAGTAGTGCACTCAGCTGGTCGGCCGATCACAGTTGAATTTCAAGCACTCAACAATCACGACCGTACGCAAAGAATTGCGGCACTGTGGCTTGTGTGTACTGGTGTGTGGCGTGCACGTGGCTGGGACGAGGAGCAGCTGTCCAGACGCACTACTCCCTACCACTGCTGCCCACACACTGAGCACCGCCCTCAGAGCCTCATCCACCACCATACTACTTGGCCTCCAACCACCCAGCAGCATTACAGATTTTTACCCGTCATTTTTATTTGTATTATGGTTAAAAGGAAACCGAAAAAATTACACGAGCAGTTACAACAGACAGTCCACATAACTTTTCCCATTGCCGGGGTCAGGAAGCCCGTTGTGCTTACCGAGGTTCCCCAGGATGCAATCCAAGACTGTTGGCGAACTCCCAGGCACTTATTTATTGCTAGGCGAGCAGAGCAGCCCGTCTTTGAGAGTCTAAGTTAACTTGCTCAAACGTTTCGCCCTTCCCGGGAGTCGAACTTTACGGGACTATTTGGTTAAGAGCCGACTGCGCTAACTACTGTAATACGAAAGGGTTTGATTTGTTTAGAATGAGTTTTATTCAAGTATATATATTATACTTGATTACTATTCTTGGCTTCGATGGATTCAGGACTGTTGATTTATTCCAGAGGTAAGCCTTTCCTGCTGTCTGTTCTATACTAGATCTAGGCATCTGTTCTAGACTAAAGGGGCCTGACAGCTGAGTGGACAGCACTTCGGATTCGTAGTCCTAAGGTTCCGGGTTGGATCCCCGGTGGAGGCGGAAACAAATGGGCAGAGTTTCTTTCACCCCGATGCACCTGTCACCTAGCAGTAAATAGGTACCTGGGAGTTAGACAGCTGCTACAGGCTGCTTCCTGCCCCCTTCCTGTGTAACAAAAGGAAGGCCTGGTCGAGGATCGGGCCGCGGGCACTAAGCGAAATCATCTCAAGATAACCTCAAGATAAGCTTTCATAGTCGAGGCTTAATTTGTATAATCTATAAAACGTTGTATGTCGTGATGTTCTTGAAGAGACCTAGCTAGTCCTCTTTATATCTTGATAATCGACGCAACTAAAGTATAAAGTTGAACCTGGGAATTGAACCCGGAACCTCTCGGCTGTGACCCAAGTTCAAGTATGCTTATTGAGATAAGCAATAAATACATCTCAAAGGGATAGAGTAGCTTAGGCTATTTCTACCCCCTTGTTTATAGCTGTGACCCGACTGCGATATAGGACCCATGATAATATAGATAGCGTAGATTTTACTGTCTCAGATCTTTTGTTTTAATTATTGATGTGTAAATGTTCGGATATATAGTTAAAAACAACTTCAGAAAAGAAGTTAACAAGCTTAGGTATACACAGCAATGTGCTGCTACCCTATTATATATGAAGGATTACAAAGTATAAATAAAAAACTAGCTATAAGTTCATCTAATATCCCCACCTCACAGGATGGTTAGTCATACATGGAATCAGGAGGGTCGAATTATATGAAGTGCGAAGCTGATCTATATTAGCCTGCATTGGCAAAATCTGGGTACAGCACAAGAATATCATTCAATATTCGTAAGTGTATGAAGTAATTACAGAGCTGAAAGTACCACATACTATATGGTCTGAATCAATTTATTACAGGACGATCATAGACCGTTGGAGAGTGTCCCCTAGTTAGTACTGTGGCTCCTCAATTCAGAACTATTGGACTTCTGAAGGCGTATATTCTTTGGCTAACTCACTAGAGATGGAATCTACATATAACTATATGATCTGTAATCAGTACCTACTGATTACAGAGCATATATATAACATAACAGAACATATATAACATGTACAAAACATATTATATATATATATATATATATATATATATATATATATATATATATATATATATATATATATATATATATATATATATATATATATGTACAGAACATTAAATAAAGCCATTAAAACACTTCCATGAGCGAGAAAATACTTTTACCTTATAAATCACGTCTTTTTTTGTTTAAATTTTGCTATCCCCTATACTAAAATAAGTGTATTGCATTCATACAACACAAAAATAAAATAGTGCTGATGAATATCAATTCTGAGTTAAAAAGACAATTTGCAGCGCCATTGCGAAGTGGTAAGACACTCGCCTGGCTGTTGTCTTAGCTTCAGCTTCTCAGAACAAGGAGTTGCAAGTGGTTATGGTGAGCCCGTAGTGGACTGACCTGACACAGGAGCTGGGACTCGCTGACTTGTCTGGCGTTTCCCGAGTGCTTTGGCGGCTTGGTCTGGGTTCGTATCCTGGTCGGGGAGGATTGATTGGGCTCCAATCCTTAACTGTAGTCTCTGTTCACCCAGCGGTGAACTGCTGCTGGGTTGTTAAACGATTTGGTTAAACGCCAAATCGTTTAACAACCCAGCAGCAGTTGAACACCCAGCAGTTCACCGCTGGGTGAACAGAGACTACAGTTAGACTTAGATTTGAGACTTAACAAATTAAGATAAATATATTAAAGGAACAATCTACTCAGCAGTTCGTGCACTGAAGAGGATTCAAAATCCGGCTTGAGAGACCACATGCTCACGCGCCGCCAGCTGAGGCAGTCTCATACACAACAACTCTTGCATCATCGTGGAAGGAAAACCTGTTTGGCGATTGCACGAATCGCACAGGTACACCAATAGTAAGGTAAACCTTGAGATACACTGCTTGTTATGTAAAGCAACCGAGAGAGGTAATACAGTAGTCCCCCATGGCGCAGTGGTAAAGCACTCGCCCGGTGCTTCGCGAGCCCTTTGGCCGGGGAGGATTGACTGGGCAACAATCCTGAACTGTATGCCTCTGTTCACCCAGCAGTGAATGGGTACCTGGTTGTTAAATGATTTGACGGGTCGTATTCCGGGGGAAAATTAGGATTAAGGATTGCCCGAAATGCTAGTATTATTATTTTTTTATTATTACTTGCTATTGGTGCTAGTAGCTTTACAAAAATGTAAGAACTCTTGTATATATATAAATCAAATAAAAAAAAGTAGGTTAATCAGCCGAATGGAGTAATGAAATATACCCTACTTATGATTGTCTTTTACATTATATAAGAGGGACATTTTATTTTATGACTCTTTTTGTTCACAGATATGTTATCGAGGATATTTATACGATGTGCCAGTCGTAAGGCTTTCATTCCTCCTGTCAACTTCCGTTATGCTTCTCAAACCGAGGAGGAACAAATGGAAGAATTGCCAAGAATTCGATATCCTGCTATTAAAGATGACTGGAATAGAAATTATGGGAATAAGCAGAGTGAAAGAAGATATGAAAAGAATGATTCCCATGACAGGCCTGCAAAGTACAATAGTAATATTTTTCGCATGAAGGCGGCATGGATTGATAATAAAATTAACAATTTCCACGACAAACGTAAAAAAACGTCCAAGTTGTTAGGAGATATTTATGGTGACGATATCCCAAAAAGAGATATTATTCGTATAAATAATGATCAATTTAATATTGAACCGCTCGGTGAAATAATTTATGGAGTATATCCCGTTCTTTTTGCCCTTAAAGCCGAGCGGCGGCGAATAAATTATATACTTTACAAAAAAGGATCTGAAATGAGAAACAAGAAAATTCGAGAAATTTTAGAAATTGCACAAGAGCGCAACATAAAATTGCAAAGTTTAGTTGGTGTACAGTTTAGATCACTCTTCCGAGGAGACCAAGTACACCAAGGAATATGCTGTGATGCTACTCCACTTTCCTTTGAAGAACTACAAATTGAACCTTCTAACAAAATGATCAAACCAGATGAGAATACAAACAGTACTGATGAGGTAAATTCAGTTGAGTTTCAGACAGAAATAACATCTGATAACCATCAACAGAAACCATTTCAGTTATGGCTGTATCTAGATCGCATTCAAGATCCTATGAATTTTGGAGCTATCTTGAGGTCCGCATACTTTATGGGAGTAGATAAAGTATTGACTCCCGCAGAAAACAGGTAAGACTCATATTTTGCAGCTACAGAAATTTGTTTTTGTCAGAAATGCAGTTTTTATAATTATGAATTAAGTGTAGAACATTAATTGTGTAATTTTTGCAGTATTTAATAACTTCTTAAGAGTAATATTTTAATTTTCCCACAGCTGCCAAATGTCTGGTGTTGTGAGTAAAGCCAGTTCTGGAGTAGCAGAGATACTTCCTGTATACCAGGTCAATGACCCTATTAATCTCTTCGACAAACTGGCAGATGAAGGATGGCATTTAGTATCTTCATCATCAAGTGGACAGGCTTCAACAACACCTGTTACTGACTTTCAACCTCAAGGACACACTTTGTTGGCTGTGGGTAAGTGAATTTGGTTGGTTTTGAAAGAGGATTGTGATGTAAAAACCTGTATGTATACAAATAAAAAATGCATCATCATTATTTTGTAAACTAATGAGAAGGTAGCAGAGTATAGGTTGCAGGATGGGTGGCTTTGGTTGCCCAATGGAACACTGTCACAGGGGAAGTAAAAGGATATACGGTTTTACTGTTATTTTATTTTTTTGTATACTGTATTGTACCAACATGGCACTGCCCTTTAGACAGTTTGATCTTTTTGCCAACTGCCATTTTGATCATTTGTTAAACTCACAGGTGTCCTTCACTCTGTTTTTCTTGTGTGCTGTTGCTGACTTCACATTCCTTCCCTTCTACTAGATGAAAATAGCCGCTTCACTTATGTAACCAAACCATCATGTAGAAGTCTTTGGCAAATGTTTTGAGTGTTCCTTTAACACCTTTGGCACTTAAGGTGTTGGTTATGTTCCAGAGAGATTCGACATGTGGGTTCTTTCCCCCTGTAGAATAGGAGTTACCAGGGGAACGGAGCATCAAAGATATAGGAGATGGTAGGCTGGCTCATGTTTTGCGAGTTGCAGGACAGGATCTACAGAATCGAACTGTTTCCTGGAATGGCAGTACAGACAGTAGGAAGGGAAAGGTAGGGATGGTTTTTATATTTTCAGGTAACCTTAGATTATTATTTTATCTCGACATCAGTCTTCCAGAAAATATTTAATCGATAGCTCAGATTTACCTGTTTGCATATACTGTAGAAATATTCACACAATTTTGGCAAAAGTGTCAGTAAGCAAACTTCATCCTTAAAATAAATATCACACTTATATATTTAATGTCAATACTGTGTCAGTATGAAAGCAAAATAAATATAAATAAATCTCTTATGGCCAATTGTGGTGATTTCTTGCTACCTGTGCACTACCCACACTGCTTCAGTAGACTCGATGTTTGTCAATCCAGTTTCCTTGGTTCCCTGTTCCAAGGCATGGTTGTCAGGTTGTCTACAGTGTCGTCATTAAAGCTAGCCAGCCTGTAGCCAACCGTCAGGGCCCACGATGTTTGTAAGTTTGTAGCTTTGGCTGCTGTGTTTGCTAATATTTCGTGGGCTGATATTCGGACTCTAGGGTTTTGGAGGTCAAATAGTATCTTGGTGGGTCAGTGTTCCAGGTCCCAGTAAGGACCGGGTTGCTCGGTATCATTTATTCAACACTGGTGTTTTTGAGATATAATTGAAGTCTTAAATGTTTTTATTTATGTATTTACATTGTTTCATGTATTTTTCAAAACTGACTTTCTTGAAACCCTTTATTACTATTGGTTAAATTTAATTAATACTGTACAGGTATTCATATTTTATATTGCTATCAACCAAATATGAAGACTAATCTCAGCTCTTGTGTATTTTCTATAACATGTAGGTAATGAAGGAGCAGGCGTTTCCCATGACCTTGAAAAGAAGTGCACAACAATTCTAACAATTAAGTCGGGACAGGACCTGGATCATGATGCATGCTGCCTTAATGTTTCTGTTGCTACTGCAATTATTTTGCATTCCCTTCAGTTGAGGCTGAATCTCGGAAGATAAAAAAAATGGCATTCTTTCAGAAAAGTAGTCCATGATAAAGTAAGTACTGTTCAAGGTTAAAAGATGCTTGCAATCATTCCAAAAATATAAAATCTGTTCCATAATTTATCATTTCAGAAGAACAATTGATGACATAACAATAGTGGAATTGGTTTATTTTATTATCACTAGAAAAAATAGTGTGTGTGTGGAATTGCGTAAGTGTAATTACAGGATGAGAGCTATGTTCCTGGTGTCCCATCTTCTTAGAACTCTGTCATATGACAGTTTTAAACTACCGAGAGTTTTGGCCTCTACCAAATTCTCACGGTCTATCACTGTTTGCGAGAGAGAACTTTCTATTACTTTTTGCCAGCTTTGTTTCCCTTGGCTTGAATCTGTGACCTCTTGTTCTTGAAGTTGCAAGTTTCCAGAATTTGTTGCCAATTTCACAGATTCCTGTTATTATTTTGAATGCATGATCATATTGGCTCCTTCCTTCCAGTTTTGGTATATTTAATATCAGTAGCTTCTTACAACACTTATTTTCCAGTTCTGGAAATCATTTAGGTGCACATCTTTGCATCTTTTTCAATATTTTATGCACTTAAGATATGGGCACCATTCGACTGCTTCATATTCCAATTTTGGTCTCGCAAAGGTTGTGAACAACTTTTTAATATTTTGCTATCAGTGGATGGCAAAATATTAGTATTTCACTAATGGCAAATCAGTAGTATTTCACATTTTCTTCCCATTCTCCATGAATCTGTTCTCCATTTTGAACTTCCAGATTTTATCCTTTAACTGCAATTTTCTATTAATGAATTTATAGAAGCCTAATTCTGTTTTACATTTGTCCACTATCCCATTCTCAACATTTCTTTCTGCCTCCTCTCTGTCTTGCAATTGTTCATTGCTTGTTTGTATTGCTGGTATGTTTCAGGGTTTGACCTCTTCCTATATTGGTTCCATTTGTCTTGTTTTCTGGCTCTCTCACAACTTATGTTAAACCAATCCTGATTTCTAGTTCTGCATCTCTACCTTGATACAGTATAAATTTTTTTGTACCTTCATACATCTCTCAAAATTTGGCATGCATCTCATTTATTTCCACAACAAATCTTTCCAAGCAAGTTCATTAAGGAACTTTACTCAGTTCCCCATAATGTCCTCTCTTGAAATAAAGTTTTTTGTCATTTCCCCCTCGTTTCTAGATTATAACACATTGCATATTTGATTTAAAAAAAAACATGGTTGGTCTTGCCTAATAGAGGAAGATACTGAATGTCAAATCCCTCCTCCCTGGCAAATACCAAATCCAGCAGTGTTGGTACATCCCCTTCTCTTATTCTCATGGCCTGTTTCACATGTTGATACACGAGACTTCGGGATGAGGTTTACAAATCGGCTGGTCTAAAAGTCCTCTATTCTTGCTTTGTAGACTTTGCAGTCTGTAAGTTTCAAGTTGAAGTCACGTTTCAACAACTGTGATTATTCTGTATCTGCTTTTACAATAACCTCTTATGATCATTATAAGGCCTTCTTTTTTGTCATCCAGCTCCAACTGACATTGTCAACTTCTCGTAGGTTGCCAAGTATTTCTTTTCCTGACTTTAATCAGTCCTTAAGATTACAGCAACCCTCCACCTTTTCTAATTTTTCTGTCACATCTCCAAATAGCATAACCCCCCTTGGAATATCACCTCATTTAAAATGGTATCTTAAAGTTTCATCTTTGCTAGTGCATCAATACATGGCATCTTAAGCTGTACTGTATTATATCAATTGTTACAGCTTGCATACAAATATAATTTTCAACGTTATGGATGCAGCGAGGACGAAATTGGCTTCCGTGCACAACTCTGTGAATGCACCAAACACTGTAGCAAGGGGTTTAATCTGTTCAATTCTTATATCACTTGCATCTCTTTTTAAAGAAAGAAGCATATTTTTTGTTTGCACCTGGAACGTTATGCAGGCTATTGTATTTAATTACAGTATAGCCACAGGTAAAGGGTTTGTATGATGCATCTGCCTAAGGGTACTCTGAAATTGCAAGTCATTAGTATAGTATAAAGCTACGAAATGCTTTTTAAATTGCCTAACCCACAGTGAACAAGAGATAACTACTGTATGTCCTTTTTCCAGACAGTAATAACCCTTTGGAATAGTTCTGTACCCACCTCAGCTGTCTGAATGAGAATAGTCTACCTAGCCAGCCATTTAAGTGAGAACTGTTTACCTACTGCAGCAAGCTAACTGGGAACTGTGATCAACTTCATAATATATAAGAAATTGAGGAGCAGAGGACAGCATATTTAGACAAAATCTTGCAGGCCAAATGTCTGTTACTACCACAATTAGGCTTTCCAGGCAAAAAAAAAATTCTTTAGTGCAAATACATAGTACTGGTAATGTATTACTCATCAGATCTAAAAAATAAATTGATAGATTAATTTCTTTGTAAACCAATTATAATTTGTTTAATAATAAAAAATGATTATTTGTAATATTAGAGAATATGATTACATTGCAATAATAGATGTAAATAGTGTCATGGCACAGACACAGCTGCATACTGTAGCCATAGAATAATTAGGTCTGGCACAATCATAAATGGGTGCTCAGAACCTAAACAATAGTACAATTTTTTTTATTTAATATAAATTTATATATAATTTCTAAATTATTTTGTTCCTGAGGGTAGCCATTGTTCATGTTAAAAAAAAAGCAACCCCCAAAAAGTCTCTCAAAATATGGATTATTATAAGAAAATTTCCAATCTGTTTGGGGGAATGGCTGTTTCAGTATATATATGTTTATCCAGAGAAGTGTGTTCTGCATTTCGGTTTTATAAGTAAATACAAAATTATTAAAGTCATGGTTATGACTGACTTATCTGGGGGAGAAGACTCCTACCATAGTTTGTGCTTAATACAAGATTATAAAATGCTGATCTTAATCCAGAGAGGTATCATGGTTTAATAACAGAATCTTTTAAATTGTGGGTTGCTGAAGATGTTTGTCCAAGATTGATTGTGTCAAGCCCGTTTACTGAAACAGCATACGACTTCTTTTTAAACATACTTTAACTGCATTTCAGAAACCCATGTACAGTACCACCAAAATAAACTGGTTCGTTCAGAATCTTAACTATTTAATTGTTCCCTAAAGTCATAGTTTTTTGCATGTATGTATGGAAGTGCTTGGGTGTATGTATTGAAATGCTTCTGTTTATGTATGGAAGTGTTTGCATGCAAGGGTGGGCAGGATTGAGTTTGAAAAAGACAGAATTCCTGAAACTTGTTTATTATGAGGACCTTTACAAGAAAAGGTAAATTTTTCTTTCCAGGCAGGATCAAGGTGGAGACCGACAGTCCATTTTAAAGCTATACTGTATTTTGAACGTTCTTCAGTCCTTTTTTTGTTATTAAAACTAGAAGAGAACTGCATGTTAAGATGTATTATTTACAAATACAAAATGCCAAATTTTCAATTTGATGTACAAATAAATTATGCATCAAATACTTATTTTAAATCATTGTTAGTTGTGTACAATCTGCAGAAAATGTCCAGGCTGAAAAGACCATGGCTCGGTGACAGCCATGTTGAAATGCAAGTCTTCTTGAAGGGAAACAGATTCAACTTGGTACCGTATTATATATATTTTTTTTCCTAGTTTTGTTAAACTATTAATTTTGAATTAATTATATTAGAATTTAACTCATTTACTAAAATTATACATTCATGATTTCTGGTGTCATCAGTTGCATATTTCATTTCAATTAAATATTTCACTTGCTGTATATTTAATGCAAGGACCGAGTCGAGTCATGGTTCGTTTTTCTCTGAATGGACCGTAACCAGGATCGTTGGTACATTTTGAGGGGACGACCGGAACTGGGTATTCTTTTTAAGGAACAGGTGTCCACCTTTGCTCACAAGCATATATGTTAGTATTTTTATGTCTGGGAGTGGATTGCATGCATGTACATAAGAAAACGTGTTGGAATACATAGTACTGTATATACATACAGGAATATGTTTGCATTCATACAGGTACATACACTGGAGTGCGCTTGTTGGTATATATCAACACGAGTGCACTTGTTTGCATGCATAGGTGTTTGTATGCATATGAATATGCTTGTAAGCATATACATGTGTACATGTGAGCATACTTACATGCATATACACATGTGAGCATGCTTGCATATTATATATATATATATATATATATATATATATGTCGTACCTAGTAGCCAGAACTCACTTCTCAGCCTACTATTCAAGGCCCGATTTGCCTAATAAGCCAAGTTTTCCTGAATTAATATATTTACTATAATTTTTTTCTTATGAAATGATAAAGCAACCCTTTTCTCTATGTATGAGGTCAATTTTTTTTTATTGGAGTTAAAATTAACGTAGATATATGACCGAACCTAACCAACCCTACCTAACCTAACCTAACCTATATTTATAGGTAAGGTTAGGTTAGGTAGCCAAAAAAAGCTAGGTTAGGTTAGGTAGACGAAAAAACATTAATTCATGAAAACTTGGCTTATTAGGCAAATCGGGCCTTGAATAGTAGGCTGAGAAGTGCGTTCTGGCTATTAGGTACGACATATATATATATATATATATATATATATATATATATATATATATATATATATATATATATATATATATATATATATATATATATATATATATATATATATATATATATATATATATATAGTTTATTAATACAACCACAATTTATTTAAATACAAAAAATTACCCTTGTGTCGCAATCAGGTACCTGCCCCCCCCCCTTGTATCACCAGATAACAAGGGGGTGGCTTAACTATGAGAAAGGAGGCAGGCAGAAAAAGATAAATTAGAGAGAGACGAGATAAAAAAAATACATGAAAAAATAAGAGCCGGAGCAAAATAATATGAAGCTCTAATACACTGGTTAACATTCTCGACTCCCAATAAGGATCCCGGGCGAGACATAAATGGTTGGGTACGTTACCCCTTCACATAACTGTTCACTTAACAGTAAAGTATGTACTCGCGAGTCTGGGAGTTGTGGGTTGCATCCTGGGTAAAGGTTAGAAGTTGACCTAGGTGGGGATATCTCTTAAGTCTTAAAGTACAGGCTTCCCGACCCCGACAACTGGAAGTAAATGATAGGAATGTAGAGTATAATGGTGGAAAACTAAAGTGACAAAGGGTAAAGACAGACAGAGTGGGAAAATACGGTAAGGGATGAAAATAGGAGAGGAGGGAGGTGAGAGAGTCGAGGAGAGGATGTGGTAATAAACAGGGTGTTATACTATGTCCGGTACGCGCCGGATTGTCTGGGGACACTGGTACACCGGCCATATCGTCAGGGCAAGAATAGGGAATAAGTAGAGTGAGATAGAATGGACGACGAAATTATAGGTGTACCTCTATATACACTTTCAACTCTAGGTATGATAAGTAATAGGTCAATCTATCTCCAGCGCATAATTTCCGTTGTCGGGGACAAGAAAACTGTGCTTAGACATGTCGAGGTTCGAACCCCTGGATCAACTGTACTTATCTTTCCCAGGACGTAACCCACATCACTTGCATAACTCCCGAGTTCACTGTTAGGTGAACCGGGCCATCAGGTGAAAGGACACACCTGTCTCTATCCTTCCCTGTGCCAGAGTTGTAAGCAGAGGACAGACTGCGGTGCTGGAGAACAAGTGATGCACGCTGCAAGGTCTGGCGCCCTCGCCATCCTCACACATTAAACAGTATGACGGAAGCTGCATGATGCTCTACTCCGGCAGCCTTTACACCTCACAAAACAAATTCTCGCAAATAAACGACAAATTCAACTATTAATTGTAGTTTGCTATACAGCATAGTGAATTATTATCAGTTATGCGAGACTATTTTCGCAAGCACAGACAAATGATGGCATAATTAAAGAAAGGAACGTGATATCCACTACACTGTTGACTGACATACAAGGCCTTCCACACTGCTTCGCATAATATTAACCTTAAATTTCCAAACTGTTGGGTGGATGTCACTTAATACATTAAGGGATCCCGCGTTCGATTCACAGGAAGGACATAAGTGGTTGGGCACCTTTCCTTTCACCTAATGCCTCTGTTCATCTAACGGTAACTAGGTACCCGGGAGTTAACCAACTCTTGTTGGGTTGCGTCCTGGGACTAGCCAATAGTTCAACCTTGGGGTAACCTCGATACAAGCCTTAATTAAGTGTACATATATACATACAGGCTTCCTATCCTCGACAAAACTAATTATACCAGCCCCTCTGACTGCTGAACGTACTTGAAGGTATAGAATAAGACAGCTGTTACCTAAATGATTAGCAGACGATAGGCCCGTGTTAGACTAATACGTAACCGACCTGCAAGCGTCTTGCACATAAACAAGAACACGAGAGGTGGGCATGACAAGCAGACTAGTAGACTACCCTTGACAACCCTCCCGTCCATGACGCGGGCAAGGCTGTTGCTGCTCTTACCTAAACAGGATGCCCACGATGCTGCCAGAATACTTAGATAAGAGGGTAGACTTTAATAACAGAGAACATTGCGTCTGTATTCGCCTTTATCACAGCAGGAGCTAGAAGGGTTTAAAAGGTGTAACGAAGGCGGTCATCACGATCAAAGATCACAATCACTCCCCAAAAAAATCTACCACTTACGGGCTATTCATGCCCGTGCCACCTATTGGATGGCTTAATCTTTATCAATCAATCAACGAGGTCAGATCAGCCGAGTCGTGATGGGGTCATATGAGGTGGGGTGTTTCTTTTTTGCTGATGAGTTTAACATCCTTGAAGTTTACGAGGTGTTGCTCATGGTTCCGCTGTCAACAACAACAGCGTTGTTGTTGTTATCAACATATTCAACATGGCAGACCTACTTGTGTTGGTAAATCCTCGGATATAAGTTCTGGATTGTTTCCCCCATGTACATGTTGTCACAATATGGCAGGGTTATAGTGCTCCATCACAGTACCACCACCACTTCATCTGCTTGACTGATCTGGGGGAGGAGGCTAGGCTGTGAGACAGGCACTGTATTAAACAAGGGAAAGGTGGGGGGGGGGGGTTGACACATACACATTTAACAGTGCACGAATGTATATAATTAATTTATTAGACAGGATGTATTGTGAATCAGTATAAATTAGTGCAGACGCGTGGACTAGTTGAATACAGTTAATGAGCCTTTTACTGGGATACTTTACGAGAATCTGTAATTAGGCCAATAACAAATGCCAGTCCCAGACACCACACTTAGTGAAATCTTTGAAAACGTTAAATATCAAGTCTCTACCCATACTGAACTGCATTGCCAATCCTGACCTTCAGCGCTTGCTATAAAACTGTAATGGAACTCTCGGTCACCACAAGAAACAAACATGTCCTTGATATTCCTAGAGTGTGGCTCGTACAGAGCAGAAATGCTATGCAAATTAAGGGTTCCAAATTGTGGAATGACCTCCCAAATGTAGTTAAAAGTGGTACGTTTCCCTGCCAGTTTAAAAAGAGACCAAGAAATATTTACTTAATATCATATACTCAATATCACGAAACTAATTGCTCTCGCATTTTCCCTCGTAATAAGTTATTTTTGTGTTAATCTTATCTTAAGACTCTTTTGCACTAATCTGTCCCAATCTTGCATGCGATATCTGTGTATGGGGATCAACCACTGCAAATTACCTCAAGCTTATCATCACTCAGCAAAAATCTGCTATCAGAACTATAACAAACTGTCTTCAGACAACACACAGCCTCCTTGTTTAAGCCATTTAACATGCTAAACATACACTCACTCCACACATTCTCATGTGCTATCTACAAGCACAAAACTTTGTTCCTAAATGTTAATCTTGAACTTAAACTTTTCCTTGATAAGTGTAATAGAACTTATGAGCACCACACCAGAAATATATATCTTTTTGATATCCTCAGAGTCAGACTAAATCTGTGCAAACACTCCACGCAAATAAAAGGACCCACCAGTCTTTGGAACTCACTCCCTGATGAATTAAACAATTGTCAAACCCATCCCCTGTTCAAAAGTAAAATAAAAAAGTACCTAATTTCATCCTCATAGTTTCCTACCTTGTGCTTCAAACTAACACTATCTTGCACCACCCACTTCCCCAATATTTGTACTTAAGACATGCACTATATCCTTACAAGTGTAATCATCTCTGTCAACTTATGTTGTAGTTATCTGTTGATATAAACCCTTGCTACAATGTATCCTTTCATCTTACCTGATATGTTAGATTAAGGACCTGCCGGAAACGCTCTGCGTGTTAGTGGCTTTGCTTGAATGTAAAAATACCAATCTTATGTAATCTCACCAACCCATTGTACCGTCTTGTGAATTATTACTATAAACTACTGTACTGTTGGTAGAGCTACTAACTTTATCAAGTAATAGTTATGGCTGTCATCTTGAAGTATCACCGGTTTATTGCATTTATTTGCTATTTTTTTTAACTAAGTTTTGTTATCTTGCTTCTCTTTTAGTATGAAGTGTTTATGCCTTCACACCTTTAAACAATTGCTTTCAAAATTATTTTAAGTTTTGTCGGAAACGCTAACAGTGGCTTCCTTAGTTTGTGTAATCTCCGAGTCCGGTCTCCATAGTTGTACATTACTCCTATGTTCTTTGTACACACATTGTTTTGAATAGTAATATGAACGCAATACTACACGATGTGTGCCCAGCTTCTTGATGGTGTATATAAAGTGAGTTTACTTTAGTCAGGACTAAAGTAGCCAGTATATTAAAGTATACTTGCTACAGGTTGATCAGTAAGCACGTGTGTTGCCTTACCAACCCTCCTGAAGCTAATCATTCTAAAGCCCAACACCAAACATTTACCTGGAACTGCCGTAATGTTGACTGGGACAGACATGCCCTTGGTACCGTGTGTGGGTGTACCAGGGAGCAGCAGCCAGTGTGGTAGGAGCTGTGGTGGAGAGCGGACAACCAGCCACCTGGAGCCGTCACCGCGCCTGCAGCTTACATTACCTGCCACGCCGCCACCATGAGCACCACCCTGCAACAAGTGGGACCCTCCGCCAACGATGCAACCACAGCAGAAATGCACAAGAAATTATCAGGCGAGTTAATTTTATTATAGGCATAAATTATTCAAGACCGCGTCACGCAAATTATGTTTGGCATTTATTTCATTTAAAGACTATTTAGCTAAAGCCTAATTACTTTTAAGCAGCAGCAGAGCGCTTCCTCTCCTATTAAACTATTTACACTGACAGTTCCCTACACCATTAGTTGCCGGAAGTGCAGTTATTGAGACAAAGAGAGGTGGTTCCTATTCTGGGTGAGGATCAAGCTCTTATAATTAACTGGGCCACTCTTCTTCAGTTGCACAACCTTTTTTTGTTCAGAGTAGCTGAATCTAAAACAATTCTTCAGACATTATGGGCCATTCATGCCCTTGCCATCACTTGGGGTGACTTTAAATTTTCATCAATCAATCTTCAGACAGAATTGTTTGTAATACGCTTCCCATTCAAACGAGTATACCGTGTGTGTGTCTCCAAAGCTGACACTTACAATTAACAATGTAAGTGACTATTATCATTGATCGCACACGACTCCTCGATACATAACTGCGACGTACTGCTTGTTTGAAGCAAAGCAATTCAATTTGTCTTTACTATGCACCCCATACCCATCCCGTGGGCTGCGGTGGAAAGGGTCTGAGGTACATAATCGGTTTAGGAACTATCCCTTTAGCTATACAAGTGACAATTTTTTGAAGCTAGTTACACAATTGTTAATGTTATATACACATGTACGTGCAACAACGATCACAAACTTACGTACATTATATTATCGTATATTTTAGTTAGGTTTTGGTTTAGTACACACACAATCATTTACATATACATATCGATAATCTTTTTATATCAAGTGATTCAACAAGAGGCTCAAAAGTCGCTATACAAGGCACTTGACATCTGAGTCACGCAGTTACTAGTCTGCGTGACTCGCCATATATGTAAGTGCCTTGTATAGTGTGGCACAAATGTAATTATACAAGTTCTTATATATTCTTGCACAGCCCCTAGCACGCATAGCGTTTCAGGCAGGTCCCTAATCTTAATTTTCCCTGGAATACGACCCGCCAAATCATTTAACCGGGTACCCATTCACTGCTGGGTGAACAGAGGCTATAGTTAAGGATTGGAGTCTAGTCAATCCTCCCCGGCCAGGATACGAACCCAGGTCAAAGCGCTCGCGAAGGGCGGGGCGAGTGTTACTTCTGCGCCACGGGGACTCTGATTATTTTAAATCAGAAATGTTTAATTAGTGATGGAGCAAAGAGATGTCTCTATGGCTCCTATCCCTTATTGACAACCGAATAGTTGATATCGCCGTTGGCCAAAGCATTCCCTCTTGTTATAAATAATAATGTTGGTGAACAGGAAGGCAGAGTGTATTTGAACGTTAGACTTGTATAACACTCTTTCCCGACAAGGTCGACCCCGCCCAGGATGCAACCCCACAAGCAGCTGACTTAAGTCCTGAGTATGTACTTACTGCTAGATGGACAGGAGCACTAGGTGAAAGTGAATGCCCTCAACTATTTCTGTCCCGCCAGGATTCGACCCCGGAATGCTAGATTGTGCGTCGAAAACGAACCCGACTGTACTACCGGGACCCTCTGTTATTATTATTAAGTATTAAAAAGGGAAGTTGCCATCTTAATCCATTGCCTTTGAAACTTTAGGGCAAGCCTTTGAAACCTACCTGAGGGCAGTAATATGCCGATAATGGCAAAATTTAGACCTACGACAGTGAAACTCAAACTAGTTAATCCATATTATTATATGCTACAGTATAGAACAGAAAAGATTGTTTTTCGCCCATAGGGTTATAAACCCATGGAACTGCCTACCTGCTGAAGCCAGGGGGCTACAGGGAGAAAGTAGAGATGGAGAGACCCAGGATGAGTAGCAATTGTAGGAAGTGACAGGTCAATGCACTTTCAAATCTTGGATTTATTTACGCAAGGAGGCTCCACTGTCTATATACTGTGTATTTTTAAATGGTCTAAATTTTCCTTTTGTAATATTCTACAATAATAAATGTCCTCCCCTACAGATGAACAGCTGGAGACACTAATTGATGCCAGCCTAGAAGGGAGGAAGAACTCCTACAGTCCCTATAGCAAATTCAAAGTGGGTGCTGCCCTCCTCACCGATGATGGAAAGATCATCACAGGTTGCAATGTAGAGAACATATCTTATGGCCTCACCAACTGCGCAGAGAGAACAGCCCTGTTCAGAGCCATAGTGGAGGGTCACCGCAAGTTTGAAGCCATAGCCATCACAGCAGAGATGGGTGACAAATTTGTGGGGCCATGTGGCGCATGTAGGCAGGTACTGGCAGAGTTTGGACTAGACTGGGAAGTGTACCTTGCCAAGCCTGACAAACAGTACATGAAGACCACAGTGGGCAAACTTTTGCCAGACAGTTTCACCCCTGATTGGGTCAGTTTTAGTAGCTCTTCATGAGCTAAGACCTGCTCAAAGCCAAATGTACTGATGCCTCTTAACTAAAACATGTTTATACTGTACTAACATTGTGTGAAGTATTACCAATCTCCAGACACTTGTCATACACCTTGCACATATAAAAGTATATGTATCCAGAATTGCAGATTAGTAGTTAGTGGTGAGAATTTCTCTATGCATTCAACTCTTTAAACATTATTGTAACACTTGTCTGAAGCATTGGATATAATAAAATCAGTTTTGAATAAAGTCTATGTATTCCATCCTGTATTGGCCTCGACATGCATGACAGAATTTAGAGTTGGCTAAAGCTTGTGCTGCCAAGGCGGGTGCAGATTACCACCTTGCATTACTTTTAAGCAGTTTGAAAACAAGAGACAGAGGCTTTAGTTTTCTGTATAGAGAACTAAAGCCAAATATAGTAGACTTTGGATAAAGTTAAAAATTCATTGGCTATTCCATCTATTATTTAATGTATACTACTATTGCAGGTAGTGCTGCATATTTGTCATCCAATAAAGAAAGCAAACTTCTGTGTTACTGCTGCTAGGCTTAGGCACAGCAGAAAGTACCTCTGGTGATTTGCATCACCTGCTAAAGTAAAAGTTCTTAAGAGTTCTTACAAAAATGTAAAAACTCTTGTCTATAAAAAAAACGTCAGCCAAAGTATTCACTAAATATCACTATATACAGTAACTGAATGTTAAACAAAAAAGTTTAAATTATGTGATAGGGTTGTTATTAAAGAAATGTCCATGTGTTTTATTCGGAATCCCATTTACCTGAAGGCCACCATCTCTAATGGCCTCGATGGGAACAGGAAACCAGTGGCTTGTCAAGGGGTCCCCCTCCCCACCCACATTGTTCCTGAGGATTTTTCAATTTTTTTAATTGGGAATCCTAAAATTCTAGTCGGGTATTGCATCCCAAGTGTGCACTGTTTATAAGTTGGCACTGTCGGTGTCTTGTTTGCTTATCTTTTGACCCTGTACTGCAATGCTAACAACAGTAATGTAATTTTTTTGCACCATTTTCAGCATGGGTGAGGGGTTGCATAATAAATGTACCAAACTAATTAAATTGTCATGGTACAGTATATTAACTGGAGCCAAGAACTGGTGAGGCAGGGAGGTTATCCAGCTCGGTTGTTTATGTATGTATGCTTATTACCTGAATAAATGATTTGATTTGATGTTATCCATGATCAGTTTGGTGTAGCTCGCTAGATATTTGCAACCAATTTGCTATGGTGCAACATGGCTAATTTTTAATTTTAATTTAATGTGCAGGTGCTCCATTTAATGGCATGTCATGGTTTTGTAATAACAAAGATAAACCTGCTGTATATTGGTTTCCACCAACCATATGTATTATAAAAATTTGCCATAATTACACTTGTATAGATAGCCTCTTTGGTAGTTGCTTTGTAGACAATCTGCTACTGTACATACTTATTAGGAAAATAAGGTAATCTTGTGGGGGTAGTTCATAAAGTCTGTGAATTCATGGTACCGAGACCTTGAGGGAATTGGGAAAAGGGAGGATATAAATGTTAATTATATTTGTAAAACAGCTAATCGAATAAAGAGTAATCATAAAAAATGCATGCAATGTAAATAACAATGAATATTCGATAATCATTACCATTGCCCATTGCACTCGAGACAAATACATCAATTATATATTTGTGTTAAGTGCCTGTAAGCAAGTAAAGCTATTTATAAATTACTTGTAATGTCCTGGATTCCTGTCTCTCATCCTCCTCTTTGGGTTCCTTGCTTAAACCCTTGACATGGTGTGCAGTTGCCAATTCTCAGTCTTTGATTTAATATTTTTTTTTAGGCTTTACAATTTTATAACTTTTTAGGTTTTATAGTTTGTAAATACTGTACAGTATTTCAAATCATAGAGTAAGCTGAATATTTTTTCATTTTTTTTTAATTGGTTAAAATCTCTTAGTTGTATTCACCCTTATAACTTTAAATCCGGGAAGCCTCATGGTGAGTGGCCTAATATTTTTTTAATTGATTTATCACTCGGCTCCTAACTCGAATTCCAAGTTGTTGCTCAGCGCACTGATTTAAGGGTAATACTCAATTGTGTATGGCAACCAAAGTTTTTGTTTGTAGCAAATCTTATTAGGTTGTCTGAAGTTATTACAAATTTAAACCCTTGAGGTTATCTTGAGTTAATTTCGGGGCTTTTTAGTGTCCCTATGGCCTGGTCCTCACCCCCAGGAAGCAGCCCATGACAGCTAACTTAACTTCCAGGGGCATCAGAGTGAAAGAAACTCTGCCCATCGTTTCTCGCCGGCGCCCAGGATCGAACCAGGTACCACAGGATCACGTGTCCAGCATGCTGTTCGCTCTGCCGGCCGGCCCCTTAAACCCTGCTTAATTTTCATGTAGGAAAATCAAATTAATTATCATAAAATAATTTTATATTTTAAACACTAATCTTATATTCCAGGTACATCATATTATCATATTCTTGAATAATATATTTAAGTTTCTTTATCACAGCTTTGATATCGTCATTTTTAACGTCACAGTGTAACATTAGGCGAACGGTTGTCTCGGTGATTGGCAACATCATGACAACAATTTGTTCTCCTAATTCTTCAGATTCTGCATCTGTCACCTGGAAGGTTAGATAAAACTGCTCAAAATTTTATTACAACGGAATAATTTTATTGCCTTACCACTATCTTTTAATGACTACTTAAAATGAGTAAATCTGTAACTAATATTAATTTTTAAGCAGATTAAACAAGTGATCTGATTTTTGTCAAGCTGTAACGTGAAAATTATTAAGAACAATGAGACCAATTTCTAGTGACATAATACTACATTTCAATACAGTAATATAGAAATTACCACATTATTGTAGTTGGTCAAATGCTAGAAAAGTAAAAAACAATAGGAACCATGCAATGAAAGTGTTAAGCAAAATTAAAGTACATATTACAAATATGAAGAAAGCAAAAGTAAGAAGGGCTATGGCATGGAAAGTAAAACAGGAATTTCAAATATAAAATTAAATTTTAAATTTGATGATTGTTTTCATAGTACGACTGACAGGAATAAATATACCTGTATACTCACTGATGCTAGTCTTTGGCACAACTTCTTTGCATTAACTCTAATGTTATCACAGTGAAGCAACACCACATTGGTCTGAACACCCTTGAGATCGACTGTAACAGCACTGCTGTGTACTTCTGACACACCTAGCATAAAAAAATTACATTTATGGACTTATTATGGACAAAAGTGTACTGCTATGACAATTTATTAGATGGATGAACAGCTCATTCCTTGATAAAGGATCTTGGCAAGAAGAGGTTTTCAAACTTCTAAACCTATGTAGGTGTGATTAAGCAGACACTGTACCATTCTTGCCAACTTTAGTTTCAATGAAGGAAAGGATTTACAAAAGACAAATCTAACAACTGACTGATAAGAGTTAACAAAAACACATGAGAAACTGCTACTCTGTACTTATTTAACTAATTTATGTTTCAAATAATTAAAACATTATTACCTGTATTTTAATCAATATTAGCACATTTCAAGCAGCTATATCTTTATGATTATAATAAGGAAATTAGGTAAGTCATTATGTATAGATGCATCAGCAGCAATGTGTTTTAAAAACACACTATATTCAAATTGTAGGCATGTCCAGCTAGTGCCTGCTTGAAGGTACAAAAGGAACATACGGTAAAATGATTACATTTAATTTAAAAAAAAAAAACCTGGAGTACGGTGCAGTAAATTTCTGTTTGGACAGAGCAACTGGTTTTGGACCCCTACCCATCCAATTAATATTTCATAGCAACCAATTTTCACTATACAGTATCTCTCCATAATAATTGTTTATTACTGTAAACAATGGAGCATGTATTTATGTATAATTTGAAACTAAAGAAGTGGAAAGTAATGTTAAATAGAATCCTTCCATTGCATCTGATTTTTACCAAGGGTTTGTTCAAATGGAAGTTCACCGTAACAAATGACAACGTCTTACTCTGAGCAATGGCACGAGCATTGGAATGGTCCTGTGACAGCTTGGGAGCAATGTGGTCAAGAGCATATAATCCTGCAGCAGCAAACATGCCTGCCTGGTGCAGGCCTCCACCTAACACTTTTCTTACTCTTAAGGCCCTGAAAAACAATTAATAATAATTATTAAACTGACTGTTACATTCATTAATTATACAGTATCGAGTAAAAAAAGTACAATGCCTGCAGTTAAATAAATTACTCAGAATCCTTGATACAGTACAAAGAGCACTGCTGACAGTGATCAGCAGTCGGATCACAACCAAACAAGTTTCCTTCACTTGATGTTTCTGTTCATCTAGTACAAATGAGCTACCTATACTAAACAAAAGAAATTCTAGTTTATCACAACCATTAAGGATTAAGGTTTTATCAGTACTATACAGTACTATATATGGAATATACAGGTGAACTATCAAGGGAAAGCGCCAAGCCATTACGACTATATAGCACTTGGAAGGGGCCAGGATAAGGATTTGGGATGAGACGGAGGGGGGGGGGGGGTTGGATGGTGCCCAACCACTTGGACGGTCGGGGATTGAACGCCGACCTGCACGAAGCCAGACCGTCGCTCTACCATCTGGCCCAAGTGGTTGGACATGGAATGTACAGACTAAACAATAAAATGTAAAGTACATAATTTGGAAACAAACCTTGTTATAAATTCTTTAGTGCCCACAACAAGTGAGCCCATTGGTGCACCAAGACCTTTATTTAGGCAGAGAGAGACAGAATCACACAACTGCACAAGACGTGCAGGACTTGTCCCATGAACCACAGATGCATTGATGAGTCGTGCTCCATCCATATGCAGTGGCAGATTTAGTTCATTGCACAGTGCTCCCAGCTGAAAGCAAAAGTAATATTTCACCTGTACAGTACTTCTAAATGATTGTCATGTGACTGATCTTAGTCACTACAGTGTTTGATGTTTTATTTAGGGAAATCTTAAACATTAACCCCAAAAAACATATTTCTGAATTTATACAGCTCTATGTATGGCATAAGAACAAATAAAAAAGACTCAATTACTGTACTGTACTTAAAATGTCAGGGTGGAAACTTACATCGTCCATCCACTGTAGAGGTAGAGCTTTGCCCCCCATCATGTTATGGGTATTTTCAATGCACACCAAAGTAGTTACTGGCCAATGAGGGTCATCACCTCGAACTAGAGACCTTAACTCTTGAAGAGAAAATGTTCCATCTGGTAGATTCTTCACAGTGCGGTGGTGGACACTGCCAACCTAACGGTGAAGAAATCTGTCAAGCAATACAATCATAAAACATGATTATTAACAGCACGTGTACAATTAAACCACTGATAGCATAAGATATCCTTGCCAGGGATGTTGAGCAGCTGGCACTATGACCAAAGAAGCCCTTATATTGGCAATATAAATATTTTATGTCAAAGCTGTCACTCCCCTGCACACATTCATATACTGTAGTACCTCACATGTTATTTTCACATTCAACTCATTCAGTGCAGTATTTTAGAGAGTTCTATTAATCAATGCATCTTCAATAGTTTCACCAATACTGCTATAACTGTTATAACTTCCTCACCAATACTGATTGACCTGAGTGTACCTGATGAGGTGAAACTTATTCTTTTTATAGGCATAACCAGAATAATGAATGTATAAAATACTGTAATGGAATTGATATTTCACTGTACTGCTGAAAGTAAATATATAAATTGCTTAACAAGATACAACATTTTTGAAGGGTGGCAAAGCCTGAAATTTGTACAGTAAAGTCTGACCTGAGCAATTCCTCCCTGGGCCCACAAGTGAAGGTGACTCTGGTCTCCAACTATAATCTCTGAGCCACGACCCCAGCAGTGCGTCAAAACTGAAGTGATGATGATGATCATTATTATTTGACTGCAATGGCAATTTTTTCTTCATCTTCCTGATATTGTCTGATCAGACACCTTGTAATGAGCAATGGTTGGCTTCATCTTACAACAGCAAAACTGAATTACTAGTACTATACTATATATGTAGATAAAATTAAAAAATTTTGGTAACCATGATTTTTTTGTCTATTGATGAAACAATTTTTTTTAATTCATTTATTGTTCTGGATTTAAATACTGTATCATACCTTTTAACTTATCTACTGCCTTAGAGGCTTCATAATTTAATCTCTCTCTATTGTTCACTGAAAGAATCAATTCTAATTTCCCTACACAACTTTTTTATTTTATTTTACATTTGCAGTAAATGTTTTATTTCTGTAAACATTGTTTCAACTTCTAAAATGAGCTTTGCTAGCTGCCTGTAAATTAAATAAATTCGGTGAATCTTTGGCAACGCAAAATATAAATGATATGACACAATTAGACATGCTGCTGAAATTTTCCATGCTGTAACCCAGCTGGAATTTCATTTGTATATTCTTATTACTTCTAATTTAGGTTCCATTTCTAAAATGACAGCAGTCAGCCTTCTTCTGGCTTTAGAAAGATATGTGTGATCAATTGCTAGGGAGAAAGTAGTCTCAAAATTTTGAAATTTGTTTTTAGTATTAATACATATATATTACAGGATTCAAAATAAATCACTTGTATTTTATTAAATCAGTTATTTGAAACTTCATGAACTTATACCTTTAGCTAGAAATATAAAGTTTGATCTGTCTATAGTATGGTGTTTAGGAAGACTAAAAGTTTTGAAAAGCCCTTAATACAGTGACAGTTATGCAAAGCTTAAGAAAACCATATTAGCAGTATTTTAAGAGCATATGATTAGGCATCAAGAGAGAGAGAGAAAACTTACCAAGATTTATGAATGAACAAATATATACTGTATTGAGAGAAAGCTGCATACACTGAAAGGACTTTGGTTCAAAGCATTCTGGATGTGAGAGACTCCATTATATGACTCAAAACAATATTGGCCTATATGCTTAAGATAACTTTCCTCAATATTGAAGATGGATTACTGTATAACAATACATTTACAATTAGTTTTACTTAGCGAGTAAGGTAGAACAATAGTTAATGTAAAACCAATTACACTATTATATTGTATACTTACCACATATCAGATTAGCCATTGTGCCTGAGGGAACAAAGAGAGCCGCTTCCTTCTCCAACATTCTGGCAACTTTCTCCTCCAATGCTTTATTATGAAAAGAAAGGCAGCAAATTAATGCCAAGAAAACCGAGACAAAAATCAAGCGTTTAATGTGATGAAACAACCAAGTCTTGGAATTGCATCAGGCTTCTTGACCCCACACATTAACCTGCTGAGAGCCAGTACCAGAATCTGGCTTTATATACGAAGCATGGGAAGCTTTAAGATCAGAGATCACCCGAAACTGAGAAAACCAACCAGAAAAGTAATGTGAAACAAAATAAGCCACTATAACCAAAAGAATAAGAAAAAATAGTGAAACTTTACAAAATATTATCACCTCAGAATAAGCATATGGTGTCAATCAGAATTTCATGGTAAACACCCAAGAAAACCCAAGTTGAATTAGAATTCTTTAGGGTTAAGCCGATAGGAAATTGTAAATATTTTGGAAGTTACACTGTTACAGTATGTAAAAAATGCCTTTCTCTGCAATTAATTCAGCTCCTTAAGATAAGTTCCATTATGTCCTTGGACTAGAACATGAACAGTAAGGTAGGATGGCCTAAATTCCTTATTATAGTACTCGGCCCCATTGTTATCTTCTATATTCTCTAAATAGGAATTATCTTCCAAATAATTCCTACAAATGCAGTACAGTAAACAGGATCGAACCTTTGACTGTAGGGTCTTCCGAGAACACATCATCTCCCACTGGAGCATCAAACATGGCTTCTTTCATTTCTCTGCTTGGCTGTGTCACAGTGTCACTTCGTAAATCAACAATACGCTGAAGAAAATTAAAACTAAGTGACTACAAATGCAGCCTTGATTTTCATTATTGCTACAGTATGTATTTAAGAAAAATACCGGACAGTATTCAAATTTAATCTAGTTTTACAGTTTAATGAAGGCAGTTTTGTCTATCTTACCAGGACATGAGGCATGCCGGTTTCATCTAGGACACTGGACAAGTCTGCAGGAACCGTCATGTTCATGTGACCCTCGGCTAATCTCTTCTTATGTTTCTTTCCATTAGCATGCTTTAACAATTCAGATTTGCCAGCCAGAAGTTCCTTATTACATGCAGTGCAGTATGCCCGATCTGGACCACTTCCCTCTGAGAGCCACCCATGAAAATCTCGCATTTGCATCCACTCCTTTCGAAATCTGAGGAATTTTCAGAGGAATTAAATTTTGTACAGAGGGGATAAAATAAGTCAGCCTAACAAAGCAATATTTTTGTCTACAAAATTAATAGTTTGAAATTATCTATGGCATTGGTAGATTACTTGCTTAGTTTATTGCTACATAAACTAAGCAAGTAATTAGCTTATTGTGCACCATACCTAACTTAATTACAGGTAATTAAATTAATACCTAATTAATCGATGGCCAATATCTTTATTGGCCATGGCAAGGACAGAAAGCCAGTGGCTTATGGTATGCCCATATACTTTAGCTTTTCAATGTGTATTTTTAGCTGTAGCCTGTTGTGGTCTTTAATGCTTCAGCAGGCAGGTGATACCAATGAGTTTATTATCCTATGGGGTGAAAAAAATATCTCCTATTGTTTGTCCTACACTGCAGTTGATGAACTTAAAACTGTTGCCTCTTGGTCTCAAGTCACATTGTGCCTTTTAAAAAAGTGGTATGGGTTAATGTCTTCTAAATACTGTCGCTCAGTACAGTATTTTTTAACTCACTGAAATTAGTCCTGTCATGTCTTGTATGTCTTGTCTGCAGAGTTGTTATCCTGTGGCACTGAGCCTGTCTTGGTGTGAGAGTTAACTGAGCTCTGTATAGATATTTTACTGGAGCTGCAACTAGCTGTGCAGTTTTCAATAACTGGTGGAGGTCCGCCTTTTTTTTTAATCTGTTGCAAGACTGTTTCTTTAATATGGTAGCTGTGATGTATATTACTGTATTATGTTCCACATTTAAGGGCTCGCTTTTAATTATTGAAGTGCTCTTGCCAGTTAAACCATTTACAAAATTCAGGTAGATCAAAGTACTGGTAATCACTGATGTAAAGTACTGTAATTGTTCAGGGTGTCATGAAAGATCTTTACTGATGTTTTCTGCTAGTTTTTTAACTACTGTATTGTATGTACTGTATTAGAAACCACAAATCAAACTAAAAACAACAATTGATCAAAGAAAATAAATTTTTCCTTTTGCTCACTTTTGACTGTAAATTCGTATTCGTTTCTTCTTCTTCTCTATAGAATGTTTAAGCTCCATAACCTCCAAACTTCCAGCATTTGGATCTTGCTCCTCCACTGACACAGTCATTTCTGTCGGCACATCTGCTGCTTCCTCCAGACCCGTCATGCTGAGACCTTGTGTCTCTATGTCAGACCTATAGTAACACATACAGTATTACAACATTTTATAGGTACAGGTTTAGCACATAAAATATAAGCATTTATGTCAACTATATACTCATTGTAGTAACTAATCACTACTTTATGTAACTTGACAGAGGCTTATATTAAAGTCTGAACTCTTAGACATATGCTTACTCATCAATATTTGTAGCTCTGAGTATCAACATATGTTAATCATAGTGTATGCCATTATCTTTCTACTACTAATATCTCCATAATTACCCCCTTTACAATAAATGTTTTCTCACAGGCTGCATTTGAAACTGGTCTAGATAATGTAAATAACACTTTTCTCAAAGGAATAACCAATGTTTTGGCCTTTGGTTTTTCCTAAATATTCGACCTTATTAACCCAAGATATCCTATTCTAACCTAAACCCTTCCAGATTCAGATGTTTCAGATGTTTATTCAGGTAAGGTATATACATACAAGTGATGTTACATTAATGGATTGATATATAGATAGAGCTAGTACATACAATGCCTAAAGCCACTATTACGCAATGCGTTTCGGGCAAACAGACATTCCAGACATTACTACTCTGGCTAAACAAAACTAACTTCTCCAGAAAGCCTAGAAAATCATGGCTATCTTTGAAGGTGAGCAAATTCTACAGATACATATCATTATGTTATATTACAAATTATCTAACCTATTCTAATCCAGCTAAACTTGTGTACAAGTTGATTGTAGACTGAGCTCAAGTGCCGTAATAAACCACCTGCTGCTGGAGTTATCACAAGATGACACGCTCACTCAAGGTCATATTCGCGAAGCTCGCACCTTTTCCCACGGGCTTTCATTTACGAAACTTACGCGGCAAAGTGTGTGACCTCAATGGAGTGCTCAATGTACTCTGCCTTCATGCTGGCGACGACCTTCTCCTTGGCGCTGGTGGCCTCCATCCTGGCCGGACTTCCCCACACACCACCACAGAATTTCCCTCACTCCCACCCTCCGGGGCCCTCGCCTCCCCGACCACACAAACATGTAACAAAAACATGCATCACATTGTTTAGTTGAATCTGTCGTAATATTCGTATGCTGTTAATAATACTTGGTGTTTGAAAACTTTTAAGAAACACCAAAATGTGTTATAACACGTTAGCTAGAGAAAATCCTCAATATTTGCTGTACAATATATTTGATTTGAATCCAGATACTGGATGGAAGGTGTTCTTCTAGTCACTCGGATTACAAGTAAAAAATATATGTCGCTTCTTAAATTACAGTAATTCAAAATTACTTATATTTCTGAGAAAGTTATAAATATCAAGTAGCTATTTTCTATCACTTCTTTTATTTAAACGCATTACCAGATTATAAGACGAGCCAGCTATAAAAAGAGGACACATGAATCTGGATTAGCCTGCGACACCCAGCTTAAGGAGACGACCAATGGTGGGGGAGCCAACCTTTCCCGGACTCAGAAATTCCCTAATATTTGTTTACATCTCACAAAGCACGTGTATTTTCCATTTATTTACTAACAATACCTCTAGAAACCTATCAATTAATCGCAATAAAATTTATAATAAAGTCTGACCACACAGTAATATATGTTAATAGCCGTACCAATAAACAAATTTAAATGACGTTATTATCAACAACGTATTTCAGTATTTAATGTTTATCTTGAATCTAGATCAAATCGACATAATAAATGTGAATTGTACCACAAAATGATCGAGTGTCATCTTTAATCGCAAATTCTCAAACAAAATTAGTATGCTTATTATTAAACGAAGCTCCACTGCGACTTAATGAATAAATGTAACATTTAAATTTAAAACAAAAATATAAGTAATGAAATTGGATACCATTAGTAATTTTAATAATTACATAAATGTTTTTTGTAGTCGCTTATGTATGTATATATAGGAGTAATTACTTGATATTGAATAATACAGTAATTTAAATACAGTTGAAAGATGACTGTCCCATCCAGCCAGCTGATGAGTGTCAACACAGAGGCGAGGTAGCACAAGGGCGTCCCCGTCACCAGCACTGTGATCTGTATGTTCTGACCTGCAGGAGCAACCCTTGCTTGCCTGCGCGTGTAGTGAGCGGATAATCAGAAGAGTGGTGCGTGGATCAAGCAAAATATGGAGCTGAAAACGAGCCACAGGGAAGCTGTCAGCCAAGGGGACTTCCCCCCGGGGATGGCGCCCAAGATGTTGAACTTGCTTAAGATAATTGATTCCTTGGAGAAGGATCTTACTCCCCTCATCTCTCACCCGTACCACGAGGTGCTCAACAAGGTGAGCTTATCGTGGTTTTATCAAAATGTTCAAAGGTCACCTCCATTTTTCTAGACTTTCTTTCAGCTAGATTTTGAACTGCAAGTCTTTGCATTTATGGCTTCGGTGGGTAGGCAGTTCCATAGGTTTATAATCCATTGAGTGAAAAACCATCTGTTTTCTGTCCTACATTGTGGCTTGTTGAGCTTGAAGCCATTGCTCCTTGTATGTGTTACATGTGACCTTTTAAAAAAGTGGTCTGGATCAATATCCTCCTAATTGTTCAATATTTTAAAAGTTTCAATGAGATCAGCCATGTCATGTCTGGTTTGCAGTCTTGTTAGCCCTGTGGCCCTCGACCATTCCTGGTATGAGGATTGACTTGACTCTGAAAGGAATTTTATTGCCTGGCATTTAACTTTCTCCACAGCAGATATGTCCTGAAGAGAAGGCCTCCATGCTTGGATAGAGTAGTGCAAATGTGGGAACACCAGATATTTTTTACAGTTGAATAAATACCTCCCCTTGAAGTCAAAGGTTCATTTGATTACTTCTAGGGTTTAGTTGACTTTTTTAACTGCAGCTCTCGTATGTTGTGCAGCTCTGTGCCTGGTAGACTCTGACTCAAAGGTCCTTGTGTTCAGCAGACTGCTGTATGGTAATATTGTTGAAATAGTTGTGATATGCATTGTTATGCCCCACATGCAATTTTTTTTTTTAAACTAAACATGTGCCAATGTATACACAGTATTGTGTACTTTAAATGTACATTTATTGGCTAAGCACACATAAAGGAATTCCTGGTGCATGCACTGCTTTGATTTAAGCAAATGAGGAAAAACGGCTTGATACCTTTAGGTTCCCTCATTTGTTAAGTGATATTTGACACATTATGTATTGTAATGACACAGGAGCAATTGTTAGTGATACAATTTGGTATCGGATGATTAACGCATCATCAGAACATCTAAATAACAAATTTGCTAATGATACAATGATGCATCATTGTAGCCTAATGTGAGTGCCAATTTTGTTGTACTTGTAATAATGGTGTACTGGATGTAAACAGCAAATAGGATGTTGTGGGGGACAGGGCTAAGTGGCAGAAGTTTATAAAGATTGAATATGTTTGTGCTCTGTTACATCTCGTGAGGAGGACTGCTGTACCCAGTGCTGTACTGGAGTGTCATGGTGCTAGTTTCTTCATAAGGATAATATGGGGTGTAGAGTAAGGTAAATTAATTATTTTTATCTAAAGGCTGATGTTTCACTACCCCCATGAAAGTGGGAAACAGGTTAATGCTAATAAGCAACTGTAAATTTGTAGGGTTCTTTCAAATTATTGGGATGGAAAGTTCCCTTTTTTAAATATTTCTTTTTAAATTGCAGTTGCTGTCCCTTGAACGAGCCAAGATTGGTATGATGGAGATCTATACTATTAATTCACTATTTTGGGGTAAGTAATATACCACTGCATAAAGGGCTGCTGGTTTACAATGAGGGAAAATTCATTGATTATTTTAGAATGACTCTGGTACTTTAAAAATTAAATCATTGGCACCAAATAAGTATAATATAACAATATACAAATAATTGATTCCTATGGTCTGGGACAATGTCAACAGTTGATCATTTCCCAGAATTCAATGTACTAAATTCTAAGTTATGGCATTGATTGATTTCTTATTGGAATATTAAATAAATATTTATTTTCAATGCCATAAGAATAGCCTGAAGCCTAGTACCCTGTCAAGGGTAAGTTGGAAGGCTGTCGAGCCCTCCATCAATATTTAGCCATGTGGTGTGTTGCCAGAAGCATGTAATAAATTACTGTATATAATACACGTAATCATTTACAGTATGTATACAATACATGTAGTGAAGTTACATGCATTTAACATGCATAGTTGCATGTTTTATAATTTAAAAATGATTAAATATGTTGGAATTGCTTATTAGTAAGGCGGGATATTATCACTGAAAGGTCTGATTGAACAAATTTGAATTTGTTTAACCTATTAAAAAATTGAGTTGCAGCTTTGGTCATGCTTGTACAACATATTTTCATTATATAGTATGGTATAACAAGCTTTATTTTTTACTTAATGAAGTAAGTCTTAATTAAAAATGATTGCTTGTTAAATGGTTTAGTATTTCACTAACTCTTCTACCTGTAGTTGTTATGCAGACAAGGAATCACAATAACGTGGCTGAAATATGTTGACGAAACCACACACCAGAAAGTGAAGGGACGACGACGTTTCGGTCCGTCCTGGACCATTCTCAAGTCGATTGTGGGCAGACCATTCACAAACTTTCGGTCCAGGAAGGACCGAAATGTCATCGTCCCTTCACTTTCAAGTGTGTGGTTTGGTCAACTGTAGTTGTTAGTTAACTCGTGTGTTTGATACACTTCTCATAGTTTTGATGAGAACCAGTGGTGAAGATATTGATGCATCACTTCGAGATGACTACAAGGTGGAGATGGGAAGACTGAAGGAAACCCAAGCCCGCATTGCAGAGATAGAGGCTAGAGCCCACAGACCAACACTGGACAGGCCAGCTGCTGCTAGGTTCATCAGGCATGGACTTCGTGGCAATGCTGAAAATGATCAAGGTAAAGGAGAAAATGTTTTTTTTTAGTGTAGAGTATTATACAGTACTACTGTATGCTAAGTACCTCTCCAAATAGGACCTTAGTAAAAAAAAAACTGGATTATTCTTATTTTGCATATGTCTGTAACTTCTTGCCTTCTGTCTTCTCTTGCCATTTTGTATGTGCTGATGTGACCTGGTTCATCTTGAGTTCGGCCATTACCTTGATGGTGTCTTTTTACATTCTGGCCTAGGCCTTGGTGCTGCATTATATGTACTTGCATAAACAGTGCATTCGGTCTTCCTACTGAGATTCCATTCCATTCCAGACTCCCTACCCTATTGCTTAGAATTAAGGGTAGCTTACATTTATGTACACACATGGTAGTGTGTTACTAATGGAGCCAGGCATCAGAGATCTGGGTGTTTTAGTTAATTATAATTTTATCAAGATACGATTTGTCTTGACAGAAAGTGGGATAGCAGCATTCATTGCTAATATGAGGAAGAAAGTGGAGGCACAACATGAACAAGAATCTAACAACAGCAGCAGCAGTGAGTGTGATGATGATGATAGTGATGGAGACAATCAAGTGCTACCTCAAGACGACCCTCAAAACAGATCGTGGTATGGAAAAGGATGGTAGTTGCAAAGCACATTTTCTGCAATTTGGTTGATGAGGGGCTGGCAAATCTCATTGCAATAATATACAAATTCTATCTTGTGTTATGACCAAAAATTTGTTTGTATCAGGTTATATATAATATTTTTAATTGTGAAGAGGTAACATGTCTGGTAGAAAGGGCAAGCAAAATTTAATATCCTGAAGTTTGATTTATCAGTTTATAGCTAAAGACTTGATGGCACACTACCAAGGACATTGACTTATTAATGAAGAATTGCCATTAATAGAATTCTTCTATTCTTTTAAAAAGAATTAATTCTTCATTGTAATGGCTAAATAATGCAAAATTATTCATGAATGGAATGTTGTTAATGATGCAGGTTCTTAAATTAAAAGACTGTATTTGTTTACACTGGTATTAATGTACAATACAAGAGCACACACACATTGTGTTACAAAAATAAAGAAGGAATGATTTTTTCTGTAAGTACTTTTTCAGTTTTGAATGCCAACTGAATATAGCAACCAGACATTAATTGAGCACCATCTACCCAGCAGATAGAATTTTTATATGGTAGCTCGGCCATGCCCTAAAGAACATGGAATGCTTTAATAATGCACCATACATTTTAAATATACTGGGAAGATTTTGTGACTGGCTGCCCTCCTCGACAAATTAAGGACTTGTATAATGGTGTGTGGCTATTAGAAAGATATGTGATGCACATGAGAGTTGGATAATTAATGTACAAAGTGGTATTTTTTATTATTCGTGCATATAATTCTTAATAAAATTTTTATTAGAACATTTGATTCTTTGACATTAGATATACAGGTATTCTGTAAAATATCTCTAAGTTACATCCAACTACTAGATGGGGTACCCAGCAGTGCCCAGGTCAACCTGGTACCCAGGTCCCTCCATACACCCTCTTGTCTCCACACATGCCACCCTCCCCGGCTCCAAACACGCCTCCCTCCCCCCGGCTCCACACATGCCATCTTCCTCCGGCTCCTCACATGCCATCTCCCCCCCGGCTCCACACATACCATCTTCCTCCCGGCTCCACACATGCCATCTTCCCCCCGGCTCCACACACGCCATCTTTCCCTGGCTCCACACACGCCATCTTTCCCCGGCTCCTCACATGCCACCGTCCCCTGGCTCCTCACATGCCACCGTCCCCCGGCTCCATACACGCCACCCTCCTGCCCCCGGCTCCACACACACGCCACCCTCCTGCCCCCGGCTCCACACACACGCCACCCTCCCCCGGTTCCACACACGCCACTTTCCCCCCCCCCCCCCCCCCCCGACTCCACATTAATTGGTTGTTGTTGCTGACTTCCTGTCCTTGTCGAGGCCACTAGTGATATTGGCCCTCGGGTAAGTTGGGTTGTGGTGAACTTTACTGAATTTAAGGAATCTGCAGAGTAGTTGACCTGAAATGTGTAAGTTCCATTCTGGCACTTAGAAAAAAAGGAAAAAACTTTCTCTACCATTTCCACAATGCATAATTAACAATCTTTACTTTAGCCTAACTGTATTTCTCTGCACTAACATTATTTTCACTTTGAGCACCCAGGCAGACATCAGGTTTAGCCTTAAAAATAAAAACCAAAATTTGTCTTTCTCACTTGCATACCTCGTGTTGGCTGCTACGTAGTACAACCTTCTGACATGTCTTGTACAGTATTTTGGAACTGACATGTGGCAGGATTTTCAGTGTTTAATATTATCAAGGGGTGTGAATGGAAAACAACCTTCAGTGTCTGCATACACAACATAACCACAGTGAACCAGCTTTATCTGCGGTGCCTTCAGGCAGGTTGGGGTGGGGGGGGATGAGAAACGTTACCCCACCCTCTAGGTGGTGAAAGGTTATGCTGAAAAAGCAACTGTTTACCCTTAATAGAGAAGTTTTCCTACGAAAGTGGGGAAACCCTTCTCGCCACTGAAGGATAACCGTTGGCAACAAGTGTAGATCTTCACAGCCAGAGGGATAATTTCTTGTATCATGGTGTTGGACAAGTCTAAATTCAAGCCTTAAAAGATTAAGAATCATTTTAGCAGAACAAGAAAGGCACTACATAGTAATTATTATTGTTTTGACACACTTTTTATTCCTGGGTAGTGATATTTTGGGATTGCTTATGCCTCTAAAGTATCGAAAAGGGTTTGACTTCAATTTAACTTCAAACTAAGGCAGCTTAGGAAAGATGTTTTTTTATGGTACTTGATGGCTGCCTGCCAAACACACACTGAAACTACGACATTGGTACAACGTTCGAACAAGTTTTAACGCCACCTAACCAGTTATAACAACCAATATAGCAAGTTGTAACAACGTTCTAATATGTCATTAACACGTTAAGCCAAGATGTAACAACTTTATTACAAGTTGTAACAAGCGGAAAATAGAGACAGTTTCGGTTTGTGTTTCCAGGGTGCTGACCCCTTATCTAAGTAAGAGCTGTTTAAAGGGTCTTATAGTACAGTTGGCTTGGTTCTCAACTTGCAATCGAGGATCCCAGGTTTGATTTCCAGGCAGGGCAAAAAAATAGTTGGATAAGTTTCCTTTCACCTAATGCATGTGATCACCAAGCAGTAAATAGGTACCCCATACTTAAGCAACTGTTGTGGGGTTTCAGGCAAGGGAAGGATCAGTAGTTCGAACTTAGGGAGAGGAAGGGAACCCTAAGACGAGCGTAAAAAGTGTAATACAGTACTGTATACTGTACACATTTCCAATCTTCTACAAAAACAAATTAAATCGGCAGCCTTTGAGTCCTTAAAAACATTTTCCAAAAGTTGTCTTAGACAAAGGTCAAAACAAAGTTTGAAGGGAATGTCTTTTTTTTCTTCTGTACTTTGGAGGCATAAGCAATCAGAAAATATAAATTAATACAATCTTTCATATTTTTTAATTGAAATGGGATGATGCACATTAATAGGCATAAATTCTCAATCAAATCTTTATTCTTGTCATCCTATGCTAATGCAAATTAAATTTGAACATTACAATAGCCATAGTTAGAGCTAGTACACACCCAACTACACAAATCTATTCATACAGTATGCAAGTGCCCCCCCCCCCCTAAAAAAAAAATAAATCCTGGGCTTTGTGCTCAATTCAATACTGAAGATAAACCACAGAGGATGTTGGGTAACTTAAAATTATTACAATGAAAGGTTTAAAGTTTTGTATACCATCATTTCTGTGATGGGAGTGATGCAATTTCAACCAGTACAAGCATCAACATTTGCTTAACAAATTAGGTATTATACTTTTTACCTAAAAGGTATATTTTTTTAAAGTATTATCATATTTAATGTGCTTTTGGTGGTTTACCTTCTATGTGGAAAATAGAAATTTAGCATCAAATTTATTTAATGCCTTTTATTCATGTGCTGGCTATTACAAAAAAAGAAAAATCTTATGAACTCAAAATTTTACCATGTTTTGCAACTTTTAATTTTTTGGCAATTCAATAATGAAAGGACATACAGCCTTTGTTCAATTATTATATACTTATACAGAGCAATGTTTCACTTGTCAGTCAACAGAGAATTACTGAATCATTTCAATCTTATTTATAATGCTTGAAATGTTTGGAGATTTCAGCCGTTACTTTTGTAACGGCTGAAAATATTCGACACAAAGCAGTCTTGTAAGTTCAAGCATAATCATTCAGAAGATTTAAGACAAAATTCAAGTACAGTACAGTACAGTGCAAGAACTTCTTTGGGAGAGAAAAAGTATTTCAGTGCTTTTAAAATCTATGCTGACTACTGAACAAATTATAGTTTTCAGTCAAAATAGTCCTGTTTATTTACTTGAAGCAAAGTGGTACAATATTTTAATTACTGGTACAGGTACATGCAGTATTAGTGAAGTTTCATGTATAAAAAAATATAAATTAATTTATAACTATAGATCATTAACAATATTTATGTGCTCATTTAATACTTCAATTCTCAATATTTTGCATCTAAGAGTTTTATGTAAATACAGTATACTTAAAGATTTGTATATTAATAGTATATAATTTAATAGGCTGTCTGGGACACACTTGATTCCGTTTGTAACGATTGAGATTCGTGCGTCAGAGTGGAGCACCAGGGTCAATGTTATCTATATTTGGGTAGGAGGTTCAGGTATTACTACGCAACTAGATTAGACCATTATAAAACATGCACCATAAAAAAACTTTTAATCTAGCCTTTAAAACAATCTGCTTGACCGAGTACTAGTTTTTTGTTTAATTTATAACACCAAATTACCTACATATGTTATTTACCATGCTACTTCCCAGTAACTGACACAATGCAGACTATACGGAGCTTGAACACTGGATCCCATTCACTTTCATTCACTATCCCTTGTACTCATGCCTCCAACCTCTACGCTCTTATCTCTTCTTTCTACGGTTTTCACTTCAATCACTATACATGCTCGCCTTCATTTTTCCAGCCTCTTCCTCCCCCCCTAAATACACACACAGCTAACCTCTCACACATTTCCTTTCTTACCTTTTCTATCTTGACATTCACCTTATTCTATACCTATTTAAAACTAATTTTTAAACCAGTTTCTGCTAAACTCACACATACTGCACTTTATGCTCATTTGCAGACATTTACATGATGCAACACCACTTAAAGAGAATAAGATTAAGGAACATTCATTACAAAGATTGAGAAGAGACCATCTTCAGTTTTTGTATAAAAGAATTGCCATGTATCATTGATAACCTCCTCCAAGACAAATGGACCGAAGTCATTCTTAACGACATGACCAGAAAATGTCAACTATACTCTAATAAATACTACTACTCTATTCCAAATTTTAAGTAGCAAGTAAGCTACTTAGAAACAAAAATGTATCATTGTATAGAATAATTCAGTCACCAATGATGAAATGTCTTATTTCCTGAAACAAATTTGGAAATTAGCATTAGATTTGTAAGTTCAAGGAACGCGCAAAGATATATATATATATTCAGTAACATAAATACAAAGCCAGTAAAAATCCTGTCTAGTTCACATTTGATACCAAGAGTGAGTATTTATAAAAGTGTGGTTCATGTACGTGCTGCTCTTTCAGTTTCAATTAAACACTCTCTCACGAGAATTCGTGCATGGACAATTCCACGTTTGAGGCGCTCAGCACTGCTCTTGCTTCCAGCATAAGTAGGACGTATGTCTTTGCCCATTTCTTCAATTACAGCTAATAACTGTTGATATTTGGACATACCATGTGCACTTCCAGGTGATGTATTAGTGCTGCAGGTGGTAAGCCCAGCAGCAGCTGGACTGAGCAGTGATGCATCTAAATCAGTTGTCTGCATGCGAGCTAGTGCCTCTGCCTCCAGTTTTCGAAGCTCTGCCAAATCTGCTTTTGATAAGCCAGCTGCTGCAGCTGCTGCTTGCATCTGCTGAGCCTCTAATTTTGTAAGCTGTGCCAATGCAGTAGAGTCTAACTTTGTCAGCAAATGAGGATCTAACTTAACCAACTGAGCTAATGTGTTTACATCAAGCTTAGATAATGAGTGAGAATCTAGCTTTGCTAGCTGTGCCAACTGAGCATCAAGTTTAGACATAGTGTGTGCATCTAACTTTGAAAGCTGGGCCAGGGTGGCAGGATCCATTTTACCATGTGCATCCAATTTGGAAAGCTGAGCTAGGGTAACTGGATCCAACTTACCCTGCTGATCCAGCTTAGCAAGTTGAGCCAAGGTTGCAGGATCCATCTTGGAATGAGGATCTAATTTTGAAAGTTGGGCTAAAGTAGAAGGATCCATTTTAGCATGTGCCTCTAGTTTAGACAGCTGTGCAAGAATATTTGGATCCATTTTGCTGAGTGTGTGATGGTCCATTTTCATCAAGTGATTCAATGAAGAGACATCTTTCTTGGAGAGATTGTGAGGATCCATCTTAGAGAGCTGTGCCAAGGCTGCATTGTTCATTTTGTTGACAGCTTGTTGGTCTAATTTGGCTAACTGTCCTAGCATGGCAGGATCCATTTTAGATAATGCATGTGGATCCATTTTTGCTAACTGAGCCAGTGTAGCTTGATCAATTTTAGATAAAGAATGAGGATCAATCTTGGATAACTGAGCCATAGCAACAGCATCCATAGAGGCCAACTGGGAAAGTGTAGCCGAGTCAACTTTCGAGAGTGTATGTGGATCTAATTTGGCTAATTGTGCCAATGTATTTGGGTCTAGCTTGGATAACAGATGAGGATCCATCTTGGATAGTTGGGCTAGCGTAGCAGAGTCCATTTTACTAAGAGCTGCACGAGTGTGAGCTTGCATTTGTGCATCATGTCTTGCAAGTTGTGCAAGCATGGCTTGGTCTAATTTAGATAGTGTATGAGGGTCCAATTTTGCCAACTGAGAGAGAGTTGTTTGGTCCATCTTTGCTAACATCATTGGATCAAGTTTAGCCAACTGAGTGAGGGCTGATGGGTCCAGCTTAGAAAGTGTGTGATGATCAAGCTTGGCCAATTGTGACAACATAGCCTGATCTGCCTTGCTCATAGACATAGAAACGGCAGCAGCTGATGCATCAGCTTTAACTAACTGAGCTAGTGTGTTATGATCAAGTTTGGCTAATGTAGCAGCATCAAGTTTGGACAGCTGTGCAAGTGTTGATTGATCTAGTTTGGCAAGGAGATTGGGATCGAGCTTGGCCAAAGCATTGGCACTAGCAAGACTGGCCTCTTGCAGTTTGGCCAAGTAAGCAGCATCTGATTTGCTAAGATGCTGAGAAGGGTGTCCACCAGAGTGAGAATGAGATCCAGAGTGTGAGGAATGTGAAGAATGAGCAGTGGAGTACGAGTGTGATGATTCAGACTTGCTAGAAGAGCTGCTCGTCATCATCTTGACATCCAGATCTGGCCTTAGTTGTTTTGTTAAGGCTACTGGGTCCAAAGTTACTCCCATTTTTGCCAGCATGGCAAAGTCTATATCAGGACGTAACTTGGCAAGAGCTTCCATAGCTGCAGTCTGGGACGATCCACCTTTCTCCATCCTGAAATTGAAGAATGTTTAAGTTTTATGATGGTACCAAGAAATAATAAAATAATTAAAGATAATGCATCTAGAGTAATTTTTAGAATTAAAGCAATTTACTAATCTATCTTCTTTCATTAGGAACACATTTCTACTACATTTCCATATTGTGAAATGAATTGTGAATGCTTATCACTTTACTTTCTTTTAAGATTTTTCATTAAGAGGATATTATAACTTTATAATAAGAAACAATTTTCTAAGTCTCCTGAATAACTTTTGTCTGCAATGCAAGAAGTGTACATTTAACTCATTCATAAGGATTTCACTTGCCATGCTCTTACCATATCGACACCTGATGCACTAGAATTTTCTTCCTGTATTAGAGCAAGTACAAAAGCTTTGAAGAGAAGCAGTAATAACAAAAGGTTTTCTTGCAGGCATGTGAATAAGTAGCAGGCTAATAACAATGGGAGTTGAATTAGTCATGTGAGAGGTTGGGTGAAGATGAGTAAGCACACATTTATAGAAAAAAGCATTTAACACTGAATTAAAAATAGATGAACTGTGAATTCATGAGAATTGCATTTTATTTCCCCAAAAGAATCTTCTACCATAATAGAATTCAATGCCATAAGGCTTTAGAAGGTCAATGAACTCTAACTGCGGTTAAAAATGCTGTTCAAGGATGAGCTTTCATTCCCAGAAGTTTCACTTTATATGATGATCAAGTTCATACCCAGTGAAAAATTGCTTGGAAATAAACTCTCTTCCTTGCACACTGTCTCACCTCGCACTTGTCAGCAGTTGCTGTTCTTCAACTCGGCAACTGGTAGTCTAGCCTAACTTATGTTGTAAAACGTTACCATGGACCAAGGTCAGATGAAGATTGTTTATGTACCTATTGAATGTTGCCATGCCATTACATTATTAAATTTCCTGCCAAAAATATTAAATTTAACTTGTGCTGCATTCTCAGTGGCTTATTTCTAGGGTGACATACAATTCTCATTGATTCAAAGTCAATTTAATTTTACTTAACCTTCCAATTGTAACCACTGAACTTATTTCTCCATTATTTGCTTACTGTATATGTAAATGATTTTTATGCCTTTTCTACTCGCAGCCTTATTTGAGGCCAGGTTTTTCCTGGTGACAATTTGATTGTTAAAAATTACTGTACATAGCACAAAAGCCCATGTACAATTGTCACTACCATGAGGCTAATCAAGCATCTGCTAAATAAGTTAAAATATTTTCCCACCGAAGTTTCCAACATTGTTGGTTTAAGTCTTTGACTTGAAGTGTAAACATTATGCTCCCATGCTTTCTTATTAACTTTATGCCCGAAACGCTTTGCGTAATAGTGGCTTTAGGCACTGTATGTACGAGCCCTAACTATAAATCCATCACTCTTTGTAAAATCTCTTTTATGTATGTACCTTACCTAAATAAACATTTTTATTTTTTATTTGAAGAGTATCCCATTTATCATCTGCCTAATCACCCAACTAAATCTTTGTTGAAGAATATGGGACCTAATTTTTCAAGTATTATGTGAATTACGAAACACAGTAGAGTACATCTCCAATGTACCAGAGAATATAACATGTGCTTTAAAGAATCACAATAACAGTACCACAGTTCACATGTAGACTACCAATACAAGCATTAAAAGATATAGTAATACTTTTATCTATGAATTTACTGCTACCTTAAATTTTCACATTTTTTTTTACCAGAAAACTGGATCAAGGCCACAAAATGCTGCTGTAAGTCTGAGTGTTTTTATTTGCTCAAAAATGGCATCACAGGCATTACTGAAGACAATGATTAATGCTATTAGGTTAAACTCTCCTCTTCCTGAAATTTGTCAAGGTAATGACATTTATTACCTCAAATTTCTCTTTGGTTCCCTTTTTCTTTGCACTGTGCTGATGGTGTCAAAGACCCAACAAAATTAATGGTGGGCATTTCTAATTCCTTATATACAAAATATGCTTTTCCAACAAGGAACCTAAACTGATTTATTTTAATTCTAACACAATTCTAACACATTAAAATGTCCTCCAAATTTGTATTCTTGATTAGTTTGGCAAATTACGCAATACTGTATACAGTATTGTTTCATGGTCCAACTGTTTTTATTTCGGTTACTGACCTTGCTAATGCCCCATCAAGAAATCTGATATAATTAAAGATGCAATATCTATATGCTTTAAAAACAAATAAATAAATTTAAGTCACACTCAATCACCCAATGCCATTATGTACACTAACAGTGCAATGTATTCCAGATGAAAAAGAGAAGATAATTTGTGACTTTATAGTGAAGTTATGAGATGTCAGATCTTTATTACAACGTATCAAGGTGGGGTAGTAAGCTAATATGAAAGAAATGATGATTAAATGATGATTAAATGAATAAAGTCATAATAATAACTCCCACACCTTACCACCAAAGACACCTATGTAAGGTATTGGGGCAGGGGTTTAATCAACCCTTAGCTGATCTTGCCTATAATATGGTGCCAAGTTATTTAAGCTCAAATGCTTTATCCAAATTATAGTCATGCTAAGTTCTCCTTGTTTATCTGGAAATAATTATTTTCATCGTCTTCATCTGGCCTCCCATATTACCTATACTGTATTAATAAAAATGCAAATTTTACCATGTGAGGTTGTCAAATCTCTATACATGAAAATCTCTCTACTTGCAAGAATAATCATTTTGGTGATCAAAACACATGGCTCAAAAATATTTTAACAAATACCGAATCTATTGGTGGCCATTCCTACACTTTATGTATTCACCAACACACAAAAGGAGTATAGAATTTCAGTGAACTAAAATATGATAAATTTTGTTCATGCTACTGCAGCTGGAATAACCAAGAGATGGGAAATAAACTGGCATTTCTTTTGACATTCTTTTTATATTGATTATTTTTATATTGGGGCCATTTCATGTCAGGAAAGTTACAAACCAGATCAAGTGTTCACAATTCATGAGCATCCTTGTTCATTTGTGAATAAGTTTGGTGGCTTTTACTTAGCCTTGGTGAATTCTTAAAAGTGTGGTTAATTTATAGCTCGCCTTTGATCTGCACAAAGTTGCACAAACATTGTTATAAATTTCATTTTGCCTACTACAGTATGTATATGCTTACATAGATTTTCAGATTAAAAACCCTCGAAACATTTTGGATCTCTTTTTATTTTTAAAATATCAACCAGCAAGAATTTTTATCTTATTACAGTATAGTACATTTGGCAAGAAATTGAATATTTATGTAAACAAAGTTAAGCAACACATTTTGTATTCGTTAATTTTCATGATCACAGTCACTTTGTTATGCAACGCACATTTGAATATCATGCATGATACACCTCTGAAGAACATTTGGTATTCAAGGTCCAGTATAATCATGAGTGACTTGCTGGTGATAAAACAGTAAAATCATTCACCAACATGAGCAACACTGTCACCCACTGGCTGTACAGAGTACACTGCAGTCTGCCTGGAGGCTAGGGTTCGCTGACCAAATTTGATGCCAAACTTGGAGCACGTTGATCGGCATCAACCAGTTTAACCGCGGATTCATGGTACATAATCTTGTCTGATTTGCAGGTAAGCTGTCATTACGTTGAATCAAATTCATTAAGATTATGAATATTTTCTTCAGTAACATCCATGACCTGTACTTGACTGTAGTGTGCATGTGTAGAGACCTAACTATTGTGGCAGTTACATTTGGAATATAATAAAATTATTAATATACGAATGTATATTACACGTTAAGATATATAAAGAAATGTATATACAATATATAAAATAAATAAATGAATAAATAAATAAATAAATAAATAAATAAATATATTAACAATATACAAACTTAATTAATTACTGAGCATATAGTTGTAGCTGAGGATAGTGCTGCCAGAAGTGTCTCATCATCACCAATCCAGGACCTGGAAACTGAAGTGGACGACGAGTTGTAGTTTCTTACGAAGGCAAACATTACTCTGGGGAAGTTGTTTGTAAGAAAGGTGCAGATACTGAAGTTAATGTCATGAATGCCACCTTCAAAAACATGGAAGTGGCCTACACAACCTGGCAAGATCTACCGACCTGAGAGCATTTTAAGGGGAAATCTGAACACCATAAATTACTCAATGACTGTAATTCTTTCATTGATGCAATCTAACTCTGCTTTGATTCATGCATCTACCACATTATTTGTCTTTTATCATTTTCCCGTATTCAATTCTTATTTCTAAGGTCACCTTGAAAATGTCTACTTTCATAAAGTTCTGTTTTGCACATTGGTAACTCATGTGACGTCACATAAATTGCTAGTACTGTATGTTAATTCGCATTCTCGTGCAAAATGACATCCAGCTGAACATATGTTCTCCTTTCTGCAGCTCAGCACTGATAGCAAATTTGTTACAATATATTTCGGCCTATGTACAGTATATTCTTCTCAACTTGTCAAGTCAACAAAATTCAATCACAGTAATGTAAATTACAAGGACATTTCCTCTTTTGTGAATGTTAGTAAAATTGCTAATGGCAGACAAATTACTAGACAAAATTTTAACGTGGACGTAATAAAACATTTACTATACATCACTGAAGATTTAGAGTAAATAACTTTACTGACTCCTTGGTTCTCATTTCTTAATACAGTATAACAATTTGATCCAAATTAAAGAATTTGGCACAGCACATACATTTGTATATACAGTACTGGACTATATGTAATTTCAAATAACATTAATGTGACATCACAAAAGACAACATGAAACTAGATTTCTTTGTCTTAAAGATCAAAATTATCAAAATGGCCACTGAATTTTCTGGTGCAAGGACCACTTGTCATGATATAGCCCATAAACATTTTTTACAATTGGGCAATTACTGTAATTCAACACTGTTCCTGTTCCTTTACTGTATAAAATACATGTACAGTACATGTATATGAAAACTTGTGTTGAGCTGTATTTTAGCCAATAAGACCTTGTCTAGTCTTGAGAAACCTTTAATACTGAATTTCTTCCTCACTAAATACAAAACTAAAACCTTAAATTTCAGCTAAATAAAAAATGGAATCATTATAAACTGAAATTTGTACACAATGGTATTTTCCAAGAGATTATATGTATACTGTACAGGTACTTACAAAGTGTAATTGAAGGATATTCAGTATTTGAATCTTTAAATCTTGCTGACATTCACTGGACTTATCTAACTAGAGGAGAGAGAGAGAAAATACCCACGCCCACCACCAATATCATGTACTGTAAATAGAAATAATACTGTAGTAAGAAACTTTAAATAATCAAGTAGAGTCCTTCAGCTTCAATTTAATCTACATAATGACGAGAAAGGAAAATTGACCTATGAAATGATTGAAGCAAATCAACTCTGGATAAGATTTCTGGAACTGAAGCAAAACCCTCATAACAATATCTTAAGATATTCCTCATACAGGTCCAAAATTAATTTAAAGAATGATAATCCTAAGAGGAAGCTCCTAAGATGTTTGACTAAATGATGGACATAACTACGCTTAGACTGGGCTTAGTATCTTGGTATCTACTACAAGAGCCATGTAACAATCTTCCTGCTATTACAGTGCCATTCAGTTTGGCTGTCACTTTGTACACAAAAAATTTGAGCATCATGCGCAATACTGAAACTAATATATTTATTATATATAGGCCTAACTACCACAGCAATACTACTATAAAATAAATTGTCCTTAGAATCTAAAGAATGATGTTCAACCATAGTACTAAGCATTATCAACATTTCAAATAAAAAAGCTGGTTCTACTAAAACCAAAGGCTTACCATTCTTTTAGGAGTAATATTTGTTATGCACTTAGTACTATACAAAGTCATCACACTTGAAGGTGGGAGAAGAAAAAAGGACAATAATAGATATATTACTTGATACACCACCACTGAGGTATAGGCTGATGTGAATACTTGAAGTATGTGATGTTACACAAATGAGACATTCAAACCTTCGTTCCCTTGTGGTCTCAACTCCAATACAGTACTTTGTATCAATGATATTTTGTTCAGAAAATGCAATTTTAATTTTATGCAAAATATTTAGCTTAGGCCTATGTGATAAAAGTGTGATATTATAAAAGGCCAGCAATTACAGTACAGTACAGTAATTTATACTGAATATCTTTACCACGCAATGTTGGATGCCAACCCACCTTGGAGAAAGTGCAGCATTTGAACAATAAACTATGGATTGGAAATATGCCAAACAATGCACTGCAGTACTGTATTTGGTTACAGGTTCATTGGAGTGAGCCAATATCTTACTATACACGCACATGAAGATGCTGTGCTATTTGGATCCAGGTCCATAGAGTACTACACTACTGTATGTTGATGCCAGCCAATAAGGCACAACTCCGTTACCTTGTACAATATACAAATACAGGTAGTGTCATCTTGAGGTTATCTTGAGATGATTTCGGGGCTTTTAGTGTCCCCGTGGCCCGATCCTCGACCAGGCCTCCACTGGGTGCAGCCCGTGACAGCAGATTAACACCCAGGTACCTATTTTACTGCTAGGTAACAGGGGCATAGGGTGAAAGAAACTCTGCACATTGTTTCTTGCCGGAGCCCAGGATCGAACCCGGAACCACAAGTCCAGTGTGCTGTCCACTCGGCCGACCAGCTCCCTAGCCATGGGCCATGGGCCCATTTCCAACAAAACCACAATTCTAAGGTTAGGTACAGATTCACTATTCAGACAATCCTCCAATTACCCATGAGAAGTTCTGCATTTTCTACAAAATGAATCAGTATCTAACAATCTGCAGAACACATCTAAAATGCACAAAACCCACCTGAGGGTCTATCAAGATTTTGTCTCATGCTTCAGAAGACAAAGATGCAATTTCTCTAATACAGTAATATTCTGTAACTAATAGATAAAACTATTTTACCTCACAGAGTATTCACATCGGTGTATTATTGGAAAGGGGATCATATCAGAGAAAGTGCAGCATTTCTATAAATTCTGTATCCTAAGAAGTATGGATACACCGGATACAGGCCTATGAAGTGTGACACTATCTAAATAGAGGATAATGTAACCTAAAGCATATAAGCAACACAAGTAATGTTTGTCCAATGATTCCTAGAGAGCACTGATATGTTTCAATATGTACTTGCCACGAAGATCAGTTTTTTGACAACTGGAGATTAGTCATGGACTAAGTGGAATTTAACTAACTCATCCAGGTCTCTCTAGCCAAGGTAGATATATAATGTTGTAACAAAATAAAAATTGACCATATTGGAAAACTTAATATGGCACTGTAAAGACACTAAGCAACAACATACAGGTCACACCTTAATAAAGTTTTGTCAGTGGTGTCAGCATCCCTCCTCTGCATATAAAGCATTATCTGGTAGCTTCATGGGCACAGTATTTGTAACATGATATTCTAACCATATATTGGGAGTGCAGTATCTGTTGTTTAAACAATATGACATTATATCCCTTGAATGACATATTTTTTGCAAATGAATGAGTTTTAGGCACTGAAGTACAGTACTGTACATTAATACTGTGTTTCATTTATATCAAGATTTACTCACTGACCAGGATTAGTGGCCATACTACCAATATCAGAGTGTAAACAAGCATGCTCAGTAAATCATCTTGATGAAAAGCTTGCTGACCTGTCTGTCAGAACCTTGACAAGCAGGGGATAAATATGAAGGTAAAATAAAGCTGAAAAGTGGTCTGGATCCATATGAAATGCCTGCTCACTGATTGAATGATGTTATGAATCCAGACATCGTTAAATAATTACTTCATTAATTAAAGATCATTGTTCATCAGCTGAGAAACTACAAAGGACAGGATGTAGACAATCAATTTGTGCTTGGCTGGGTTTATGACACACCAACTAGGATTATATATGGTAATGGACAGTTTGGTGCTTTCCAAACAATGATCATTCTCTGAAGAAGCCAGGATAAGCCAAAATATGTAATTTCTTAATGCTTATGGATGCTTTAATTTTGTTCAGTACAGTATATACAATTGATTATACTGCCCCAGTGAGAATTTTTGGGAGCACTCTGAACACTTTCCTGATATAGCCAGTGGAGATTGGGCTTCCCTTCTTCATGCCCCTTACTCTACCCTACTGTTTTAGGATGTCATCCTAAATCTAAGTCCTTAGGCACATATAATTTAAGGACTACTTGGCCAGGAGTTGGCCATTATTTTAACTTGTGGGCAACTTTGTGAATAATGGTACACTTTGTGGGGCACACATCTAATGTACATGTAAATGCATAATATTTATATTTACTTGTGTGCTGACCTCAAAATGGGGATTTAAGTTGTATTTTTGAGGAGAGCCCCTTGTGACTTCCTGAAGTTACTGTATTTTATTAAGATGGCTCCTAACTACTAGGTCACATCAGTCGTGGAGTTCTGTTGGACCTAACAAGAGACAAAACTTGGCCTCCCTCTCAGAGGCAGAGAAAGTAAGTGACACTTTGCCAACCCACCAGGAAAGCATCCAGAAAGTCACCAAACCAATACTGACTACTGCTTTGTTCAAAATAACCAAAGCCTCAAAAGTGCCAAATGAACTCTCCAAATAATGTAAACAATCGAATCTCTCGAAACTAGTGTGAGCTCGTTAGCACTAACCCCCCCCCCCCCAACTACTAGTAAGGTGGGGGAGGGGTCTCCAGGGCTTCCTCAGCTATCCAAGCCAATTATGTTGCTGGACACCAGCTGTTGTCCACTGTAGGGCTCCTGGGTCATCAATCAGTTGCAAAAATCCTGTTGTTTCTAAAGTAAGTGCCAGCCATCTTTGGAGCTTTTTTCTGTGGGAACTATTTGCTTGGTATGGTTCTATATTTTAGTTAAATTCCCCCTGCATATTTTGTCCAGTTTGTGTTGTGGACCTGGCTTGGTTCAGTGCTTGGTGCTGCATGTGCTCAGGCCTAGCCTTCTATGTGCTCTCTCCTGCTCTAGACTAAAGAGAAATTTTAGGAATTTTGGTCTAGTTAGCTCACTGACCTAACTAGGGTGTGGCCTAACCTGGATCTGCTAAAGTTGCAGCCATCAAAATGTTTAAATAAAGAAATCAATACAGTACCTCCAATAAGGCAGAGTTCCAGGTAGATAATGCCAATTAAAAATATTACTAAAAATATATAACAAAGTACTAAGGATTTATTTAATATTTAAAGTTTTATTAAAAATTTTTAAATTTATCAAATTTATCTTTTCTAAATTTGTGCAATCATTACCCAGTTGCAAGGTGACAGGTTACATTATTAGGCAGTTGCCCTGTCAATTTGTGCCAATGAAAAGCCTAGGCTGTAGTGTCAATAAATCACAAGTGAAGGCAGACTAATTCATTTAGAACTTGTTTATTATGAGTTCAAAATACATTATCTGTGATAAATAAACTGTATAGATTATTGCAACAATCATCCCATGATTGGACAATTACTGTATTCTGTGCATGCTATACCATGAGACATGGCCTCAATTAACTTGTATATAATTTTCCAACATTAACTGCAAACCAACAGAAATCCTACATTAAAATGATCATACTTGTTGCTATTTTAACAAATTAAAATGATTGAAGGCACAGAAATTAGAAAATGCTGCATTCCATGGTCATAGTCCAGACTACAGAAAATTAGTGTTAGCCATTTTTAGTACTGCAGAGCTCATGCAGTTCAATGGAGACTCAGCAGTAGCTTCAGAGATATCTAGGCAAGGGGGAGGATATGTCCACGATGTCATCCATCTGGTTCCTGGCCAAACCTATTGTGTTTAACCTCACTTAACGAGCTACCTGGAGATCATCCACAATGCCTTACTACACTCTCATAACTCGCGCCTAGGACACCAACAACATCCATTTCAAAATGCAAAACCTGCAGTACTGTACAAGAGCGAGCATCGGCTCCACCTAGACACCAAAACGGAATCACATCACTAAAGAAAAAGTCTGAAGTTTAGCCGAGATGTGCCACTTGGCGTTGGGCGGAGAGACAAAAGCCTTGAGCAAGCCAGGAGGCGCGGCGCCCTGCTGCCTGGCATCACCCCACGCTTGAGATAATATGGGGTGAGGTGTGGGGGGTGTGGGGTGAGGTGTGGGGAGTGTGGGGCCAGCAGCCTCGAGTACTTACGTCCACTCAAAGGAAAGTGTGACGGTGGCGCCTCAAGACTGTGCTTGAGTGTGTTTACGTCGCGAACTCTCCCGGGCTCGCCACATTCTCTTGAACTCCTCACCACACACCACAAGCACCTCATGCACACCACAAATACTAATCCAATTCCTCTTAAAATAAAATGACAACCGCTATAACTGTACAGAATATTATGTATTATTCTACTGTCTCTGATGTATCATTATATGATTGACGTTTCTAGTATAATACTGGAACGGGATGGAGTCGTCTGCCGTGGTGGGCAACGATTACCTTCAACAATATCGAAATATTTCATCAAAGCTGAAAAAGTAGGCCTAAGCAATTCATGTAAAGCCTTTTTGTAGCTTATTTTGAAATAGCATGGGGCGGTATGATTATAATGTCAAATATATTAGAACATCAAGAAAGGACGGATTAGGATAAAACTTTCTGACCATATTTTGTAACCTAAACATTTGGATAATTTTATAGTTCACAGGTCTCCTATTAGCATTAGAGAAATGTATATATATACAGTATATATAATAGTATATAATGTTAGACGCTCGGGCATCACATGATTTCATAGCACAGTGGAGGCAGACTAATAATCCTGAAGGTGGATTGTTTCTAATTATTTATTTATTTATTTATTTAATTACAAGAAGGTACATTGGATTTGCGAGAGTACATAATATAATTGTTTTTACATTCTTGCAAAGCCACTAACACCCATAATGTTTCGGGCAGGTCCTTACTCTTAACAGATAAGATTATTAATAGGTTCATTGTAGCAAAAGTTTGAGTGCAACATAATAACTACAATATAAATTGATGACTAAGATTACACTGGGTGAAGTTGCACGTCTTAAGTACGGTACTAATATTGGAGGAGTTGGCAGCACAAGATACAGTGGCAGTTTGAAGCACACTTTAGGAAACTATGCAGATTGAATTGCGTACTATTTGGTTTTACTTTTAAATAGGTTGGACATGTTTTCAGCTAAAAATCTTTTTTAGCTAATTTTGTTGGGGGACAGGATGCCTGTGTATATCTATAATTTAGGCTTGTATCAAAGTCCCCCCCCTCCCCTTTCCGAGGCCAAACTACTGACCATTCCAAAGATGTAACACTACACTAATTACCTAACTCCTAGGTACCTATTAACTGCTAGGTGAGCAGAGGCATTAGGTGAAAATAAACATGCCTAACGATTTCTGTCCCACCTGTGAATTGAACCTTGGATCATCATTTGTGAGTCGAGAATGAAACCATCTCTTCAATCTTGTCAAGTAGTGTTATCAACATACAAAACCCAACATACAAAACTATCCCTATTATGTTTCCCTTGTGACTGTTTACATTGGGACTCAAGAATACATAATTAACTATCCAGTTTGTTGGAATTAAATTAATATGCATTTTTTTTATCTTACAGACGTTTTCTCCGAAAGCCAAATGTAGCAGAAGCAAGCGAAGAGTTTGGTGAGCTGATTACATTTAAATGAGTTAATTTATTGCTGCCCTTCCCTCTGCTCCGCATCCCTTTCACCCCATATCTTTCATTGTAGTGGTGTTTAATGCATCATTGAAAAATTGACCGTATCAGATCATATAAAAAAGCACATTGCATTTTGAAGATTAATTTTATATAATCTTCTGAATAGTAAATCCATGCCTAACCTAAGGATTGTGGATTTGTTAGATCACAGACCTATGAGGCACTTGCTATTTAAATACAGAAGGTCCTTATATATTTTGAGTGCCTTTTTGGAAAAGCATCGACTTCATGACTTCAGAACTGCTTGTACAGTACAATATAACAAAAAGTTATCATTGTGCTGCTCGTATAATTATGGTTACATTATACCACTGTATCCTGTATCCAAATTGTGCAGCACCCCATGGGCCTGTATCTGAACAGTTCAGTGCAGCACTTATGAGTCTGTATTAAACTAGTACAGCATTCCATGGACTTGTATCTAATTTCTCAAATTACTCCCTAGAAATCATTTGACTTTCTCTGATATGATCAACTTTTCAACTAGGTAATGCCCAGAACTATAGCGCTGTGTGATGGAGAATATTTATAAATCACTAAATCTGTACTATTTCAATAAAATAAATTATACATATATATTTTATTAATATTTTATGGCATAGTACAGCAAAAGTAATTCCTTTTTGTTTGTTTTTGTTTTGTATTTGGTAAATTTTGAAATAGTTACTGTATAAAGAAAGTTACTGGGGCCTAGTATCAGGCTATTATTAAATGTTGCAGGTCAGTTAGCACGAGAGCTGAGTGATGGGGAGGCATGGGCACAAGCTGGTCTGTGCTGCGTAGCTGTGGCCAGATGTGAGCAGACCCTGGTGAACCCCACCACTGAAGTCTCGGCCATAACTCAGGCCGCCAGGTACTTCCTCAAGGTAGGTGTTTGTGTGGCAAATGCAGGGTTTTCAGCAGAGGAAATGATAGTTACTAGTTATCAGCTAGACAGCATTGAAATTGCCAAATTTCTTGTCATAATTAATAAGGATCTTAAGCTTTGAAATCAATGTACAGTATGGATAAATGTTCAAAACAAGACAAATAGAATGCTAGAATTCATAACATGAAGTGTTAGTAATAATTCATCTAATGCTTTATCTTATGCTTGTTAGACCCCTTCCATTTAGAATATGCACCATAATAAACAGAAGGATGACAAATTTATTCCTGGGAATTTGAAATTTCCATTTTGAAAGGAGATAAATAAAAATTTAATTTATATTTTCTCTAAAAGTGAAGAATAAGGGGGTTACATGATTGAAGTACATTGTTACATTATACAAATCATTGAAAGGTTATAACAATAAAGATATGAATTAGATAAGTTTAGTCAGAAAAGACTTCGGTAAATACTGGTCTTGATACAGGATTGTAGTTTTTATGGAAAAGATTACAGTACTTTACTAATTTTTTCACCCTTAACCTCATTAGATGGTTTAAATAGCTTGCAGTCAATTTGTAACATGTTTGTTTGATGATGGACATGCTCAATACTATAGTGATCTTATTGGCCACTTCTTCATTAATCTAGCCTACAGAGAATCTCGGTGAAGTTAATGATATCATCTGGGGACAGTTAGAAGTAACAGCCAGGTAGTGATCTAGCAGTTTAGCAAGAGCACTATGTGGCAGTTCCTTATGATATAAGTAGAAGTTGGAAAGGCTTTTGAATGTTCATGAATGAATTTTGTGCAATGACACTTGCCTTGATTGAGCTTCACTACAGTGCCCCACTATGAGTGCCTGGGTCATATCAGTATGACCCAGTAGGGACATTTGGTAAAATTTATGGTTTCCCATAGTCAGGGACAAAAGCCTGTTGGGCTTATCAAGGTCCCTGTACAAGTCTAGGCCAACTACAGTACTGATGACCTTACCCAGGATACAACCCACAACAGTAGCCTAACTCCAAGGTACAGTATCTGTTTACTACTAGATGAACTGAGGCATGTGGTGGAAGGAAAAGTGCCAAACCATCTTTGTCCTACCCAGGGATTGAACCCATTATACTGTATTTGGTTGTGAGCCGAGGACGTACACTACTGCGCTACAAGGTACGAATCTGTAATTCCCCAAAGAAAAATTTCACTATGCCATGTCTCGTACAATCCTGTCAAATGGCATATTCAATTACTGTATATTGTTTTAGAGAGCATCTGAGCATCCTGCTCAGAAAACAACATTTCCTATTCACCTACAGCTTGAATTTGTTACTGCTTGGAAATTAATTGTATTTAGCTCTTCTACAGAATTCCTTGAAACTACATTATCAGTGTTCTGCTATTCTTTCAGGCTGAAGTTGTGAATCATCACCTCCATTGTCCCAGTTTTAATGAACACCTTATGACTGCAATTAGTTGTTTCCAACATGCCATTCAACTGTACATAGACCAGAAGAAGCCAGCACTAGCTGCATCACTTGCTGTGGAGTTGGGACAGGTACTGTAATTTTATCTTATTAAATGCTAAAATGTTGCTAATCAGGACAAGGAAGCAACAGTCAGGTTGTCATCATGTTTTTTAGGTAGAACCTATTTCTTTACAGTACATTGTGGTACATATACAGAGGAACATAAATGTTAAAGTTTTATACTCCGTCAAAGATTCACAGTGATTTACAGGAAAGAAATACAGTACTGCGCTGTACACTGTCACATTTGTTTTTATTTTGAATAGAAGCATACATTTATAATATTTATCTTTCATACTTTAAAACTGCACACCAGTTATCCATCCATCTAAGTAATAAGCACTCTGATATGATCAACCTTTCTAATCTCTACAGTGTCATCAAATGAGCTTTGTATATTTTTCCTTAACTAAGTTATATGATTTATCAAGAAGACTGTTAAAAACTAAATATGGTACAGCAGATTCACTCTCTGATTGGATCCAAACTCTGGTGTATCCAATATTCCACTCTATCCAGTCTTTGCTATTTTATACAGTTAATGTGTTTTAGTATGGTATATTATTTCAAATGATATGATGTCTTGTATTTGCAATTTTTTTTTATTCCATATACATGTGGAAAAGAACATTTTTATATTAAAACATAAACAAATTGCCAGAATTTTGTTTATGGTTAATTGGACCTGCTAATCTGAATTAGCAAAACTATCTTGGTTGTCTAATTCTTTGCATAAGACAATAACCAAATTGAAATTTTTCCATTTGATTCAAATAATTATTATGATGTAAATACTGTACAGTACTGTATTTCACTGAAATATTTAGCAATAATAAAAATAATGTATATGGACCTAATTACCTCCACTGCTGTACAAAGAAAAAAAAAAGACAACATTCTGCATCAAATTAATTATTGTTTTTAAGAACGGGGTGATCATCAAGCCAGGAATAAGACTGAGTGTGAGGAGGCATTTCCAGAGTGCATCGGGAATACTTCCTACACACAAATTACTATTGCCGACATCTCGTAACTACATTGACAGAGACCGTGACTATTAATTAAGATGCTGCTGCAGCCATGTATCCTGGGATTTTGTCTTCAAAAAATGCTTAGCCATTAAACAGTAACAGTCTGGTGACAGAGTTCTGTTATTCAACATCATAATTAAATATGTAAATTTATTCAGGATTAATAAAACATAGTACAGTATTTAATTTTCAGGCCCTTCGGTCATTAGGACGCCCATCAGAAGCACTGACTCATCTACGTATAGCAGCTGACCTCCATGCTGCCTCTCCCTTCCACCACCTCACTTGTCTTGGCTACATTGCTTCATGCAAAATAGAACTGGGTTTGTATGACTGATCAATATGCCACATTTACTTTCAGTAGTTGAATTGTTGACATGGTCAATATGGCATGTTTAACTTCAGTAGGTGAATTTTGTGTTCTTTAAAGCCTTATACCTCTCTTGGAGCCACCCTCGAAAGTAGTGGATTTTTTTTATATACTGTACTGTATATTGTTGTATTAATTAATAGCATTTATTTATTGGTGCCCTGTTCTGTATTCCAGGAAACACTTCTTCATTTAGGGAATGGCTTCAGTGATTAATACATAAGCATATCAACCACTACAATAAAAACTAGAAGGAAGCCTATAAATTTGGGCTTCAATTTTTTATTTATTATAGTACAGTATATTATTGTCCCAAACAGAAATCCTCTTAGATTATTCAAGCTTAAGCTGAGGCTGTTCATTTGGTAAAACCACTGCTGTAACCCAGAGATTATGCTACTAAAGGCACCATTAAATTATCAGCCTCAGCATATGAGGAAGTAAAAGTCAACTGCATGTTGTGGAACGGTGGGCTGTGTTGGCAAACCACCATGGGTTACCATGTGAATAAACACAAGTCTCTTCAGAGGTGTGGAAATGTGATTGTAGAGAGGGGGAATAACAACCTGCACCTAGGTGATAAGATGTAATGTTGGGGCATAGTGAATAATATTGGACAGTGCCTTGGTGTTGGTTAGTATGTCGGCCCAGTCACGTGTCGGGCTCAATTACGTGACAACACTCAGAGGGGTATCGGAAGCAACCACGAAGAGAGCCACTCTAGAGTTCGTCTGTGACATGACTTATGTGACTACTGTGCTTCCTTTAGCCTCAATATCTTTGATAATTTTTTTAAATTTTCTTATGTTCAGGAGATCTTCATGGAGCTTTGATGGTGTTTACCCAGATGACAACATTAATTGAGAAAACTGCCGAACTACCACTTACTGGGGCGTATAAGGACATTCTGGCTAGGTAAACCCATGATTAATTTTGCTCTTCATAAAAGTTTATCTTATAATTTTTATTTTAAGTACTTTAATGTACAGTAATCATCATTACCCTGTTCCCACTTTTGTGGTTTGAAAAAGCATTACTTTGTAGAAAGTAGGAGAGCAGTATAGTATAGGAATATAATAAATAAAATAATAATAATTTGTTTAAACAAAATTACATACATATGATACAAGAACAGTGGAGAATTCCTCGGTAAGACAAGTACAATCCATTTACTCAAATACATTCTCTTCAACAGTCTCTCGTCTAAATTATCTTGGAACTTTTTCCTCGTGATTTTCTGAATTTTACACTCCATATGTTTCCATGACATTTCCATTAATTTAATCTAAAAAATAAATCCTCTTAAGACCGTCTCAGAGTACCTCTGTATAAAGTTCAGCTTACGTTTTGTCCAAGTCCTCAAGGCTATGTATGCCTTACAGTTCTTCATTGTCTAGCAAAAATAGGATCCACATCCAACTTGTATCTTTGTACAGGTACTATAATTCATCATTTTCCAAATTCTGTTGTTATAGCCTAACAGCAGTTCTCAAATTCTGTGCAATTGCCTTTTTTTTTATATATATTGTTGTTCAATTAAAGTGCAGAATAAAAGTAGGTTCAACTCAGTCATATAATGGCAGAGGGAATAGTGTATAACTGTACACAAATCAGAGTCAGCAAAATGATATGGCTCTTAATGCAGTGTAATTGTGAGAGACAAAAGTGTAATACTGTAACATCTAGTGATAAAAACTGTAAAAAAATAGTATATTCTTCCAGGTGTGAAATTTCTTCATTGCTCATTCTGTTGACACTGCAGCCTTTACCTCAGCACACCAAGCTGCCTCATGCTCAGCTTCTGGAAAAGTACTCTTGGAACTCTCCTGATCTGCAAAAACTTAATGGTAAATGCTTAACAGCTTATTTTTATAAATATTACTTTTAAGAAAATTCTGTCATTTTCTGAATTGCATTCCTAGTTTTTTCTATACCCTGTAAAAAACTCAAATGTTTATGGAGTACAGTATGTTATGGTGTGGAGTATGTCCATTGTTTGGTTGAAAATAAATGTTTGCCTTATGTTTTAGTAACTTCAAATTTTGTTTTATCTATTACCTTTCAAATTTTGCAACATGCATATGCTGTAACAAAAAACTGTTATATCATTTTAAGCCAACAAGCAAGTTATCAATGTCTGTTATAATATTTTTTGTAGCACTCCTATTTCAGTTGTGCTGTAAGGCAAGATCCTACTATTCCCTGGGTAGAATGTTTGTCCAGTTATTATTGGTTCCAAAGCACTTACATTGCTTTGGGACGAAGGTTCTGATGACCTAGCATTGGTTACAACCTCTGCTTTGCTTCCCTAGTTTGTTCATGTTGGAGCAATACTTTCAGGACAATGCATGGTATAGTTACTATTCAACCAGAAATACTTCCAGACTTAATTGAAGTTTGGAAGTCATCGACTGGCACCACAATCAAAGTTTTACGAGATTCCCACGCACTCAGTTGAAGGTACCAGATTGTGCCCTGCAAACTCCAAGTAAGTCAAGTAGTATTTCTGGTTGAAATACTTTTGACCTCATCACGGCTCAGTTGGTAGTGTGTTTGCCTTGGGAGTCCAGGGACACAGGTTGTTTCCATTGTACAGCTTTAATATTTTCTCATAGATACATCATGTTATTGTGATTGCATTGTGTACAATTATTAAGTCAACAAATAGTAAGGTTCAAATGAAATGCATGGGTCGGGAACCAATCATTTTTCAAGTGGGAACACTGTACAGTTTTATTAACTGGAAAAGAAAAATTTTGTTATTAAATTTCAATTTATCCCATATTCAAGTATGAAACATTGTTCTGGGGTGATACAGGTAACCACTGTCACTGCAGAATAGTGTTTATTATTGCAGGTGTTTAGTGTATCATTTATAGGAATAATTTATAGTATGGCTCCAGTATGTATAACAAAATTTATACTTTTATACTTGGAGCTATTTTTCCATTGTATTACTAATACTGTATCAGTTGAACTACTTATGTTGTTCATTCATAAAACCTAGTTCCCCATTGTGTTACTTGTGTAAATATGATTAATGAATCATTCCTGCATCTTGGGTTCTGGAGAGTAAAGTGACTACTTGTACATTAGAAATGAGAAGTTTCTCGTGTGTGGGTTTAGGGTTTCTTTGTTCTAACGAGGGTATTCTGAATATTTTTCTTTGTTGAATTTAGCTTATAATTTGCATGAATAATGTATTGTAAACTATTATTATAAGAATTTGAATTTTTAACTTTATGATTGTGAGATCAATTATCTGTAAATGTTGCATTTCTTAAAGAGGATGTTCTCTTACTGCAGTACCATATGATGATGCCGAGTTAGTGGTGCTGCTGCAGTCCTTGGTACTGACGTGCCAGGGTCGAGATACTCAAGCTCTTGCTACCCTAAGTCAGCATCTCACTCGCTTACTGGGACCTGAACACCTTCACTTACTTCACACACTTGTCACTGAAATGAACAGAACATGATACTTATATTAAGTGCATCAGAATATGTAATGATGGATAATAGTTACACAGTATTCAGTTAACAAACCTGCCACACAAAGAAGACTGAGGCAGAGATAATAGGAAACTTCGTACTCAGTTTTCTCCTATCTACTATCTCGAACCTATTTTTACTTTGATGGGTTTATACGTGATGGCAATTTTATATAAATTGGCAAATTGCATCACTGAGTTTAATGTTGTACTGTGTATTAAGCCAATTCAATAATATTGCCTTGAAATGTGTGTAATGCACATTTTAATGTATAAACATTATTGAAATTTGCATCAAATAGTTGAAATCTGAAGCAGCAACATGTTATTATATTAATAATTGTTTTCCATTAACTATCTCTTTACTCTATTGAAATGTATATTTTATAATATGGTTATTTTCATAAATAAAATATGTTATCACATAGTTTTTTTATGGTCCATAAGAATATCTATCCTCTTAAATAAACAAAGCTTGATTGATAAACCAGCAGACAGTGGTACTGTAATTACTTGTAATGATGTAAATTTTGTATTTACAGGATGACATAGTACAACATCTCCAGTATATTTTGAATAAATTTAGTAACCCAGTGAGACACACGACAAAGGCCTTTATGATATACAGTACTGGGCGCTTGGTTAAGGTTTAACCAAAGGAGGTTAAACACAGGTGTTAGGAGGTACTCCTAACACGGTACTCTTATTTTGCTGATAGTGTTGGATTTTTTTTTAATTTGTTGTCCCACTGAGATTGCTTATTACATAAGAACATAATAAATACAGTATTTCATTGATGGAATTTTTAAATAAGGAAGTCTCCAATTAATTTTACTGTCTTAGTTTTCCCTTGGGGGATAGTCACTTCATATAGTAGCAGCTAGCACAATTTCTTTTAATAAAAAAAGCTGAATTTAATTACTTTATGTTCTTGCATAATACTCTTATTTGGGAGTCCAATAATGTAATTTGCATCAGTTAAGACTTATTCTGACACATTATGGAGGAAAGAGCAAATGTTGGATTATTGTTTATGAATTAAATTTTGATGAGGAAAAATCTATTTTTTTTAAACATGACAGACTGAATATGTACTGTGTGTGTGTGTGGCATTTTTTTTTTAAATAAGAGAAATAGTAACACAGATTACATGTGTGTCTGGAGTGAACCACCAATCAGTCAGCACCAGTATTGACAAGGTTATAGTTTTAAAACATGTTTAAAACAAAATATGAAAGTTTACTAATGAATTCAACCATAATAATGTAACAAGGCAGCATTATTTTTGACATGAAAAAGCTCGGTTGACACTGACCTCGCCTTCTAATTAAACCTTTCTCTCTTCAGAAACTATCATATCCAGTAAGCACAAACTCCAGTAATCAAGGAAAATAAAACTTGTGTTTGTATGACATAATATATACATATTTAGAACAAAAATTTGTTCTAAATATGTGTACTGTATATTTATCACAATTTTTTTAATTATGAACCTCTCCAATTAAAGTATTCCACCTATAGTAAATAATATTCAAAGTACAAACCAAATGACTTACAACAAAATTAAGAATGCATCCTGTTTATAAGCTCAGGACCCCTGTATACGATTGCATCATTCATATTACCTGAATTTAAAAGTGTAGATGTTCCATCAAAATTATTTTAGAATAGGCTCAGTATTTGCCAACAAACCTTTATAATATTTTCGTAAACACAACTTTGATGACAAAGCTGAATCAAACATTAAATTTGCAGGCTGTTTATTGGACTATTATTTATTTTTTTATGCACAAAAAATGTGAACGTGTATTTATGTTCATTAATTTCCACTTATCTACAAATCTAGACCTGAAGCCTAAGTAAACCATAGTAAGAACTTAGGGTTCTAATGAATTAAAACAAATTGTCTGAAATATGAAAATATGAAAAATAGTGAAATAAGAAATTTATTTTAATACCAAACTCATGAAATTACTTCAAATGAAAATAAAATTCTGCATGTTAAATGAGATAAAAACAAATATTCATATGTTGACAGCAATGCCAGTCAATTGTGACATTTTAGTTGGTTCAACTCTGGACAACTAAATGGCTGCAGAAAATTTAAACAACGTGGAAAATGGTATACTATAAGCAATATCACTACTCAAAAATAGTGTGGAAAGCATAACTATCCAAAAATATAATTTTCTCAACATTGCAATGGTAACTGATAGAAATTATATTTTACACTGCACCTGAATGTAAATTGTTCTTTTGCACATGACATTTAAAAACACAAGACAACTCAAACTTGTGCAAGTAAGGATGACTCTTAACACCACTGGTGGCTATTGTGAGGTTGCTTGGTTGCCTAAAGTGTGTTCACAATCTTTCTGTGTTATCTTTATCACTTGTACTTAACTCCAACCAGTACATGATACACTGATCTCACGAGTCACACACTGACCACACTAGGTACATTGGCCACACCAAATGCACTGACCACACTTAAGTGCAATGAATGCACCAGGTACAATGAACACACCAGCTACACTGACCACACCAAGTACAATGAACACACCAGCTACACTGACCACACCAAGTACAATGAACACACCAGCTACACTGACCACACCAAGTACAATGAACACACCAGCTACACTGACTACATCAAATCCACTGACCACACAAGGTACACTGATCACATCAGGGAAAATGGGGGACCTTTGGCAAGCCACCGAATTCCTGTTCCCGTCTAGGCCACTAAATGGATGACGGCCCCTTCAGGTAAATTCAGGTAAACAACAACGAAACAACCACACCATGCACACTGACCACACCAGGTACACTGAACACACCAGGTACACTGAACATGTCGGGTACACTGAACACATCAGCTACACTGAACACATCAGGTACACTAACCACACCAGGTACACTGAACACATCAGGTACACTAACACACCAGGTACATAGACAAGACTAGGTATACTGATCACATCCCAGGTACACTGACCAGGGGGGTAGAAATAGCCTGAGCTACTCTATCCCTTTGAGATGTATTTCTTGCTTATCTCAATAAACATACTTGAACTTGAACTTGAACCACAGCAGATACACCCCACACAGCAAATACACTGACCGTACCTGGTAACCTTTACACCTCTCGTTATCATACCACTCCCATCTGTTAGTCTCTGGCTCGCAGCCTACCTCTGCCAGCCCTATTTTTTTACACCATCCAATCTTTAGTAAATCCTTAACCCCTGGAGATTATCCAGCTTATCATCGCATTCCACTCGTGTCTGGGGAGTGGACAGCATTCCTCTCACCTGAGTGCCCTAATATATATATATATATAGGGTTAAAGATATAAGTTTTAATGTATTAAACCTTACAATGGCTAATGTGTTTATGTTAAGCTCTGCCATAAACATTTTTCAAAGGCAGCGCTGGAATATGTACACGTTAGGTTGGTGAAGCCACCCAAGAGGTAGCACGGGCATGAATAGCCCGTAATACAAGTTATTGTTGTTGTTTTAGATTTAGCTACTCAGAACGAAATGTCCATGTAGCACGGGCTATGGTGAGCCCGTAAATACTAGTTGTTGTTGTTTTAGATTCAGCTACTCTGAATAAAAGGTTTTAAGTGGCACGTAGGTTATGGTGAGTCCGTAGTGGATCTACCTGGCACAGGAGCGGGGCTGTATGCTTGTGTGTGTGAATACAAGTTAGATTGATTGATTGATGAAGATTAAGCCACCGAAGAGATGGCACGGTAAAAGTTATTTGTTTTAGATTCAGCTACTCAGAACAAAACGTTCCAAGTAGCACGGGCTATGGTGAGCCCATAACTTACCTGGCACAGGAGCGGGGCAAGTAGCACGGGCTATGGTGAGCCCGTAGTGGACTTACCTGGCACAGGAGCGGTGTCCAAGTTAGCTAGAGCAGCCAAATATATAACCATGGGGATAAGGTGAAATAAGGTGTCACATTAGCCAATAAGCCTTCCGCAGTTTTCCGTCTGGTGAATGAGTATTTATGATTCTTGATGATATGTATTGAATTTTGTAAGTAGATCATCAAGATTGTAACTTGCTTAGCTAAAATAAATTGTGGGGTTCAGTCCCTGAGCCCATTATGTGCCTCTGTAACCCTTTCTATTACCGCCCACAAGATGGGTATGGGGTGCATAATAAATGAACTAAACTAAAAACTTATGTTGGCTTCGGTAAGAATGTGTTTAACATTATATCTATGCTGAATGCATCCTGGTTCGATTCCCGTGCGGCAAGAAACGTTTCTGCACGTATTTACCTGAGGGCCACTAGTATTAGTGGCCTTGACGAGGACAGGAAGCTGGTGGCTTGTCAAAGGTCCCCCCCCCATTTGCCCTGATTATCTTTTCCAGCTGTATTTTAAAACCCAGCAGAGTTTTAGCGTTTACGTCTCGGCAGGTAGGCGGTTCCACGAGTTTACAACCTTTTGGGTGAAAAAGCATCTCCTGTTTGCTGTCCTACATGGTAGCTTGTTGAGCTTGAACCCGTTGCTCCTTGTTTGTGTTGCAGCTGACCTTTTGAAGAAACTGTCCTGGTCGACATCCTCCAAATTGTTCAGTATTTTAAAGGTTTCGATGAGATCCGCCCTGTCATGCCTGGTCTGCAGTGTTGTTAGCCCTGTGGCCCTCAACCGTTCTTGATACGAGAGATGACTAAGCTCTGGGGTGATTTTTGTTCCTTGGTGTTGCACCTTTTCCTGAGCAGCTATGTCTTTCTGAAGATGAGGTCTCCATGCCTGGATGCAATAATCTAGGTGGGGGCTCACCAGACTTATACAAATGAACGACTACTTTCTTTTCCTTGAAGGTAAAGGTACGTTTAATTATTCCCAGGGTTTGGTTAGCTTTTTTTACCGTCGCTCCCACTTGTGCAACTTTTAGTGAATGATGGATTTTGACTCCAAGATCCTTTTCTTCATCTATCTGTTGTAAGGTAGTGCTGTCAATTTGGTAGTTGGGACGTGGATTGTTATGCCCCACATTCAAGGTCTTGCATTTATCGACATTAAAAAGTATTTGCCAGTCATCTGACCATTTGTGGAGTTCATGAAGATCTCTATGTAAGGTCTCGATATCACTTTCACTTCCCACTGTACCGTACATCTTAGTGTCTATGGTATCCTAACATTAAATGCCTCTGTTCACCTAGCAGTAAATATACGTGTCCAGGAGTTAGGCAACATTTGTGTGTTGCAGCCTAGGGTACATTGTTGTGTCTGAAAGCCACAGGTGATGGAGTGTGGGGGGGTGCGTGTGGAGGCTACAGGTGCTGGAGTGTGGAGGCCACAGGTGCTGGAGTGTGGAGGCCACAGGTGCTGGAGTGTGTAGGCCACAGGTGCTGGAGTGTGTAGGCCACAGGTGCTGGAGTGTGGAGGCCACACGTGCTGGAGCGTGGAGGCCACAGGTGCTGGAGTATGGAGGCCACAGGTGCTGGAGTGTGGAGGCCACAGGTGCTGGAGTGTGGAGGCCACAGGTGCTGGGGTGTGAGGGTGGTCGTGCAGCTCAGCATACCAACACCCATGCGGCGTGCCTCTGTCTCTTAGTGTTAAGCTTACCTAACGTCTCCCCCGCCTCTTCCCATCTCTCTTGTTTTCTTTCTGCCATTCTTTTACTTAGGCTACTTCTCTCTGCCAATATCTCCCACTCCTTCGCTTACCTCTCGATCCTCTCTTCACTGTCTTCCTCTGCCAGTTGGTCTTTGTCAACTGCTTTTAACCAGCCCTAACTACCTCAACTCCTTCACCGCTCAACACAGGTCAGTTTTGACAACATAAAGCCCCATTGTCTCAATCCCAACATGATAAACACACACACACAAACAAAATCAAAGAACTTAAAATATGAAACTTCCTCCCTTACTCAGTACAGAGTTGCTGAACTATTAAGATATTCAAAAATAATGTTAGGAATCACCTGGTTATGCATTATTATCCCACCTGCGTAGTGCCTGCACTCTAAAGTCATCACTTGTGCTGCCTCATCCATTATTATTCAAATATCTCTATCACCAAATTTGCTTCATTATCACCACTTTTCCGTAGAATTAATTTAGATTTATTTCCCACGAATATGACAACTATAACAATATTAACTACAGTAAGAAAATCATTTGGGGCAATGAGGTGACTTGAGTTGGCGTTCTATTGAATCCCAAACTCCTGACTTAAGTAGACCCCCATACCCATCCCGTGGGCGGTAGTGGACTCCCATACCCATAGAGAATGTTCAGTATGAATGTAGTGAACAAAGAGAATGTTCAGTGTGAGGGTAGTGAACAAAGAGAATGTTCAATGTGAGGGTAGAGAGCAAGTGAGGCCGCCCCCTCACCACCTACACCAAGTTCCTTATTCTCATGTCCATTAGACGCTCATTAACTTTCCCTTGACACACCTTATTATATATATTTGGGACACCACGCAGCTTCCTCGACCATTGTGGGATACCACACAACTTCCTGTGTGACATTATATCCTCGGCCACTCAGAATATTCAGAGTAAACCTAATTACTAGATAACTCATTCCAAAACGTAGTTTTCCTTGGGTACCTCATATATAATGAGGTGTGCCGCTTGATTTACGTTCAGTCTTGCCACCTTTGCAAATACCTCGGTCATATTGTTGTTAAATATGAAGAGGCTGACAAAACTCCCATCAGCACCACTACGATGACTCAACGCTCTCTATGTCAACAAACACCTCCAACAGTTCCTTGGTATGTTTAATGGTGTTGTTGTTATCTTTTCTGAAGTTCAATTTTGTTATATATATATATTTTGTACAACATTGATGTATGTTGGAACTATATACACTCACATGTACTGAAACGTCGTCGTCTCTTCAATTTCTGGTTTGGTCAACACATGTACTTTGCAGCCTCGTTCACGAACTAACAAATGGTCGATAAAGTTGGCCTTAATATAATAATAATAATAATAATAATAGTCTGTATTTATTGTAGACAGATGTCATAGTGAGGCGTGGTGCTCATCTTGCTCTATATAATGCTATTAACACCTGCATACGGTAGTTCCTGATATGGTTGAGAAAGTTGTAAATAAACTAAGATTTGGGAATTATAACTGACCTTTTAACTCCGATAACAGTGGGCATTGGACACCGAAATTGTTTGTGTACATGTGATCTATAATTAAGGTTATAGGTCCCCAGTGTTGGGGACTGGAAGCCTGTTAAGCTTATCGAGGTGCGCCAAGAGCCCACAACATTTAACTAATTATGAGTGTACTGCTTGGTGAACTGACGCATCAGATGTAAGGTTCGAAACTTCGCTAAACGTCTCTTTTCTGCCGTTGGAGTCGATCTCGGGAATTTTGGTTATGAACCTACTACGTTTGACTCCCTTGTCGTTTTCGTTGCCTGATTCTAGAAGACTCATTTTCCCATCTGATACATTGTATCCAGTTCACTTGAGACAATTAAGCAAGTCCCAGCTGTGTCTGGGTACAAGTGACAGGATGAACAATACCGAGGTCCCCTGTATTAGTCGAACTAATGACCGTCCCCAGAATTCAACCCTCAACAATTATCTAATTACCTATTTTACGTGAACATCGACACCAGGTGAAAGGAAATGCATTCAACTATTTCTGTTCTGCTTGGGGATCGAACCCGGGACCCTGATTCAGTTTCGAGAACATAAAAACTGTACTGCAGGACTCCATACTTAGCTCGTCTGGGTGACCTTGCTTAAAGTCTTCTACCATATTAATCGACCTCACAACTATTGTCATCAGCAAATATTGAGAGAGAGAAGTCTATCCTTTCTGGAAGACCTGTAACTTAGATACTGACCAAAATAGTCCCTATTGCTGACGCCAGCTGTACTAGGATTCAGCTATATATCTGATAAGGTTTTGGACACTGAAATATCTCTTCTCTCACTGTGACTCTCTTCTGGTACTTAGATATTCCGCTATCCACTGGACCATCTTTCCTGTCAACCCTGTCTGACTGTTTTTGCCAACCCGTGCACTATTCTAATGTGAGGTATTGTGTTGAAGGCCTTCTGACCGTCCAGGAATGGGTAATCTACCCTACAGGCTGACTTCTGTCACCCGCCGAGAAATTCTATCATGTTTGTGAGGCAGGATTACTGAACCCATGTTGTTGCTGTGCGCACCTGTGTATGTTAGTGAGCGTGTAAATAACATCAATGTATTTTATTTTTAATCACCTAATTGTACAGCCTGATTGTCAATTGAGAACAGAAATTATTTATAAAAATGAAAGGCCTTATAAAAGCGTTACTGTATAAAGCATATCTGGCACCACCGCATGTATGTAAAATTCTCCAATGTGTAAGCACGTGTCTACTGGCACGTGCGGTTATATGTATTTTATATTTACTATAATATAGTTTCCATAGCCTGATGCTAGGCTGACCAACGTTCCTCGGCACTCGAGGAAGTGGAGGCACGGTGAGTGCCAGGCTGCTTCTTATACCGTCCCCACCTCACGACCGGATCATCCACACCATTTACCTGCCGGCGCCTCGTCTCGTCCTACCCACAAACACCTCCAGCCCCCCACCCTATTTGCTTGCCCTGAAACGCTGTGCGTATTAATGGCTTTGTATGTACTAGCTCCAATCTAGAAATCCAACATTCTGTTTGTAACTCATCTTGTATGTATGTATGTACTTTTACCTGAATAAACATTAATTTATGTTTATTTATTTCCTAGCCCTACCCGACCCCTTTTTTGGATCATGAACTCACAAATCTCAAGTGTGCCAGTTCACTAAAGTTTCTGTCCTGGCCTCTTCCTGACACCGTCCTGTGCCTCTTCCCTCTCCTAGCTAACTACCCCTCATTCATTTAGCTTCCCTCTACCAGTCTACCTGCTTCTGCCTACTTCTTCTACCTGCTTGAAATCAAGTTTCCAATTCAACCCCTTAATTCCTGACCTCGCCCTGTCAAGTTTCCATCCCGTATGCCCTCCGTAATTCCTGACTTCCCCTCCATTCCCAGCCAAATTTACACCCCTTCCCTACCTCTCTACATCTTACCCCAGCCAAATCCCACCCACGCCCCGCCCTACAGGGTCGCTCAAGCCAAGTTGCGATGGTGACAACTGGTCCAGCAGAGCCGTCAAGGTCAAAATTCCGCGGGAACCATTTTTAAATGGCAGCGTTCATATACCAACGCCGGGCCCCACCTGCACTCTAGGTGACGCTGCCTCACTCTCATCTCCACCTCACTTGTTTCTCTCTTCCGTTTAAAAGTGTAAACTTGCATTCGAGGAATTAGAGACGTGGTTCTTTGGTTGTTATTTAAAGAAACTTTTAGTTAACATTCGAAAGTTTAAAGCTGACGCTACTTCACAACAGAGCAGAGTGATGACACACTTCGTGTTTCTGGCACTAGTTACTGAGTAGCTTTAAAATAATAATATTAAATTAAAACACACACTCACACACATAGCTCTTGGACCCCGCCTTTGTAACCAATTTATTTTTCCTCTATTATGTCTACTACGTATATTTCTCTTACACTCGCGCACACACACACACATCCCCAGGAAGCAGCTCGTAGCAGCTGTGTAACTCCCAGACCTATTTACTGCCGGGTGAACAGATGCATCAGGGTGAAAGAAACTCTGCCCATTTGTTTCTGCCTCTGCCGGGGATCGAACCTGGGCCCTTAATCGGACTACGACCCGGAGCGCTATCTATTCAGCCGCGAGGCCCCCCCCATACATACATGTATGTATGTATGTATGTATGTATGTATGTATGTATGTATGTATGTATGTATGTATGTATGTATGTATGTATGTATGCATGTATGCATGTATGCATGTATGTATGTATGTATGTATGTATGTATGTATGTATGTATGTATGTATGTATGTATGTATGTATGTATGTATGTATGTATGTATGTATATATGTATGTATAATGTAATTTGCTAGCTTTTCATTACACTCTCATATTAGATTTCCACTGTGCATATAAAACAATGTACTGTATTTGACTCTACAACCTTAGCAGCAATTAATCGTGTTAAATGGTCATTTTTTAGTCAACTTGGCTTGAGTTATGTTGGTGTTAATTAAAGAGTTGTACAAGGGTGGGGGTGGGTACTAGTTCACCATTTACCTGGAGCAATAAACGTTCTAGTTTCTACAAGAATGTAAAATTAACGCCAAAATGGCTGTGTGTGACCCATTGGTAGTTTTGTTGTAAGTATTAATAGGCAGATATGAGTGATGAGGGGGGTGGTGTGAGGAGACATAGTGTGGGAGTCCCGCACACAGTCACTCACCCATCATGGCGGAAGAAGGCAAGGATGCCGTCCTTCCTAGTGAAGACTCTCTGCTCGCCTCCCTCCTCACCGAGATCTTCACATCCCCCATCAACATACTCCTACTGGGAGTATGCGCCTTCCTCATCTATAAAATCTTCCGGCCGAGTGATGGCAGTGGTGCAGGTAAGAGCCAGGCTGCCTGACACAGCCTCCTCCTCCTCCTGCCTCTTTTTGACACTTACATAAATACTCGCTAGGGTTAGAGTGCCACCCTTAAGGCCCCCCTCGAGTGCTTCCCTCAGGGGGCAGAGTGCCACCCCAGGGGGCAGAGTGGCACCTCAGGGCACCTCGGCAACCACCCCCCTTCTTCAGCACCAGGGTTAGTTCCACTACAACCTACTGGGTCATCAGTGCCGTGGTTGAATGGGCTTGAAACTTTGTCCTGAAGCTATTCATTATTCATATCCATGATATCTGTTGCTTAATGCACGTTAATTTATATAATTTTAAAGGACAGCAAAAAAAAAAAAGTTGTATGTAGTGTTAACTAGATACTCTGGTTGTAATTTAAATTCTCTCGACCACAATAATTTGATTATTACTTATTCCGTAAACGCTAGTTAAGTTTAGTGGATACGGCCTGTTTGGATATATAGGCTTTATGAGGCTGTGAATTATTTTAATACAGAGCAATATAATGTAATTTTGCACTGTATTCAACCTCAAACTACAAGCACATACTCAAGGGTATAGTCCAAGCACACACAAGACTTCAAGAAAGCTTGTTTTCCGAGTGTCAAAATCATATACAGTACTTTACTGTACAGGTTGTACAGTATTTTGTACCTATATTGTTAGGCTTGATTGGGTAAGGTTGAGCAAGATTAGGTTGGGTAGTTTTTAAAATCCATTGGCGAACTGTCTTGTGTGCTCTGTGACTTGTATTCATATGATATACTGTACCAATGTTGGGTACAGAAGTAATGTTTTTGATGGATTGGGGTCTCCTGGCCAAGGGTGTGGCAGCCTGTACTCGCTTAAGTTCTGTCCTTAACCTGACACTACTGTACTGAATGATTGGAAATCATATTGGAAACCAAACGTTGTTTAATTTTGGGGGCTAGCTTAACTCAATCTAGGCCTTTTAGGCCTAGGTTGGGTTAGATGAAGCCGAGTGTAAGTACTGTACTAGACTTGCCATTAGTACTGTACTCTCGTTGCTGCTTCATTCCTGCATATAATGAATATAACATTTCAGAGAGCACTGCCTTCACTTGTGTACTTGTTGGTAGCCCACTTGTTTATTTTTGTGTTATAGTATGCAGTATACCTATTACTATTAATGTTTCTTAATGTACATTATTTATAAACATTTTTCAAATTGGTAAATAATCATGTCACCTGGGAAACTTGTGAATTCCGCTTCGCTAATATAGATCACGAGGTGTGATTGGTGTTAACCCATGAATCTGTAGATTTGAGTGTACCGAGCTGCATATTTCAAGGTTATGGCAGATATCCCTTGATATATTTTAATAAATTAGAAAAGTAGTTATAAAATATTTCAACTACAGTTGTGAGCTGGGTCCAAGAGATAAACTGTGTCTTGTAAGCAACTGCAGCTAAGTAGAGTACTACATTGATTATTTTAATTTTGTGATTTTGCTTAGAAAATTTAACATGGTCTTTTTGTTTTAAGCTTCTGGTCCAGTGGAACCTCCAGTGCCTAAGATGAAACGGCAGGACATGACCCTTGAGCAACTGAAGCAGTACAATGGAACTGGAGAGCATGAACGTGTTTGTGTAGCAGTTAATGGCAAGATCTTTGATGTTACGAGAGGCAAAAAGTTCTATGGACCAGGTTTGTACATTTGTAGTACTGTACTGTAATATCAGTTTTTTGTAATTGGTTGTATCTATTATATTTAGAAATCTACAGTAGTCAGGTATTCTCCTCCCACCACTTGAGATTTCTAGACAGTTTTACTAAAGGTATAGTACAGTATTTGATTTAGTAAGTGGAATTTGTCTGATAAACCTATATAATATAATAGTTCATATAATACAGTTCATATAATACAGTTCATATAATACAACAGTTCATATAATAGAACTGTTGTCAGTTCTATTATATGAACAGCAAGATAAAACATGAGGGAGGAACAAAGTACATTAGTAAAGTGCGCTTAAAGCATTTAAATTTTAAGAACAAATATAATAGAATACTAGAACATTTATAGTCTAAATGCATAGGCTTACCATGTTCCCCCCTTTTTGTATTTTTATATTTTCTCAACACATTTTATACTTTAATCTCGATTAGTATTAAGTTTTAGTTTTTAGTGTTTTTCCTGCCCAAAACGCTTTGCGTAATAGTGGCTTTAGGCATTGTATGTACTAGCTCTATCTATAAATTCATCATTATCTGTATCACCCCTTGTATGTATGTACTTTACCTAAATAAACATTTGAATTTTGAATTTGAATGTGTAGTTTTAACTTGTGATCCATGGACGAAAATTAAGTGACAACATAAATTGGTTTTTAGTTTGAAAGTTTTAATGGGCAATACTGTAACAAGTGTTCTAGGAAAATTGTAATGTAAATAGTCTCTTTTCAGGATACCAATTTTACTTTGTGTATTACAGGGGGACCTTATGCTGCTTTTGCTGGACATGATGCTACACGAGCACTGGCAACTTTCAGTGTGAATGATGTTAAAGAAGAGTACGATGATCTCAGCGACCTCTCCTCCATGCAGATGGATTCAGTTAGGGAGTGGGAGATTCAATTCACTGGTGAGCGGTTATTCTATTTATTTTTAGCCATAAACTAAGACACTTACAGTTAATGTTTGTTGTGTTAGTTGTAAGTAGAGCTGAGAAATGGATAAATTACAAACAGTTATGTGGAGGAAGCCACATAAAGAGATGATAATGACAGGATTATAACTTTCCGCAGTGTTCTTGCTCGTATGTGTGTGTGTGTGTGTGTCTAGCGTACATGTCCAGATATTGTACTTCTACACAAGTTTTGGTTTCTTGCCGTTTACATTAAGGGCAATATTTCTTCAGGTTTCAACATAAATATTTGGTTTTCTCTTCAATTACAACTAATTGTAGCTTGTTTAGTCGTATATTTTTCTATTACTCGATGTACTGTATGTAATTATGAATATTTCCTGTTCTTTAGTTTCAATATTTATTTCCATATACATTTTCCTTTTAATATTAAGTGTAGTTAAGTACAGTAATTTAAAGTAGAAAAATACGTAAAAAATTGGCCTGTTTAATTGTAATCATTAGAGCTGTTTCTCGGAAAGTATGGCCAGGTTTGCCCCGGTGAACGATTTTATTTTGTGAGAATACCTGATGTCATAATATTTTATTAATGTTTTGTTATTAAATGATTACTTACAAAGTAAATTAAGGTGCTGGAACTTATGGGTGACATCATTTTAGATGCTGGATTCAACCCTATAAAGTGCTTGTCTATGAGAAACTACGGGAGAGCGAGATGTTGCACTTTATGCCCCGCCTCCTGACTAGTTGTATGCTTCTAAGGTGGAGGTGATTTGTGTGGCAGATAACAAAGTTCTTATTGTATGTATCATAGTTTCAGAGTATGCAATACTGTAATTATAATTATGCATTGTTAATTCTGGGTTATGTTTAACAATTTCCAGAAAAGTATGAATACATTGGAAAGTTTTTGAAACCTGGGGAACAGCCAACAGAATATTCTGACGAGGAAGATGCAAAGGACTCGAAAACCAAGAAGGAGGACTAAATTTATTGATTGGATAGAGAATTGAAATGTAAGTTAAGATGTAAAAGTTCTAGCCAGACCCCCCAATTTTTTTTATCTATGTTTTTAAAAATGTTTATTATAATACATTAAGCAAATTTATGTCTGGTTGACAATTTTTTCTAATTGTCATTCACACTGGTAGCTACTTGTGTAAATTTTCAAGAGTCAAATAGGACTATCAGAATTCTGACATATGACTAGGCAAGTCTGGCAGAACCTCTCTAAAATAAACTAGTGAGAGGAACAAGGAGGGGAGATGAGGATAAGATCAGTCATTATAAAGCTTATGGAGTTATGAAAGTCATAATCTGGCTGCCTAGAAAATACCAAGTTGTATTATGTTGTTGGTTTCAGAAGACATGTAGGGTAAAGTAACCATTCATTGACCACTTGTGACGTGAAAATATCTAGTGCTTACATCTTTGGATAAAACTATACCGCAAAAATGTCGGGAACTTTTTAAATACTATACTGTAATATAAAAATGTTGAAATTTTGAAGATACACGAAGAAACAATTTAAGTAAGAATTCTCATTTCCCAGATTGTGTGCATAAGTATTTCAAAAGAAAATTATTAATGTATTTTTGTTTTTGACTATAAGGTGTTTTATTTCATTCTGTTTTTTGTTTTCAGGCAGAGTTAAGATGTTTAGGCTGTTAATTGACACTATGATAGAAGGTGCATTGGTTGGAGGGGAACATTGTGGCCAACAATTGGTGGAACAAGTGTCTAAGAGCTGGTTGTCAGCTGCTAAAGTCAAGGGTCTCTCAAAGTCAATTGAAAGCAAAGAATGCCGACACCATCCTACCTAGAACATCAATATCCGATCTTAATTCTCTATAATTTCCTAAAAACCCATTGAGGTGGCCAATGCCAATCAACATCTTTGGGCATAGCCACACAAAACCAAGTGTTTCCAAAACATAAATGCACAATGCGGCCTTGTACATTACTGTTATTTCCTAAAATTCAGTGGTTCCCAAGTTATGTGCCACTGAACTTTTAAATGAGAGATGCTGGTGGTTGGCTGTTAATATATAGAGCTGTGGGTATCAAGTGTGTTATTGGAATGTTGTGCAATAGTGTTGAAAGAAAGATAGGTATAATATAGATGTTTTATTGGTTACGGTATTTCTTACAGGTGGTCAACCACCTGTAAACTTTGGTTAATATTTCGGCAGGTATTGCATCTACTAACTATATGTTGATGTAATTTTATAGATACTTATTTCCTATTACAACTCAAGCCATAGATTTCCCAAAACCTTAATAATGGTAATTTGTCATTCCACATAGAACACAACCACTTTCTTAGGGGTCCGAGGAAAGGTAACTTTACCCTAGCAAATATAAATTAAATGGAAATTTTAATATTTTCTCTATTTAAAGCTAATCGTGAGGCAATATGGGATATATTTTACTTAACCCTTAAGGTGTGATAATTGCCTTATAGTTGTACACGAGATCACACGGTGACTGTCATTTAACTGCTATACTATAAAGAAAACTTTAGAATTTTGTTCGGTTGACTCTCTAAGCTTACTAAGAACTGACATATCTATGGCTAATATTACCTAATTGAAAGATATATCTTACTATACACAAGAGAGTCAAATATACAAAAATATTTATAAAAAATTATGCTCTAGTAATTCTTGTTACTTTTACTTATGTTGAAGTAGCTTTTTTCCGTTTTATAATTACCCAGTATTACCAAGAAGATCCAAATTAATTGTTTGAATGTGTTTCAAGATTTTCAAGTACTGAACAGGTGTTTTGATCTAAAAAAACAAGATGACACAGGCAGAGGGTTAATCAGTATTTCCCAGCATTTCCATTTTATAAATTATTTGCTGATAGTGTGATAAATTTAACTAAAACCGTCAATCAAGAAGTATGGTATTTAATTTTGTTATTAATCGTCTCTTATTTCAATATTGAAATGTACCGTACTGAAATAAGGTGCATATGTGAAATTGCAAAGGCAGCTTTTTCATCACTTCATGTGATCAATTTATCTTAAAATATATCTTCCAGCTGACCCTGTAAAGTATATTGAAGCAACATGGTACAGGGTTAAAGGAGTGGCAAGCATTTTACAGACAGTTATCAGACTGGTTGGTTGGTGAAGATTAGGCTTATCATATTGTGATAAGTCACTCGCGCAGCATAAGCTATGACACTGTAGTGTGCTTGGACCTTGTATAGGTAACTCGGCCTGAAATCAAACTTGTTCTTATGAACTACTGCAGAAGACTCATAATTGCTGGTCTTCTCTCAAGTGCTGATTCAGAGTTATTTTCATACCTAACCTTGAGTCATACATGGTTAGATCCCCCCATCTTTTCTAATCTATAGCGATTTATATTGTACTGTAGATACACATGTGCTTTCCTTATTCTGTGTGACATACTGTGTGATGGATGTGTTTAGAAATAAATTATGGATTAGAAGACTGATATCCCTAGTTCATAATATATTTACTGTGTGCTTCCACAGTGTGCTCATACTTAATCTGTTCAGATGCCCTTGAAAAAGGTCTACATATTATGGAAATACGTAAAAGGTGCAATTAGCCTTTGTGAAAGAATAGGCTCGGATTATTAAACATTGTCTCAACTGTAAGGCACACACACAGCTTTGAGAATAAATTTTGGCTCTGGTGTTAATGTATTTTGAGATGGAAGTACAGTAATTTATTTTTATTTGTTTATTATTCAGTTGGGTTAATGTTCTTTTTAGATGGTCCAAGTTGTTGAAGTTTCCATAAAAAAAATTAAGTGGGAATGGTTATTACAGTCATGTGATTAGCACACACATTTTTAAGGCAGTTGATGATGTCACTAGTCTGAAAAAATAAATTTGTTTGCAATTTCATTGCAAATGATGCAGTTGAGTGCTGAAAATTAGGTGTAGTGTTGTCAGACTATGCTTTAATTGCAATAGAAACAAAATTTGTTATAAGGTAATTTAATGTTGAGGTATTTTAATTACAGCTAAGACCAAATTTTAAATTTTGTAATAAATTTATTTAGATGAATTATAAGTTTTGTCAGTGTTAGTAAATCACCTGCATTAACAATAAGTTTCCTGTATTTACCTGGGACTATTTAATTAATATGTTCATTTGGTATAATGTATCTTTTTGCTAGGCTTATGATTCAATTTTAGTCATTAGTGAATTTTTTATGAACTTACAGCAGCCATGAACAGTTTGTGCTCTTTTGGCTTCTTTACTGTCTTCATTGCCTTGATTATAATGGAGGAAATATATCTGACATGAAGATACTAATTTCCACACCATTTTTTTGTTTTTTTAATGGGAAGATTAGATTTGCAAAGTCAGTCTATTTACCCTGACGAGGAATTCCCAATGGCAGTATATTAACGTGGGGAAAAATAGTCCCAGTTCAAGTTTTTTGTATCTTTATAAGATATATCAGCTTGTTTATATTATCCAGTTCAACCCATATAGTCATGTGTAGGTATTGGAATCGGTCGTCTGTGTACAAGAATGAACTGTAAACGTTCTTGAGGAAATTTGTCATTGTGTGTGCATACTGGTTTTGTCTAGCTGTCCAGCTATATGTTAATTTGGCATTCCTGAACCTTGTTCTTCAGGCCTTGCATGAATGAGTTGATTTAACTTTGTGATATTTAGAGAAGCAGAATTTGTATTTATATTTTTTACACGGTCAATGTAGTTTGATAAAATTCTCTTGGAACAAATATAAGATAACTTGTGTAATAAATGAAAACTGTCCTTACTCCATATGGTATGTTTTCAGTTATGTACAATTGAATGTTAATGTTAGTTCAAGAGTTAATAAAGTTTCCCTGTCATGAAGTAAATGTTTTCTATAAGGCAATTCTCTTGGGTAAGTGATATTTTCTTAATGTAAATGCTGCTCCTTGTGCCAGGACCTCATGAAAAGGCTTGTAGTTACATCATTCAATTGCCATTACATTTTACAGTTTTATGTAGTAAGTGTTTGAGTTTGTGTAAAAGCTATATCATTAAATTTTATAAATTTTTCATACAATGAATTTTGAATAGTAGTACAAACTTAAGAAAGAAATATAAATTTTCAATTTTTACTTGAATTGTATTTCTTAAGATTTTACTTAAGTTATACATCTATTTAAATGCATAGAAATTTTTTACAGTTCAGGAATATTCAAACAAAATTAGCTTATAAAACATCGTAACTTAATTATTGCAGTAATTGTTCTTGTAATTTTTTTGTTTGTAAGCTTCTTCATGCACTTTAAGCCCATATACTTTTCTACTGCATATGTATATGTATATAAAACTTATATTTTTCTCTTGGCTTATATTACCATATCACATATACAGTACTCCTCTTCACAGATAATTCCAATGCAGTCTTGAAAATGTCTGCATTATGTTCGTCCTTAAATGTTCAGGGCCCTGCCAAAGAATTGTGTTGTGTGGTTCTAGGAAGTAGTCACCACGTCATTGAACTCATTCATGAGTATTATTGAAAATAATAAGAATGGCATGTGTAAGTTTAACACAGAACAGTTGAAATAAGAGATAAGCAGAGAATGTTACAGTACAAGTTTTTGAGATCAGATTCTATCTTGAATGATAATTTGGTGGTACCGTGTGGAGAAAATTTAAACAATCAAGTAGCCCCTCCTCCCCACCCACAAAAAAATTGAGAAAATACCTCTTAACTGTCCTGAAATGTTTCACAACACAGTGCTATGTGGTGTTCCTGGCTTGTTGCCTTCTTTTGATAATTGCTTACTGTTCTGAAATGCCTTTTTCTTGAATATTTTCACTGCCACTCAATGCTACTGCTGCTGCTGTTTAATGATGGTGCAATGTTTATTGATGTCATTGGCTTCCTTTTTTTTTGTCCTGATCAGATTTCTATTCCTTCAGAGACTTAGGAGTTTTATGGTGGAGCTTTAAGAAACTTTATATCCTCTTAAGACTTCATTTTTATATATCAGTATTCATTTGTTATTGCAGTTGACTTAGTGCTCTCATGGCTCTGGAGTATTTTAACTCTTCAAATCCCTTGGTGATAGAAATCAAACATTGGCTGTTTTTCATCTTTAGCAGATATGAGACGATCAAATTTTGCCAAGTTCCCAACCATATTGGTGATGCCTGTAATGACCTTGTGGGTGCTTCCACTCAAAAAGGCCATATGCAACTGTCCCATCTCCCAGAATTCCTTCCTTGGATTTCTATCCTGTCATTCATAACAGGATTTCTTTCCTGTCATTCATGCAGATTGGTTTAAGAACTGCAATTGTCAAAAGTTAGATAGTACATAATTTACAATTTGTAATATCTATCAATTGTGACCTATTCTGTTTTATTTTGTTCTGCCACTGAAACAAGAAGTGGGGAAATGTCACTGAATGGAACAGACTTGGACTTCAATCCTGGAATTGCATTGTTCTGCTAAATGGCCTTTGCGTCTTATAAGATGAATTGATTTTCAGGATCAGAAATTTTGTTTTCAAAGTGTTCCTTTGCCATCTGTCCCTCAGTAAAATTCTCAATGAATTGGATACTTTTGACATTGCCCATATTTTTTTCCTTGTAATGTACAGTATTAGCATCTTTGTTGATATATGTGAACTTCTTTGTATTCTGCGACACTGTGGAATGTAATCTTCTAGTTTCGTTTGTTTCTCTGTGCTTTCCCTCCTAGGTTATGGATGAAATGCTGATGCCAATTATATTTTTTGGAGGATGAATAAAATAATTTTTGAAACAATTTTGTTTAACAAAATTTAATTTTGCCATTTTTAAGTAAAATACAGGTACTTAAAATATAATTGATATGAAATGATTGTCTTCATTGGAAAATGGTGAAATGATACCATATGCATAACTATGCTAGTTTGCAGTATGATGATCCTGATGGACTAATGATGGTGTGCACCGTGTACATGCCGGTGGACAAGGGTTATCTTGAGATGATTTCGAGGCTTTTTTTTTTTAGTGTCCCCGCGGCCCGGTCCTTGACCAGGCCTCCACCCCCAGGAAGCAGCCCGTGACAGCTGACTAACACCCAGGTACCTATTTTACTGCTAGGTAACAGGGGCATAGGGTGAAAGAAACTCTGCCCATTGTTTCTCGCCGGCGCCTGGGATCGAACCCAGGACCACAGGATCATAAGTCCAGCGTGCTGTCCGCTCGGCCGACCGGCTCAGGGTGATGTACGTCAGATACGTACCATTGATCAAACTTTGGATAGTGAGAGATGATTGGGCACTTCACCCTAGTGCCTCCAGTAGCAGTTGAGGGGGTGTCTGGTTCCAAATTAATCAGTGGGTCATTTTCTAGGAAAAACATGAAAGTTGAATAACCTACATGCTCTATTACCTGGCCTATCTCCCAACGGTTAGAAAAGTGTGCACCACGTATACATACACTACTGTTGAACAAGTGTTGGTGTACACCTTACGCATGTCATATGTTAAAAATTAACTATACAGTTGAATTTTATATATACTAGTAATGCCACTCTTGTGTATTGAACCACTAGTCTTCCTGCATCTCTCCAAATTGGTACAAATTCATGATTTTAATGGCATATATATACTGTTACTGAAGTCATTGGTTAGAAAACAATGACAAGTGAATGTTTACTTCTAGTCATTAAAGTTTTATTAGATGAGATTAATATTCAAAATCACCATTAAAATGAAATCTCGTTATTGACCCTTTGGTCTGTTAGCTGTGAATCCTATATAAAATGTGCGTAGCTCCCACTATTATTATGTACCTAAATTGTAAAATGATTTCTTTATCACACATTTTTTTCCTTCAAATTTCTTGATATATGTGAACAAAACCTAATTTTTTTTTATGATGGGTTTTAAGTAACTTTTAGCATTAAGTTTAGTATTAGCTTAGTGAGGATATAAATTTTACATATTTTTTTTGAGACATTAGCACTATTGTAGCTCCTTATTTGAAAATAATGGTACCAACGTAACACAAGCCAAGAAAACCCACTTCGTGAACACTCCTTCAGAGTCTCACAGGCTACCATACACTACACATCCTGCAGTGTGTATTTTGTGAAGTACATGAGCATATCATGATGATTATCGTCAGTTCTTGTATGCAGCAATGACTTGGTGCAGGGAGGTAGACCGTGATGGCTGAAGGAGCAGGTTGTATCTCCAGACGTGTTGTATTGCTCTGTAAAATTTCAAATGTTATTTTTTTAGTGAAAAGCAGGTGATTGATTGGCTTATTTAAATCAGTAATCATTATCTGTTGCAGAAAATGTTAAAATTAAGAGGTTACGAATGCTATTTGCTGCAAATTTATATGAAGAAATTTGGTGCTATTTTAGTGTAATCCGATGATTCCAATATGTTCTTGAAATTTCACCATTGTATTAGGATGTAGTGACCATGCATAATATTGTTAGACAACCCCAAAAAAAACAGACCAGAAGTTGAAATTGGGAAAATTTTGATATTTTCCTGAAAGACCACCTGACCCTAAGCAATGCGGACAGAAACCTGACACATCAAGAGTTTGTACTCTCATTGTCTTACACGAGATCATCAAAATCAGTGTTATCCAGTATTAAATTTGGCAGAAAAACGCATTGTATGATCTGATACGAATGAGAATGGAGAAAAACAGTATGGACAAAGATGTACAAATTGTATTATATGTACACTTTTCAATGCAAAATAAATGTGAAATAGAAATGGAAAAATGTGCACAGTGATGTGAAAGAAATATAAACCCAGGGAATCCTGGATACAACATAGACTGGAGGAGAGAGACATAAAAGAAAAACATTTGTGGTTCATGAGTGTCACCATCCGTGCCTCCATTGCAGGGTCACGACTACCTCTCCTGCGTCTGGTTCTTCTAATGACCCGAGGGTTATGGCTATAATGACAAAACAGCAAGAATATGGTTCGCGCATTCCTGCATAGCTGAATCTAGTTTATCGCACCCTCCATAGTCATCGCCGATGATTGCCACCAGGTGAAGTCGCACCTTTCGAAAGGACTTGCAGTTCTGGGTGCAGCCCACCATTGCCCCATGCATACCATCTCAAGTTTAATTTTATGGTAAAATTATTTTATTATCAGCTGAAAGCTGTACTTAGGGAGCAGACACGACCTAACGCTTGGCTCGGCGAATTTTTCCCTGGTTCTCGTGTAATAATGGATGGCAGAGGATTGTTTCTTGATACAAGCCCCACCAAATCTATTCTTCTCTCCAGAATCTCTGTATAGCACCTTACCCGTTCACCTTGTAGGGATTGGAGCAGCAATTGGAAAGAGTTTGTCTAACACTACTTGTCACCCTACTATATGCTGAACATATGCTCTTTGTAACATCTACTTTGCAAATCACATCGTTAAAGTTGACGCCATCTACCGCCCAGTGTAGTTACCACAAGAAGGCTCTTTTCTGTTCATCAAATAAAGAGCAGTACTATTATAAAGTTCCGCTAACAGTTTCAACTTGTAGAATCTTCAGGTTTTTAAGTCTACTGAAAATTTTGCTTTTCCATTGTTCCTTCGAGTCGTACATCCTACGATAAAATCCTCAGTGAATCTGGTTCTTTAGACATGTCTTCTCTTATCAGAAAAGTGAAAAAGTTCAACAAATGCTAAAGTGAATGAGAGTTTTGAACACAGTACTGCACTAAAGGATTGTGTTGCCTATATATTATCCTGTATTTAGCTGAGGGGCCATTATCTAGTGGTCTCTACGGGGGACAGGAAGCCGGCGGCTTGTCGAAGGTCCCACCCCTCTCATTTTTCTTGATTTTGTCACTGCTGGATTTTAAAATGTAGCAGCGTTTTAGCATTTACGACTTTAGCGAGTAGGCTGTTTCATGGGTTTATTTAGTATTGCTGATTGTTATAATAATTAGTATGCTGTGCGTCTGAAATATGGTAATTATTTTTATATCTGAACTCTTCGATTCAAATGTGACGCCACCACAAAGATGATTGCAGGACAGTAGAGATGATATGAGAAGCCTTAGACCAGACAGATGAATCAACAGAGATTGGAAATATTCATCACAACAGATCAGAACAAATGATTTCTCAGAAGCAGGAACCAATTAGAGAACGGATACAACCAATCTATTTAAGACAATCTAAATTGATCTTTCCCGTATCCCAGTCTTTCACTTGAGTTTTTATTTCAAATTTTAATATATATACAGTTCACGTGTGAATGTTCATACTCAAAAATAAAATTGTGACCCGTGTCTTGCATACCACGTACATTTATAATAATAAGAGAAATGTGGGTCGCCGTGTCCTGTTGGGTCGTATGGGTATCTTGGTTGGCGGTGGTCTGGGTAATTAGGTTTAGGTTGTGGATTCTTCCTGGGTTTTCTGTTAAAGCGGCGCATACCGATGAATGCTCCTGCTCCTCCAAAGACTTGTGGGGCAGCGTGTGACAACACGGGGCATATCACAAGGAGCAGGAGGACTAAGAGTATCTGGAAGGTGAGACGGAGGTCGGTATGAACACTTACATTTATTAAACTTGTATCCTATGCTTAAAACCTGCTTAGGTGAAAAGTATCTTAACAATATATAATTTCTTGGATATGCCAATATTTCACTGATTTGTTTTTAAGTTCCCTTCATTATACTTTTCTTCTCTGCAAGTTTATAATATTTAATCAAATACTGAAAGGAAACAATCAAACAGATAGAAGCATTGACAGGGATGATACATAAATATTGAATAAATTATAGGTAAATATTATTTATATTATTGCTTTGGCTTGGATAAAGATCAAGATAAGGTTCCTTGGAACCACAACAAATAATGTGTGCTATTGAGAAGAATTTGAATAATTATGTTTTAAGGCGCATTGTGTGCAATAAGGTTATGCTCTTGGTTCCTACTATATATGTATACGGAGAACAGGCTGGAATATGTGTGTGCGTAACAGTCTGCCTTCTAATAACAAGACTGAAATATTTATTATGACAAATTTTAACCTACCGTACACTTCATGCTGGGGTTGCGTATCGAGTTTTGCAATTGCTGAAAGTCTTGGCAACGTCTACGCGGTTGTCAAGCTAGATTCTGTGTAAGAAAGAAGAAATAACGCCTGGTGTTACTAAATAGATTTATACATCTAAAATAACCTTCATCCTATCCCCATAGATTCAGCTAGGTTCCCACTCTGCACGCCTCTGAGGAGCTCGAGCTAATATATATTGTCTGCTGGCTAGATGGGGTTGTCATTTCCATTTTAAACACTGCTACGCTGAATGTTTACCTGCTGCATGGAGAAACATGAAAAAAGGAAGTTAACATCACAAATTTTAGGTTTTTTATCGCTAACTGGGTGCTTAAAGTTGGTAAACACTCACACGAACTGACACACGCTCTCTGTATGCAGTTTCGTCTGTCAGCGGGTAGCAGCACCACAGTTACTTCACACATGCATCCATTAACATATGGTATGACACTCTCCCAGCCAGTGTCTGTGATCAACAGGTGGCATGACCACTGTCACGCACCACGCCAGTGTCTGTGATCAACAGGTGGCATGACCACTGTCACTCACCACGCCAGTATCTGTGATCAACAGGTGGCATGACCACTGTCACGCACCACGCCAGTGTCTGTGATCAACAGGTGGCATGACCACTGTCACTCACCACGCCAGTATCTGTGATCAACAGGTGGCATGACCACTGTCACGCACCACGCCAGTATCTGTGATCAACAGGTGGCATGACCACTGTCACTCTCCACGCCAGTGTCTGTGATCAACAGGTGGCATGACCACCGTCACTCTCCACGCCAATGTCTGTGATCAACAGGTGGCATGACCACTGTCACTCACCACGCCAGTATCTGTGATCAACAGGTGGCATGACCACTGTCACGCACCACGCCAGTATCTGTGATCAACAGGTGGCATGACCACTGTCACGCACCACGCCAGTATCTGTGATCAACAGGTGGCATGACCACTGTCACTCTCCACGCCAGTGTCTGTGATCAACAGGTGGCATGACCACTGTCACTCTCCACGCCAGTGTCTGTGATCAACAGGTGGCATGACCACTGTCACTCTCCACGCCAATGTCTGTGATCAACAGGTGGCATGACCACTGTCACTCTCCCCGCCAGTGTCTGTGATCAACAGATGGCATCACCACTGTCACTCACCACGCCAGTATCTGTGATCAACAGGTGGCATGACCACTGTCACTCTCCACGCCAGTGTCTGTGATCAACAGGTGGCATGACCACTGTCACTCTCCACGCCAATGTCTGTGATCAACAGGTGGCATGACCACTGTCACTCTCCCCGCCAGTGTCTGTGATCAACAGATGGCATCACCACTGTCACTCACCACGCCAGTATCTGTGATCAACAGGTGGCATGACCACTGTCACTCTCCACGCCAGTGTCTGTGATCAACAGGTGGCATGACCCCTCGCTCCAAGCCAGTGATCAATAGCTGGCATCACTCCATACGTCACTGTTCACAACTGCTATATGAACAGAGGCATCAAAGGTAAGGAAATGCGCACAGACATCTTCAGCCTGAGATTGAAACTGTCCAGTCTACTGCGCAACAGTCTGTCATCCTAGTCAGGTTCACCATGGGATGTTAACAGCACTGGATGGGTGACCTCGTGGACAGCCTATAGCTTACCTCTCGATAAATCCAACAGACTTCGTGTCCACAATGTTTGTGTACCGTACCATATTAGCAGAGGGGAGTAATATTTTGTATTTTTCTCAGTATTGCGCAGTACTGAACAATCAATCTCTTGGGCGTAATTTTTAGTCTTTCCTTTGATCTGGTAATGTTCAAAGCTTTGACTAGACTTGCTTGTTATTTTGAACCTTCACTGTAAATACACTTAAAATCAACCTAACCAATATTGCTAAGTAGGCTAAGTCTGTATAATAAGTCTAAAAAAACTATATAACACAAGGCAAATGTACACAACCGGTTTTTATAATTAACCAAATACACAAATATATTTCCTACTGACTTATTAGAGGAGTGGAAAATCCTGCAGCCATTTCCCATAATATCGATATCCTAACCTAATCGTAGTAATTACAATATCACACTATCTAGTGGATGTTTTGTGCTGTCCGTACATATACTGTTCTCGATTCCAAACATATCACACCTCTATACTTGTGCTTTTCTGCCCATTGAGTGTCAGTGATTGCCCTTCTCTCAGCATTAGATACTTGAAATAGTGCGGTTTTTACAACCTTGAAATTCCTAGGTCCCGCTCAATTTCAGATCACGGACACAGCTTTAACTGCCTTGTGTGTATCATACTCGACAACACGTATGTGAGATGCAAATGTGATTCTGAAACCCTTGCTCTGCGTATTAATTATGTTGTTTATAATGGACTGATGCAACACAAATGGCCACTTTAAACAAGTTACTTTACAATGAAGGCCTTTTTTTTCATTGAAGAAATAATTCATATTAATGTGACGAAAAGTCACGAATCATATTTAACATTTAGCAGCAAACAGCAATTTCAAATATGGCCACCTTCTTGACCTCGAAAATTCTCGCTAAACTATGATATAATTCATAATAATAATTAATTGTGTCGGGGGACAAGCATCCAGTATATACATACAGTACATATTATACATACAGCTTATATCACGGTCCCCCACCCCCCACCAGGGTCGAATTACTGCCCCCACCCACTAGGCTGCAACCCCACAACAAGCTGACTAACTCCTGGGTACTTATTTACTGCTAGGTGGACAGGGGCATTAGGTGATAGAAAACGCGCCAAACCAGTTCTCGATTGTGGGTAAAGAACGAACCCGACTGACTACCGGGATCCTTGTTGGTTAGTGACGGGGCTCTTCGGATGACACTAGTACCACCTACACTACCACGTGGTGTTGCATACTGAAAGTTCGGCAGGAGCTTTCCCGATTGCAACAGCATTATAACTTGACGTTACGTAATGAAGGTGTGGTATAGGAGCTTCCCAGATCACAACAGTACCAACACCATCACAATATTAATTCGTGACGTCACACACGGATGCACCCCATGCGCTGGTCGGGGTTGGCACAATAACTGGTCCCTCCTTTGAGACTCAAAGGTTAAAATGTGCAATGAAAAATTATTCAACACGAGGAGGGTATATCAATGCAAGAACGATAAATCTGGTGAGAACCGATAACAGTGAAGAAAGGATGTGTATTTACTATTTGTGTCTCCAGAATCGAGCTATTAGCTCTTGGACCCCACATTTCTAACCAATCTATTTTTTTCCTCTTATTATATCTACTACATATATTTCTCTCTAACACACACGCGCGCGCGCACACATACACACGTGTGGGGCCAGACGGCTGAGTGGACAACGCTTGGGATTCATAAGACTAGGGTCCGGGGATCGATCCCCGGCGATGGTAGAATAAATGGGTAGAGTTTCTTTCACCCTGATGCTCATGTTCACCTAGCAGTAAATAGGTACCTGGGAGTTAGCTGCTACGAGCTGTTTCCTGGGTGAGTGTGTGTGTGTGCGGAAAAAAAAAGTTGATTGATTAATTGACAGTTGAGAGACGGGCCGAAAGAGCCAGAGCTCAACCCCCGCAAGCATAACTAGGTGAATACATCCCAAGGAAGCAGCCCGTAACAGCTTCTAACTCCCAGGTACATATTTACTACTAGGTGAACAGGGCATCAGGATGAAATAAACTGGCCATTTGTTTTCGCCTCGGCCGGAAATCGAATCCGGGCCCTTAGGACTACAACCCCCGAGCACTGTCCACTAAACCGCGAAAGAGCAGAGATCGCTTCAGAACATTACAGAATGAGGATGGTGAGCGAAAAACCTGAAATTTTTACTTGGTTTAAATTTATTCCTTTAAAATGATTTACAATACTAAACCGAAACCAAACGTTTTGATTAACACGGTTGTACGGTCCATTGTTTTATTCTTAAGTTACCCAATAAATAGTTTTCTGGTATGTGCCAAGAAATAACATTTTCTTAAGTATTGGCTTAAGAGTGACTTAAATAATTTGGTGGTTGAAGGGCTAGGCCTCCAGGGTGATTGGTTGAAAATGCTTGGGGAAAGAAAAGGGAATAAGAGGTAAAATAGATGATTAAATGTCTACAGGAAATCTAGTTATAAAAAAGGGCCTGTTTTATTTTTACTCTCGTCAAGATAATAGGACGAAAAGAGATAGTACCTGGATTCTGCGGGCTTTAATTATTTAATAATTCGTGTTGTCGGTGATAGGAAGCCTGTGCATATGCCGTATACTTTATGGTTGTATCGAGGTCATGCCAAAGGTCGAACTACTCACCCCTCACAAGACTGCAACCTCACAATAGTTCTGAGGACTTAGTTTCAAAGATTTACGAGATTAAGTATACCTAAGTGATCACCAAAGAAAATAACATTAGGATGTGCATCAAATTTGAAGCCATCAGTTAAACGCTTCAGCGCCATCGACAGTAATCAAAAAGATTTAGCATCACTTCCCTATATAGTTTCTACAACGTGCTCGACTACCCTATTGTACACTAGCTTTTATAGCACACTCGACTACCCTATTATACACTAGCTTTTATAGCACACTCGGCTACCCTATTATACACTAGCTTTTATAGCACACTCGACTACCCTATTGTACACTAGCTTTTATAGCACACTCGACTACCCTATTGTACACTAGCTTTTATAGCACGCTCGACTACCCTATTGTACACTAGCTTTTATAGCACGCTCGACTACCCTATTGTACACTAGCTTTTATAGCACACTCGACTACCCTATTGTACACTAGCTTTTATAGCACACTCGACTACCCTATTGTACACTAGCTTTTATAGCACGCTCGACTACCCTATTGTACACTAGCTTTTATAGCACACTCGACTACCCTATTGTACACTAGCTTTTATAGCACGCTCGACTACCCTATTGTACACTAGCTTTTATAGCACACTCGACTACCCTGTTGTACACTAGCTTCTATAGTGCGCTCGAGCGAGGAATGATTGTTTAAGAAAACCCTACTCATAGTATGACGTATTCTTATTACAATTAAAACGTTTTATATTGTGGTAGTCTTCGAATAATGAAATTTCAGGATATTGGTCTATATAGTTCTTCACTGATGTCTAGTTATATTTTTCTATTGTGGCCATCCCCAACCCTGGCCTACCAGGTTAGTGGTCAAGTTTTTTGTTTCATGCAAGGATGAATGAGAGCTGCAAGTAATGTGTACTGTTCACCTCATTGACACGTAAAGCCTCAGGTAGACAGGCAGGTAAGTAGGAGCACCTCCCAGGAGCGGTCTGGCTCATTAACTTGCGGGACGGTTACGAGGTGATATACCGGCCCGTCCCGGTATACAGCCATACTATTCTTTTAATATGCGCCACCTAACTTTACTGTCCAACCACCAACCTGAGAGTATATGTTTTAAGTCCTCTTGTCATCTATTAATTGCCTGCTCTTGTACTTGTCTCGTACGGTCGTAAGAGTCATCACTAAGGATTTTTTTTATACAGATGGGCACCTGAACAGACGACTTGTGATTCCTATCCTCAGACATAAGAGTTTTCCCTTGCCGTAGCTCATGGTGATACGATCTGACAATCAGTTAACAACTAGGTATCTAATCACTGCTGGATGAACAGAGGCTAACAATTAAGGATCATGTGTGAGGTGATCATGTCTCAAATGTTTTTTTTGAGTTCTTAATGTTTTCACGGACACAATTTATTGCACGCGAACCTTTAGGGAATGTTGCGCTAGGATTATTATAAGTGCGTTCATAATCATTATATTTGTTATAAATAAATGATTACATATTTTGAATTTTGTGAGATCGTCAGGAAAGAAACTGAGTCCTTGATCGGCCTATAACATTAGTGTTCCTCCCAGATTAAATGACATGATTATCCAGAAAGAAACAGATATATATGAATTCAATAATTTAATCAACTTAAAAATTTAGGCAAATGCTTTATTTACATAAACTTTTCAATAACTGCAATAAATTATACATATATAAAAAATATAAAAATTTAAGCATTCAAATAAATTGAAGATTTTGGAGTCACTAGGCTAGATATTGGGCTAGGCAGTTTATTATTAATATAAGACAGAACCTGCTGCTGAGCTGCACGTAACTTTGTTTTATTTTAATTATTTTATCATAAGAACACAAAAATAAATAAAGTGAGAGGCCAGAAACAGTTTAGTTTAGTTCATTTATTATGCACCCCATACCCATCTTGTGGGTGAAATAGTAGAGCATAATATAAATCACATTGCGAAATCCGTCGAGTTATTTAGAGAGATTTTAACTTATGTTACATGAAATGGCAAATCATTTTATTGGTAGTGATACATATCTTAAATTCCTGCACTGCATCCATATTTCGATTCCAGTAGATATATGTGATGAAAGTATAACCTGTCCAGCCTAAAATCATAACATCACTACTTCTATTGCAATAACCAAAGGTGAAAATTATGTTAGGTATTACCTAAATGATTTAGCTTCAAGGTATCAAACAAAACCCACTGCACTTGTGCCCTCTATAATCCATTTGCTCACTCATGAGTATGGGGCAGCTCAATAGCTTAGCCAACGCAACAATAACAAATCAATATAAACAAATTAAGCTATCTCCCTACGAGTAAGAAACAAGAATCCACATCCCTACCCATATCTTCTCTCCAAGTGAGAGACAGCATCCCCGTCTTCTTCCCTTCCTTATCTTAGAAAGACAGGACAAAACTACAAACAGCAACAGGGAGTGTTGACATCAAACTTGCCACTCCGAGGCATTGAATATCCACAAAACAGCAATACGAAATAGTCTCAATCATAAGTAAGTAAGCTCCCTCACGCAACAGCAACGCTTGGGCTCTGCTAATACACATTTTTCTCTTGGGGAGACGCACTTAACTGGAGTATGAAGAAGCAGATGTCGAAGAAGCAGATGTCGGCGTAGCAGCAAGTCGGTGAGGGAAGAGAGTAGAGGAGAGAAGCGGCAGACCTGGAGAGGGCGAGGCGGGGAACTGACTCTTGGAGAGGTGGGCGGGCGGCGGCGACGGGGACAAGGTCACCACTAGATGATACAACCACAGGTAGCCAAAAAACCCGCCCACCTGGCTCACACACACTCGCAAGCACGCACACACACACACACACGCACGACCAAAGAGCCCTAGCTCAACCCCCGCAAACACAACTAGGTGAGTACACACACACATATATTCAAACAGACAACAATATGAACATGTGTTTATAAATCCAATATACACAATGAAAGTGGAAGACTGATAACATTATGAACTCGGCCCACACAGAAGGACCTATGTCGGATAACAGACCTCACTGTTTAACAGATCGTCTTCTAGGTGAAACAAAATGCGTCACTGGCTTTGTAAAACTGTAAATAAATGCCTGAATTGTTAAATTTGCTTGAGTTTACTTAAGGGCCTGCATCTCTAGCGGCCTCGATTTTTTCAATTAAAATTTGAACTATATGAGTGTTTTTATTTAAGACTTCAGTGGATAGGCGATTCTATATAGATTTACTAGCCTATGGGTAAAAAATCTGTTTTTTTTCTCTACATTTTGGCTTGTTGAGCTTGAAGCTGTTGTCCCTTGTGCGAGTTACACTTAACTTTTTAAAAAGTGTTCTAGATGAATATCTTCTAATTTGTTCAGTATTTTAAAGGTGTAGATGAGATCAGCCCTGTCACGTCTGGATTGTAGAGTTGCGTTGACAAAGTTCTGAGATGATTTTTGTCGGTCTGTGTTGAGTTTTCTCCAAAAGCAGTTATGTCCTTTTGAAGGTGAGGTCTCCATGCTTGGATGCATTGTCCAGATAGGACAGCACCGGAGGTTTGTACAGTTGAGTCCTGCAACTGTAAGTAGATGAGTATACACGCACATACATACACACATACTCATACGTACACATACACGCACGTACATACACACATACTCATACGTACACATACACACAGGTATGCGCACACACACAGGTGGTGGAGGCCAAGACCGTCAGTAGTTTCAAAGCGTTATATGACAAAGAGTGCTGGGAAGACGGGACACCACGAGCGTAGCTCTCATCCTGTAACTACACTTAGGTAATTACACAGCGCAGCATAAGCCAGAAGAGGGTCGGTAGTATACAGTGGTCATTCACGACCTTCGTCCACACGTGTATGCTATTTATGTTGTCTCAATGCCGGTGTGAATTTTATATCTTGTTTTTTTCAGCTGGCGGGGTTGTGACAGACGGTAAATTGAGCAGGTTCTTACTTTGTGGTCGGTTTTATTGTTATTATTATTTTGTGAAGTCATGTGATGTGAAATTTGGTGACAAACGCGCGCGTTGACTATTGTTTGATTAACCCGCGCAGTGAAATTTGTCTTGCGTTATGAGAGACTGGTTATACGTTGTTTTATTGTAGGTAGTTTGTCTCACTTTTATGAGATGTTGGAACTGTTCTGTTAGTGGATGTCGCGTGGGTGAACATCACGGATGTTCCCCCTGTCACGTTGTGTTTCATAACAGCTAGAGCTCAACCCCGGGGGTCACAGGTAGGTGAGAACTAAGTTAGGTGAAATCTCAGTTCTCACCTAACACAGGTCAAAACTGAGCCGCTCTAAGCAACAGCCTGTTTGGACGAAGGTATCACAGGTCACTATACGGTCTCCAGTTCGGCCATTGGGAGTTCAACTACCAGAACCCACTCCAGGTATACAGACACATCTAGGTAAGGACACTCAGGTAATTACACACTCACCGCATTACTTACCCTTGAGCGCTGTGTCACCCTTGAGCTCTAGTGTCACCCTTTGGGGGCTAATGTGTTTTAAATCTATCTATTTATTGTATCTAAGCATGGAGATCTCATCTTCAGACAAACATAGCTGCTTTGGAGAAAGTTCAACGCCGGGCGACTAAAATCATTCCTGAGCTAAGTCTACACATACCAGGAACGGTTGAGGGCCACAGGACTAACAACACTGTACACCAGACATGACAGGGCTGATCTCTTCGAAACTTTTAAAATGCTGAACAATTTGGAGGTTATTGCTTCACACCATTTCATCAAAAGACCAGCTGTAACACGAGCAATGGCTTCAAGCTCAACAACCCATAATATAGGACGGAAAATAGATGTTTTCATCTATATGGTCATAAACCCATGGAACCGCCTACCCACCAAAGTAGTAAATACCAAAACGCGGCTCGATTTCAAAATCCAGCTGGGCGAAATGATCAGGACAAATGGGAGTATCTTCGACAAGGCGCCGGCTTCCTGTCCTTGTCGAGGCCACTAGAGAGATAGTGGTCCTCAGGTAATTTATCGACCATATAACACTGAGATAGGAAGGTTTATGTGCTCCATTTGGGAGGATATTTGTGACCCAATTGGAGCTGAAGGTTGAGATTGGGGAGATGGTTAGGCTATGCATCCCTGAACCGAACCTTGTTGAAGACTGCAACTCAAGGTCATGAAATTGATAGTCAGGAAGGATGATCACTCCCGCCACTACATTTTATGTTAGTAGTTCATTTGTTTTTATATTCGTTGTTAAAATTAAACATGTCTCTGCTTCTATCGAGTTCTGGACGATTAAGATGGCAGTCCGTTGTGATTTGACGTGGTTACTATCACAAATTAATATTTGTACTTTAGATAGATTTTGTAAACCTTGTGGAAATATAATCATTTAAGATTCTTCGATAGTATAGATTGTTAAGTGGTAGTTTATCCAGTTTAGGCAACTGACATATCCGTATGTGGGTAATCCACGCGCTATACTCTGGGATTGTTAAGTGATGATTAGGCAACATCCACTCTAACCCCCCCCCCCCCTTCAGTTCGTTTGGGTTTCTCGCTCTCAGTACAGTTACTGGGGAATTGACCAAGGAAACAGTTTCCTTGAAATAAGTTAGAGGAATCTTGAACTCGGGTCAAAAGTGAATCACATTACTTCCTCTACACACACTCACGGCATTGTAAAGATTGATCCCGCCTACTGATCACGTATGGATTATATCCCGAACCTTTCAACTTATCCAGCGATGACCATCAACATGACCACACTGTGCAACTTGACAGCTGTGCCGGCACACTTCACTAATGCAACCGGCAATGCATTAATTCCTATTCATTTCTACCTATCTATTCATACCATGCCGCCGATGACTTAGGAGTTATCAACTCAACTGACAAATTTATGAAGCTTGATATTATTAAATGAGTTACCTGAGCGACGGCTGTACGCGTTATGTATGGAAGGGGGTACTAAGAAGCAAGACGGCCCACTGGTGATGACCGGCAGATCTGGTTATGTAAAACGGCAACTTTGTGCATGCAAGATTCGTCGTGGTCAGACGTGTTGTCGTGGGTTAGAAGTGTACATGGCCAGATTACGCAATAGGCCATGGCCTCCAGTACCAGAGGCCCACCAGCACCAGGGTGGATGCTGATGGCCCATCATTTTGCTTTTCTGTACCATATCAATTGACTAATATTAATACTTGGAGTAATCATTTACTTGGTATCACTGACCGGTTATTTGTTCGTGTAATTCTGTACTGTACATGTTGTGTACAGTGTGTGGGTGTGTACTCACCTAGTTGTGCTTGCGGGGGTTGAGCTTTGGCTCTTTGGTCCAGCCTTTCAACTGTCAATCAACTGGTGGTGTGTGTGTGTGTGTGCGCGCCGGCATGTAGGTCAAGGTGAGGGCCGTGGCTGGTGGACAGGTACGCAGCCACACCTGGCAGGCGGTGGTGCATGCTGCCCTTTCTAGGTCACTCCTAGGTTGGTCCGCCCCTTTCTACCCTCCTGGACCCCCTCCCTCTCCCCTACTCTCCCTCCCTCCCTCCCTCCCCCTCTCTCTCTCTCTCTCTCTCTCTCTCTCTCTCTCTCTCTCTCTCTCTCTCTCTCTCTCTCTCTCTCTCTCTCTCTCTCTCTCTCTCTCTCTCTCTCTCTCTCTCTCTCTCAAACTCTGGCAACAACGGGTTGTAACTAACCATCTCTAGGATGTAGCCCCCTAGAAGCTGTCCCCAGGATGTAGCCCCCTAGAAGCTGTCCCCAGGATGTAGCCCCCTAGAAGCTGTCCGCAGGATGTAGCCCACATAAATTGTCCCCAAGATAATAATAAATAATAATAATAACACTAATAATAAATAATAAATACGAAACCAAAACATCTAGCCTATTCAAGGCCCATAAAATCCAGCCAGTTGCATGCAAAAAATTGGAAATTTTGCATTATTAATTGGAACAGGCCGAGAAAGAAGGAACAGCCAAATATAGCTTTTCCTAGACGTGGTATTGTATGTATATGTACTTAAGGATTGCGTACGTTACGCCTTGGGCAAGTTAGGCTGTTTTCTGTTTCACCTTTTGTTATGTTCTTTAGAATTTCCATAGTTCAAAACGTGAACATTTTTTTGGGTAAAAAACCCTATATTTTGTGTATTCTGTCTATAGTAACTATACGTTCAATTTTTTTTTTGAGAGAGAATGAGTTGACAAAATTCAAATATACATAACAAATAATTTATATTTGATAAAAACATATATAGTTTTTCGTTACTAAGTACTCTAAAAATAATTAATAAATCTTCAGGACCGGGGTGCAGTTTGGACGAGCACAGCCTAAAGACTCACGGGTTAGTGAGTCACGGCACTGAGTCATGACCCCCATGAGTCTTACTCACGCTGCTCACGGATGTGTGCTTGGGAGGAAGGGGTGAGGAGCAAGAAAGTGGATGATGATGAGTCAGGCGCATGTGAGGATGAGAGACTGTTACCAACACTCCATCTGACAGGCTTGTAATCCGCTTGTATACATTCAAAATTGTACTGCACTGCGCAGTTATTAAAGCGTAAATCTGGTGCTGGAGGCAACTTTTTTTTTAAATAATTTTTATTTGCATTTTTGACGTTTTTTATTCCTACTTCTATCTTTAATACCTACTTCTTTTCATATTTGTATAAAACTCTACTTAGAATATTCATAATCAACGAGGCAAATTTTATCCATAGCCTTAGTGAAAAAAAAATGTCCAAGCAATGCACAATTTAACTTAGCTGTAAACCTCTGTATTTTGTACTACTAATATTATGAATAAGTGCTCAATTCCTCCACCGGGTTAATCAAGTTTGAAGCTATGACTCGAAATGCGCTTCGTTCACTTTCAACATGTGTTGTAAACACTCCCTAAATCAAAGAAAAAGCCCGTCCTCATAAACAAAAGCCGAAGTCCGTTCCATCCGCCCGCCAAACCTCCTGTTTATGAATGAAAAACGGTTTACACACGACTCTCAACTGATTTCGTTCGAACACTTCCGGAACAAGCGCTTCGCTGGCGACTTTAGTTCGAACCACAACACTGTAAGTGTTTCATCCACGTACTACAAGTACAAATAATCGCCAACAGATCCTAAACACCTAACCTAAATAAAATTGAAAATGTTTTAAATAAAATCAATTTAAATCAAACTATGCACAACATGCTAATGTATTATTATTTATAATAATACATTAGCATATTTATAATAATACATTAGCATCTTCTAAGGATAACAATTACTGAAGTGATGAACCCCCTAGGTATAGTTGTACAAGACAAGGTTATCAACAGCAGAACGGCTCCAGTCGGCCGTGCAGCAAGAGCTGAGGTGAGTACCGTCGCCATGATCGACTTGTTGACTCGCGAGAGGCGAGATTTTGTTAAATTGTTGCTATATTTGGTCTCGGCTTTTGCGTCAGATGACGACATACAGCCATTACTCGCCTTACAGTCATGATGGTTACAGTCCGTCCTTGGGCTTGTTTGTCGAAACTGCGGCCGACCATAAAAACGCATTCGTCAATTTTAACTAATTGTGTATTATAAAATAGGATTGCTTGCTCTCTCTCTCTCTCTCTCTCTCTCTCTCTCTCTCTCTCTCTCTCTCTCTCTCTCTATATATATATATATATATATATATATATATATATATATATATATATATATATATATATATATATATATATAATGCTATTATATATTAAAGTTCTATGAATAGTTAGGTGTTTAGGTTATGTTGGTGGTTATTTGCCTTTGTAGTACGTAGAAAGGAAATGAAAGCGCCAAGCCATTACAATTATGTAGCACTGGGAAGGGGTTAGGATAAGGTTTTGGGATGGGACGGGGGGAGAAAGGAATGATGCCCAACCACTTGGACGGTCGGGGATTGAACGCCGACCTGTATAAAGCCAGGCCGTCGCTCTACCGTCCACAACCCGTCCTCAGACCAAGTCCATTCCATTCAGCGGTCGACCCCTAAGACGCATTCATAAATTTTAACATGCTGTTCATTCAAAACGGGAATTTTTTTCATATAAATTATTATTATTTTTTATTACCATATTGTACATATTTAGGCGCTGGTTAGGTACGGCTAGGCATTCCTCACGACTTAGCGTTGAAACTGTTTTTTTTAATAATTTGTGTACAAATAAGTTTGTCGAATAAATTTTTGTGTAATGTGAATATTCGTTAGTTTGTTCTGGTAAAGAAAAGTTTGGTTATTAATTTGATATTACTATAATGGTATTACTAACATGAAATTGTAATAAGTAGGCGCATACTTGCGCCCACCTTCAATTTTAGGCTTGAACTTTAAGACTGAAGTATACTATTACTTGCGGATTATAAGCTAGTAGCGGCTTAGTTAGCCATCATGGTTGATAGGCTTTAAATCGACTCCTGTCCTAACTAACCTGTAAGCGTGGATGTAGCAAGGTGTAACCAATTTTTCAATGTACTGTATATACCCGGGATATGTCCAAATCGTACACAAACGGTTCGACAAAGCTCTTTTTTTCACGTTGTCAAAATTGGAGATATATCATTAGGCTATATAAGTTTAGGTTAGGTCAGAATGGTTTGGATAAGATGAGATAGGTTTTAATGTCCGTTTGTGAACCGTCTTATTTACAGTGTTACTGAACGCTGTTCTGAATAAAGTATACTTTATAAGTTTGAATCTAAATTAGGTTGTGGACTTTTATGATATTTGCGCTAGATAGGCCTGAAGCCTAGTAGTTAATGGCATCAGCTCTCCATTAAAAGTTGTCATTACATGATCGATCTACTGGATATTGTGGCGAAAATGTCACTTTTTTGTTATTCTAATTACAGTATTATTAGTAACATTTAATAATAAATAATTATAATATGCATTTACGTTCGAATAACGTTTATTATCAAGCTGTACAAGTACAGTAATGTTGCCAGATATACCATGATATTGGTAATAAATAACTTGACTTATTCGTCCCTGGCATTTTCGAGAGAGCTTCAGTAAACAGTGTCGGCGGGGTTGGTGAACCTTCTGACATAAATAACTATAGTCCAATATTAAATACTGTATACATATATTAAAAGAACAGTAAAAAAACAAGTATATACAGGCAGTTACATTGTTTTATTGTGTAGTCAAGCGAAATGTAAAAAGTTGTAGCCATTATTAAAATTCTAAATGTAATCTACTTGGCGTTTGGAAAAATCTATATTTTAGTGATGGCTAAAACACAATAAATATGGCATGAAATTATATAAATTTTCACAGCCTCTGTATTTTACATAAATTCTGACACGATTAAAATAGAATTTAAAAAAACTTGTTTTCACTTTATTAAATAATATACAATATAAGTAATGTATACATAAATTTACAAGGGGAATACTGCATTACCAGCAAGGGTATTTTAGTCATGAATATAATTTGGAACTAAAGTAAACTATATACTCGGGAGAAGCATGATAGACCCCTTGGTATATATATATATCCCTTCATGATCCTAGCCTCAGATACTGGGCACATTCTGGCCTAAGGTCTCTCCTCTGGGGTTAAGATTAAAGGTGTTATTATTTTGAGATTTTATATCACATTTTGTTTACAATAAAGTATTTTGATGATTGTTAATTTTCATAAATCATAGATAGGATAGGCTTGTTAATTTATTGGTTGGGTTTACAAAGTAGTTTTGGTAGAAAATAATAAAATACAGACATTACAAGTTGCGAAAAATTTAAAATACAAAATGCCGTACGCAAATAATACGAATGTGGAAAAAAATGAAGGCTGGAATAATAAAGTCTCGGTGAAAATATAGCAACTGACTTTTCAGCTGACGTTTCTGATCAAATATTTTCAGTGAGACTTGATTATTAAATCTTATTTTTTTCCCCCTCTCATTCCGATTACTTAGGTATTTTAGACGTACTGGTGACCATTGGTGTGTCGTTGGTGTCCCCCCCTACCATCGCTGGAGCAGATGTTATGGAAGTGTTGTTGGTGGTCACTGTCACCACCACCAACCAAACTTCCCCTCTACCTGTCATCGCCACCAACCATACTTCCCCTCTACCTGTCACCACCACCAACCAAACTTCCCCTCTACCTGTCACCACCACCAACAAAACTTCCCCTCTACCTGTCATCACCACCAGTCAAACTTCCCCTCTACCTGTCACCACCACCAACCAAACTTCCCCTCTACCTGTCATCACCGCCAACCAAACTTCCCCTCTACCTGTCATCACCACCTGTCAAACTTCCCCTCTACCTGTCATCACCGCCAACCAAACTTCCCCTCTACCTGTCATCACCGCCAACCAAACTTCCCCTCTACCTGTCATCACCACCTGTCAAACTTCCCCTCTACCTGTCATCACCGCCAACCAAACTTCCCCTCTACCTGTCATCACCACCTGTCAAACTTCCCCTCTACCTGTCATCACCGCCAACCAAACTTCCCCCTCTACCTGTCATCACCGCCAACCAAACTTCCCCTCTACCTGTCATCACCGCCAACCAAACTTCCCCTCTACCTGTCATCACCGCCAACCAAACTTCCCCTCTACCTGTCATCACCACCAACCAAACTTCCCCTCTACCTGTTCCTCCGCCCGAGGCGCCGAGCGACAGGTGTCAGGTGTAAGGAGGTGTTGCCACTTGCCCCACCTTGGGTTTCCTCCACCATTTTGTATTTCCTTAATCAGGTGAACTCTTTTGATAGTTAGGTACTGATGATTGTATATTTTGACGAGTTGCTGTTTTTGCCATAATTGGCAAAAATATCTGGCAGTAAAAGATATTTAATATTTTTATAAAATTTTATTGGTCGATGGCATCCTAGTTCAAGAGCCCGCGGAAAAATGGATATAGGAGCTGTGAGTATTTTAGTGTTTTTTATAAGTTAGTGGCAGTGTTGAGAGAATGAGTTTCCCTGCCGGGGGCTATATACGGCGAGGCCATACCCTGGCGCTCATCATGGGAGAGAGAGAACCTTCATTATGCAAAATTCAGGAGGGGGAGAGGGATGGAGGGGTGGTGCGCGCCACCACGGCTCCCCTGCGCCGGCCCGAGGTAAGATTCCACGTTCCAGCCGCTCTTCTGGAGGCTTCCTGGAGGGGGCACTGAAGGCCGTGCGCCCTGAGATAGTGTCATGTTCTAAAGTTGATCCCGGTGCGCTGTATAGGCCTAGCGGCGAGGATGCGGTGGTGTAGGATACGGTGTGTAGGATGGGTGGACGAGGTGGTGGTGGGCCGGGCCAGGAGGCCGGCGGAGCGGCGGCCGGCCCGCGGTGGTGCGAGAGCGGCAGCAGTGTAGTGTGAGTCGTGTGCTAGTGTAGTCCACGAGCCCCGCCTCCGCCACTCTCCTCAACACTTCCCTATCACCGCCACACGGTGAGTGATACCCACATGGCTCCTGGGGGGAATAGGGCCGCTCGTGGCAGCGTCGAGGGGGGCAGGAGGCACACACGCCTCCCACTTCTACAACATCAACATGTGGGAGTTGTGTGGGGGACACGGTGTAACCACCAGTGACCCAGCTGGCACTATGGCTGCCCTACACTGGCTCTCTCCTTGACTATTGTTGTTGCACTTTGTCCTTGACACAGTGCCACTGCCCATGCCAAGTGGTTTGGATTGGCATCCTCTGCGGCCGTTACCCCTGCCCTCCACGTGGGAATCTGGCCCTGGGGTCTACCACACTGGTTTGACAGAAAATATAGAGGATATAATCCTCATTTTAATTTGAAATTCTCAGAAATGTTAAAGGGTTGTAATCCAAACGTGGCTTTACCGTGCCAGCTCGTATCAGTGCTAATACACGAGTCTTATCACAGTACCGAGTTTACCGTGACGCCATAAGTGGTACCGTGCATCACCTGTGGCGGACATGCCGTCGGGAGAGTGATGTCTGGCGGAAACGCCGCTGGGGGTGTCATTGAGGTGTAGAGTGAGTGTGTGTGTGTGTGTGTGTGTAGGCTACCTGTATCACACACACACGAGGCTCCCTCCTGTGGTGTATACTGATTGGTCAGGGGACTCTAGTTGTGTTGTTAGTGATGTCAGCACCAGCCTCGACACCTTGTTAGCGCTGCTGCTGCTGCTGTTACTGCTGCTGCTGCTATTGATCTTCAGGGCTTTACTTACTCCCATTGAGAATACTTTTGCTTTGGAACCGCAAGTTATTGCTGTTATTGTGTAATTTGTAATAACTACTGCTGTAATAAAACAAATTTTTGAAGATTTACCAACTACTTCATTTAGAACTGTTAACGGCGCGCTGGTTCTGACGGGTATCATTTATGTTCCTATACCGGCAGCTTCGTGACTCTCTCCATTCTCATTGTACTAATAGTCATGTTGATGTTTTCATCTTAACACCTGGAACTCCTGCTGTAGTTGCTGCTACTACTATTGCTTTAATTACTATTATGACTACCAGTCTTACTATTCCAACTACCACCTGCTGTTACTGGTGCAACAGTAACGACTAATATTCATCCTTCTACTACGGTTGCTACTTTATCTACTAATATAATGTCTCTGGCTACGATGAAGGTGCCCATTGCCTCACCTATTGGTGACTACGGCGGAGTGAGGTTTAGCTCTTTATAACCTTCCCTCACTTGATTGTACCCGTTACCCGTTTGATTGTACCCGTTACTCGCTTGATTGTACCCGTTACCCGTTTGATTGTACCCGTTACTCGCTTGATTGTACCCGTTACTCGCTTGATTGTACCCGTTACTCGCTTGATTGTACCCGTTACCCGCTTGATTGTACCCGTTACTCGCTTGATTGTACCCATTACCCGTTTGATTGTACCCGTTACTCGCTTGATTGTACCCATTACCCGTTTGATTATACCCGTTACTCGCTTGATTGTACCCGTTACTCGCTTGATTGTACCCGTTACTCGCTTGATTGTACCCATTACCCGTTTGATTGTACCCGTTACTCGCTTGATTGTACCCATTACCCGTTTGATTGTACCCGTTACCCGCTTGATTGTACCCGTTCTGCTACAATTTTAACTATTCTAAGATTCGAATTCTTTGTCGAACGTGGTCTTAAAATTGTAGATGGAGGTGGCTTCTACAACTTCTTCCTTCAGTGCCTAACGTCGCGCCTGTTGACCACCTGTACAGAAATAGGCCAGGAGGCATTGCATTTGACAACCAACTTCTAGGTAAACGGGGTCCAAGAGCCAGAGCTCGATCCCGCAGGCACAAATAGGTGAGTACACTCGCACACAGCCTCATATTATTTAAACTTTCGTTAAATTTGCTATTCAAGTATGTTTATTGAGACAAGAAAGAAATACATCTCAAAGGGATAGAGTAGCTTAGGCTATTTCTACCCCCCCCCCCCAAAAAAAAAAAAAATTGCTATTAACGTGAATAACAAACAATAAACTAACAATTCTAACAACCATAAAATAACGACTAACAAGTGACGAAGATTTAGTTTTCATTATTTGTATTTGTTAATACTCGATAGTATTATTATTAGTGCAAGAAATTGGTTGAATTCTGTATCATTAGTATTATAACTCGTTGCTGTTGCCGCCAGTGTCAGTGTTAAGAGTGACGGTGCAGGTGTTGAGGGGACGTGCAGGTGTTGAGGGGGCGTGCAGGTGTTGAGGGGACGGGCGGGGGGGGGGGGATGATCCACAGTGGGCTGGGGGAGCCACAGTGGGCTGGGGGAGCCACAGTGGGCTGGGGGAGCCACAGTGGGGGGGGAGCCACAGTGGGCTGGGGGAGCCACAGTGGGCTGGGGGAGCCACAGTGGGCTGGGGGAGCCACAGTGGGCTGGGGGAGCCACAGTGGGCTGGGGGAGCCACAGTGGGGGGGAGTCACAGTGGGCTGGGGGAGCCACAGTGGGGGGGGGAGCCACAGTGGGCTGGGGGAGCCACAGTGGGCTGGGGGAGCCACAGTGGGGGGGAGCCACAGTGGGCTGGGGGAGCCACAGTGGGGGGGGAGCCACAGTGGGCTGGGGGAGCCACAGTGGGGGGGGGAGCCACAGTGGGGGGGGGGGTGGAGGTGTGGCAGTTTAGCGTGGCTTAACTAGCGTTATGTGTAACGCCCATCCCTTTGTGTACCGGAGACCTCACGCCCACCCTGGCCTGGTGAGAGAGGAAGGCAGGGTGGGAGAGAGAGAGAGGCAGGGTGTGAAAGAGGGAGAGAGGAGGTGTGTGAAAGAGTGAAAGAGGGGGAGGGTGTGTGTGTGTGTGAGAGAAAGGGTGTGAGAATAGGGAAAGCGAGTGTGTGTAATTACCTAAGTGTAGTTACAGGATGAGAGCTACGCTCGTGGTGTCCCGTCTTCCCAGCACTCTTTGTCATATAACGCTTTGAAACTACTGACGGTCTTGGCCTCCACCACCTTCTCACCTAACTTGTTCCAACCGTCTACCAACCGTGTGTTTACCTAGTTGTGCTTGCGGGGGTTGAGCTCTGCTTTTTCGACCCGCCTCTCGACTGTAAATCAATCAACTGTTACTACTAACTAATTATTATTCCTCCTCCCCCCCCCCACACACCCAGGAAGCAGCCTGTAACAACTGTCTAACTACCAAATACCTATTTACTGCTAGGTGAATAGGAGCATCAGAGGTGAAAGAACCTTTGCCCATTTTGTTTCTGCCATCACCGGGGATCGAACCCGGACCCTAGGATTAAGAGTACAGAGCGCTGTCCGCTTGGCTATCAGCCCCCACCCCCGTGTGTGTGTGTGTGTGTTATCTCTTTAGCATCCTGGACCTTAGGACTGAGTTAGTACTCGGACATTATGTCTGTTGTCTAAGCTACTGACTCCAGACCTATTTTTCTGTATTACATCTACTACATCTTTCTCTCTCCCTCCTATATTATATATATATATATATATATATATATATATATATATATATATATATATATATATATATTATATGATATATACACACACTAGTAAATGATCTGTTAACAATATGTAGCCGAATTTATTATCTACACTCCATGGCCTAACATGACTTCAGCGAGTCGCAGCGCGCGCACAGGAAATAGACCCCCCCCCCCCACACACACACATACAGGTTCCTGTATACTGATGAATGGTGGTGGTTGGGGCAAGTTGTTATCAGCAGGAGTTGGTTGTTTCCGTCGATGGCGGCTGCGGCGAGTGATGACCCAGGTGATAGACCCCCAGAGTGAGTCCCTCTCAAACTTTCCCCCCCGCCCCCCGCACCTGCACGCTTCACCGACACACCTCACTCAGTCCCAGTAGTACCACACACACACACACACACACACACACACACTAAAGACAGGCTATTTAACACAAGGGGCACACGCACTAGGGGACACAGGTGGAAACTGACTGCCCAAATGAGCCACAGATATTAGAAAGAACTTTTTTTAGTGTCAGAGTGGTTGACAAATGGAGTGCACTTGCACTAGGAAGTGATGTGGTGGAGACTGACTCCATACAGTTTCAAGTGTAGATATGATAGAGCCCAATAGGCTCAGGAACCTGTACACCTGTTGATTGACGGTTGAGAGGCGGGACCCTTTAAAGAGCCAGAGCTCAACCCCCGCAAGCACAATTAGGTGAGTACACAAGACGAAATTAGAGAAGATTCAGAGGTATGCCACCAGACTGGTCCCGGAACTGAGAGGAATGAGTTACGAAGAAAGGCTAAGGGAGCTGAACCTCACATCCCTGGAAAACAGAAGAGTAAGGATCACTCCACCATCTAGCAAGTTACAGCCTCGCTCCTGTGCCAGGTAAGTCCACCACGGGCTCACCATAGCCCGTGCTACTTGGAACTTTTGTTCCGAGTAGCTGAATCTAAAACAACAACTCCACCATCATTTACTTAAGATAATTAAGCTAGATAAATTCCCAATAGTTCAGTTTGTGTTGCACGTATTCAGTCGTGCAACACAACGACTGAACGTGAGCGTGAGTCAAATTAAACTCACAGTTCCTGCGACGGCGCTGGAACCAAGAGTATTGGCGTATGCCTTTCCATTGGAGACTTTCAGCGCCGTGGAGAGGGGGGACCTGCTGCATGGGTAACAGCTTCTCCCCCGTGTCAACCTACCCTGGCTTTGCGCCCTGGTGAGACCACTCCAGACCGACAACCAGAGTGCAACTCCATAGTCTCCTGAGACTGATGGATGACTACTACTACTACTACTACTACTATTCAGTCGTTCAAGCTTTGCATGCAGGGTGCGTTGATTGATAAAGATTAAGCCACCTAAGAGGTGGCACGGGCATGAATAGCCCGTAATGGGTGCGTTAAGTGTGAGGACAGGGTGCGAGGAGAGTGCACTGAACCTGGAGGGTGAGGGTTCACGGCGCCCGGCACGTACCCGCCTCCCTGGCTGACACCGGGGGCAGTGTCTCTT